AGAAAAAAATGTCCAGTAATCTCCCCTGACTATCTAGTCTTGTCGTCAACGATATAACTCATCTCTAAGGGGTAGGTAATTTCAAGGGAGAACAGAGCTCACGGGTAAAAATAAACCAACTGATAGTGGTGGGAATGACATGTTAGTTTTAAGGAAACATGCATCATCTGATGGGTAACAAAGAAAGAAAAAATTCTAACCCATAGCTAACTCACACAGACAAGGGCAGATAAAAAGATTTTCCAACGGGCAAGCTATTACGTTTATTGACAAGGACAGATAACTTTCTGCAGACAGAGGGAATAAGCGGCATTTTTTCTCGTCAAGCCTGATATTCAGAAAGACACGAGGCACTGCACGAGCGAGGCTAGTGCTGTTTGTTTCACTTAAGAACCCAACAAATCAAATGGCAAGAGGCAAATGGAAAGCGTTTGAGGGAACATGGTCTGTGTGCGCGCTGCTCTAATGAGAACGGGACCAGCGGGTACGAATCACTTACACTCCTAAACACTCTAAGCGTGGAGAGGCGATATGGCTGAGCAGGTTCGATAGGCGTTCGACCTCAGACCAAATTATTCAATGCAAGTGAACATTTTTCAATTTGAATCAGGATTTAGCACATACAGGACGCCCTAAAACTCAATGTTTCTTCCAGACTTTTTTCTCCGGGGGGGGGGGGGGGGGCACTTAAATATTTTCGGGGAGGTTGTCAACATTTTTCGGGGGGGGGGGGGGGCGGACACTAGTAAAAGTGTATGTTTACCATATAAATTCCATCTCGTCGGGGGGGGGGGGGGGGGGGGAGGCGGTAGACTTTCTTCGCCCCCCCCCCCACTCCCCCCCCCAAAGAGATGCCTAGAAGAAACTCTGCTAAAACTGCATTTACACGTCTATGGACGTCTAGAAAAAAAAACTTCGCCGTAAGTTAATTGTATCAGAACATGTTTGTGTGTGTGTGTGGGGGGGGGGGGGGGGGGGGGGTACTAATCTTGCGAGTATAAACGCGGTATAACAGTGGAAATAATCCCCACAAGATTCCGTATAACTCTATTTGTAAATGTTCAATCGATAAATGGCAAACATAATTAGGTTGTAGGTCTACATTAAGACCAGATAAGCGATAATGTCAATTTCAAACCAGCTGTACGATCTTGTTATATACATCTAGATAAATGATGTACGGCTAACTATGTTGTTAAAGTATGACTACATTTATGATGACATATAACAGGCATAGGGGACATTGACGGTTGGAAGGGGAACTTTTGTAACAATATCAGGAACTTCTTGAAGCAGATGTGGAATATCTAGGACAAGATGGTAAACATGTTTAAAGAGGATTTGGAATGACGGACTGATGACCGATCACGAGGGGCAGATAATAGAAGCACAACTTTTGCACCAAGAAATTATAAATAGCCTATAGTGTTAGAATCCTCACAAGAGAGCAACAAAATTGAGTGAATACTAACCCTATATGTTTCAATGATTGCTTATCGCATGTATTTCGCTACAGCTAACCTTTTTTTAGCGCAATTTCCATACTGGCAATTGCGTTTAATAATTCGTCATTTCTGGATGGATGGATGGATGTGTGGATGTGTGTCCGCAGCTTTAAGTCGTATCTCCTCCTCAACAAAGCAATATCGAGGACTAGTTCCAAAAGCAAATATGTTATGCAAGTTCCGAGGATGATTGTGGGCCAAAAAAATTCCCGGAATTCCTTCCTGGATTTCCCGGAAAAGCCGAAAAACCTCGAAAAAATGCAGTTTTTGGCCCATATCTCGGCAACCAGACCACTTAGAGACTTGAAACATTTACCAATCGATTCCTGCCATAATTTAGAACAATATTGCCGAAGAAAGTTTTCAAAAATACCCTTTCGTTTGGTCACAAAAAAAAAATTTAAAATTACATAAACACCTACAAACCGATCGTTCTCCCTAGCTTGAACGCACCCCAGCATTATACGTCTTATGTTTTGTCCCCGTGTGTGCTTTACGCTACGACAGATCTATTTTTTAGATAACATAAGGAAATTACGCTTAAATTGTCACTAGACTTTTTATTAACTTTGTATTACTAATTCGCAGTCTAAGACAATGTTAGGATTTAAACCACAGCATCATGTGCTTGCACTATTTTCTTGAATTAGGGGTCGCCCATAAATGACGCACACACTCGTAGGGGGAGGGGTGGTCCGTAATTTTGTGACAGTGTGTGATGAGACGGGGGGGGGGTCAGATGGTGCGACGTCACACTTTAACGTTATAAAAAAAAGCAATGTTAGAAAACATTTTTGTCGTTATTTCGCGTTTTAGAAAACTGTTTTAATAAATCACAATAGGAATTGATTAAAATACTCTATTTCGACAGATTTCAGACAAGATTTTGGAAAAATATCGATGTTTAAAAAAAATTAAACTGCAATTTTGAGGGGGGGGGGGGGGTTGTAGGCTGAGGTGTGACGTCATTTTAGGGTGGGGGGTCTGGCTTTTTGTGACGATGTGGAGGGAGGGGGGGGTAAAAATCGTCATTTATGGATTACCCCCTTAGGAGACAGACCGGACAAATCAGAACCCTATTTTCTTGCACTATTGAACAGAGAGGTAATAAATGGCCATCGTAGAGGTTAAGAAGTTGGTGGAAATTAAAGGGAAAAATAGAAGAAAAAAAAAGGCAACTTGTTTTATAAGGAACAAAAACTATCCTATGAAGAAAAATGAACATTGAAAATGTTTGTTTCTTTTTTTTTTAACGAATATGTCGCATGCTTTGTGCTTCCATTTCGATATTTACTTAGTAAACATAAGTTAAAACACGAACCCTATCTTAAAATAAATAACTAGCAGAGTAGAATAAGACAAATAAACAAGATACCGTGTATCTATCAGCAACATAAACCTTCCAAACAGTGAAGCCCTTTCACGGCAGCTCTACACCCAGTCTACTAATCAAATCACATGAGGTGAGCAGTGGTTCACAATCTGTTTTTCTTTCCAAAAAAAGGTGGGGCCACTATACAAGAACAAATTACTGCCTATACACATACAAGGGAATCTAGGGGGGTAGCTTGGGTAAACAAATCGAGGGAAATATAGCTTTATCCAAAAATAGTTTGGATAATTGAGGGTTTTTGTGTTATTTCTATAGGCGTGAAAAGCTGGTTCCAAATTATTGTTGCCAGAAAGCATATTTTTCAAGCATATTTTAATACATTGTGAAATAAGTACAAAATTACCTCCGGTTTTACAAAGGCTAGAAATATTCAAACAAATGATTACTAGAAATATAATAGTAATTTAGCTAATACTTTTATTTTTAATTTGGATTAATAGAGTCAAGGCTTTGTGGTGATAGAAATAAACTACTAGCATAATAATGTTTCTAAAGCAATAGGCCAGTTTCGGTAGGATATTAAGTAAGTCCATAGAACATGTCATTTTTATCTAACACCTCCAAAACAAGGATTAGGTGTGGAATAGGATTGGCGTTAGAGATGGGATAGGGCCATGGACAGGAAAATGGAAAAAGAGAGGATTTTGTGATATGCTTAGGATGTGGTCAGGGATAGGTTTTGAGATAGAGTTAAGAATAGGGGACTGTCATCGATTTTAATGAGAGTTGGAAATAGGCGTATCATAGGTAGTTTTGATGACCTGATTTATTTGATAAGAAAAGTGTGTGTATGTGTGTGTGGGGGGGGGGGGGCGCTATATGTGCTTCTATATATTATATATTTAAAGAAAATAATTTTCTTTTCTTCTTTTTAGTGCATATTATTCATATGAAAGCTTGTTATTATAAAAGTTTATTATTCTTGTAACTCGCCTGCGTGCTCACTACCAGCTACAGCACATTCTGACTGGAATCACCACTAACAGACACTCCACGAACAGACACTCCACGAACAGATACTCCACTAACAGACACTCCAATAACAGACACTCCAATAACAGATACTCCACAACAAGATACTCACTAACAGATACTCCACAACAAGATACTCCACTAACAGACACTCGACTAACAGACACTCCACTAACAGACACTCGACTAACAGACACTCCACTAACAGACACTCCACTAAAACAGACACTCGACTAACAGATACTCCACAAACAGATACTCCACAAACAGACAAGAAAAGATAGGATGACACTTGTTTTATTGACAGAAAGTCCCAATGCTAATTTAATCATTAATATACCCATGCGTTCTCTATAACATGTTCTTTTCTAAAGAAAAAATCATCCAAATGTAAAAAAATAAAAATAAAAACTCTTGCAAGCAAGCAGTGATGGGCAGTGGATGGTCATCTAAAAATTGTGTTCTTATTTACAATAATGGCACAGAGGTACAAACATGAAACATAGAATGTAGGACTGCAGGTAGGTCTAATGCCTTTAAGTGTGGTTGAAAGCCAGGGGGGTAAAAACTTGAGAACAAGAAGTAGCTGCAACCATGAGGATTGCATTGTCCATTTCCAATCATGGTCAAATGGTCATGTATAACAATCTCATGTCAGCTCCATTCTAGTGTGACTTTCAAGGGTCTACAACCATTTGTCCACTCACCTCTGGTGGGACTAAATGTCATACACCCATCACAATACATGTTTTGTTCATACACCCATCACAATACATTTTTTGTTCAACTAGAAAACTATGTAAGCTTTTAGGCACTTAAACTCAGAGGCGTAGCGACCCTTCCCGGCGCCCGGGGACAAACTTTTGATTTGCACCCCCCCCCCCCCTCAAACTTTTAATTTGGCGCCCCCCCTAAGGTCGGCGCCCGGGGGACATATGTCCCCCGCCCCCCCCCCCCCCCCCCCCCCCCCCCGCTACGCCTCTGCTTACACTGTCATCACTCATTGTTTTAAAACATTAAATTTTTTTTTTGAGCAAATGAGTTTGAGGTTAAGGATATGTTCAACATTTCCAAAAAATGCAACATGACATTATATTGCATGAATACATTTACACAAGATAGTTAACTTCTTGTAAAACCATTCACAAGCTACTTCAGAAGGGATGTTTAGCTGCAATGTTTACAAAGAGTTTCTCTAACCATACGGTCCATGGGGCAAGTAAAAGTAGAGTTCACCTTTTTTTTGTGACCTCAGCATATAAAAGGGATAGTGTGGTCAGCACTATGCCCAGTCACCTTTACCTTCCATATGAGTCAGGTACCAATCAGAGCTATACGTTCTACAGACTGGAATCCGGATTTGAACTCGACTAGCAGTATTATGCTTTACCATTTGACCACGCCAACCCATCATGCATATATTAAGTCAACAAAGTAACAAGTAATAATGATCAAGATAGAAATTTTGCAAATCAGATAAGTCACTCTCACTGCTCTTCTAAGATCAAGCTGGTTAGGTATCTAAGTTATAATTAAAAAATGGAATGTATTTTTTAAATATGCGATTGCCACTTTACAATGTTGCATGTATTGTATGTAGCTAAAGATACATTGAAGAATAAACTAAATGGTTTTTTACTAAAGAAGTTATTAAGTAAGTGTTATCTAATTTTCATGTATCCTACATTCAACCTAGAAAAAAAGAAACCATTAAGTTGACAAAAGTTGTGATTTTATCTACTGAGGTCTATTTGTAACTTCACCCACACAGACTTGCTAATGAGGTTCACAAAAACTACCCAATGGTTATTTAATACAACAAACAAACATTCATCTAAACATCATGTCAATTAAAAGGGAACATTTCAATTAAAACTGACTTGGACATAGAACAAAGAAAACTATAGTGGGATACATAGTACAGATTGTTCTCTATTTTTAGCTGCCTGACTTTCTCAGAAACATGTGCTATTCAACTGGGCCACCAACTCACAATAAAGGAAGATATAAAATCATGGAAATATAACTAAACATTCTCTAAAATAAATATTTTGTATAAAAGCAGTCAGAAAATAGAGAGAATCAAAAATATTTCCAGGATAGGATTGTCTTTTTCATAATTCATTTGGGAAGACAGAAAAAATGTCCTATCCACAAAAAAGTTGATGAAAGACAAGATGGAAAATGTTGTAAAAATGTATGATATAATACATTCAAATATATCACAATGATTGAAATATACAATTACAGATTTTTTTATAAAATTAATTTATGCTGCACAGCTTACACATGCTATCAAAATCAAAAGCCATAAAACAGCGCAACTAAAATAACATCAAAAAATAACATCAAAACAATCAAACTTGCAATGCATCATAACACAATACTGTTTAAGACATTGGTCATATACTTTGTGTTTCATTCACCTCACTTCTTACACATTGCAAACATGTCTTCTCACTGCTTAGACATCTGACTGCTTACACATCATCTGACTGCACATCATCTGACTGCTTACACATCATCTGCTTACACATCATCTGGCTGCTTACACATCATCTGCTTACACATCATCTGACTGCTTACACATCATCTCAAAGCTTACACAGCTCACTACTCACAAACTGATTATACAAAACTTGGACAACACATCCCTGACAAAGTTGCTGCTGATATCTTTCTACCAGTTAGACAAACTGGTCACTGCTGTTGTTTCTCTTGTACCTGACTGTATGAAAACTGTCCTCGTCCTCAAACTTCACCTGCTCAATGTGTTTAGTCACATCAGTAATTGCACTATCATCATGCCTCTCCCTCCCTTCAGCACAGTTTTGGCCTCTCATCTGGGAATGGTCTGTCCATCTCCCACCTCTGGACACAACCTTCCCCTCTGTGCCCAGTGGTGACATGTGACCCCCACTGAAAGCCCTCCTGTAATGGCTGTTGTGCTGGTGCCTCAGCAGGACAGGCTCACTCTCAGACTGATTGACCCGAGCACCCCATGGCTGCTCCACCTCCCCATGTCTCTTGAATCTTCTCCTGTTGTTCTGTTTCCCACCACTGCTGCGATTGTTGACAAATGTATTTTCCTCTTGGTATTTTCTCCCTTCAAAATTTTGACTATTTTTCCAACCATCACCTCTTCTGTTGTTAAAGTTTCTTACCCTTTGACCTTCGCCTCGGCCAAACCCTCTTTGGTATTCTTGATTGGAACGGTTTTGAGAAGTCTGACTCTGTGCAGGATCCTGTCCGGAATATTTAACCTGTATTGGCTCCCGTGCATTTGTAAACACTGAAAGGTTTTTATTTTGGTCATTGCCCTTGACCTTTGACTGATCACTGTGTGTGGTGCGGCAGGCATCAGCGTATGTGTGGCTGCTAGCGTGTTCACTGAAACCACTCTCAGAGCTGTTTGTTGTACCCGAGCAAGAAGCCTCATCCCCCTCTCCAATAGAAAATACAACCTTCTGATTGGTCAGGTTGCCACTGCCAGCTGCCTTCTCTTTCTGCTCCTCAGAAAGTGTGAGGGATGGTGATGCAGTGAAAGATGGGTGGTCAGTCTTGGAAGTCTGGCTGATGCTGCGACTCATGGGAGAGAATGAAGATGTAGGCTCAGAGAAGAGAACATTGGTGGTCCCTGGTATGGGCTTGCTGATACTTAACTTCCTCCCTGCCACTATGTTGGCCCACAGATTAGGCTGAGCTGTGGAAACCACAAACACAATTTGAAACATGTCATAGAAATGTTAAAAGACATGGAAATGTTTGAATTCAAAAAAATATTTGAAGTCATGGAAATGTTTGAAGTCATGGAAATGTTTGAAGTCATGGAAATACTTCTTTTGTTTGACATATTGGAATGCTAACATAACAAAATACTGTAAAATGTAAAAAAAAATTTTATACACCAGGACGGCAGTTTTCCCGGAATATCCTGGAATTTTAGGGACCTAGTAAAATACTAGAAGCTACCTACTAGTAGATAGTGTCAGGGGTAGCTCAAAGAAAATAAATGCTACATAACAGTAGATTGTGTCTGAGGTAGCTCATAAAAGAAAATAACTGGTACCTACCAATAGATTTTGTCTGAGGTAGCTCCACAGGAAAGAAAGACTTGGACCAGGCACCTTGTAAACTAGGAAAACTGACATTGTGTAGCTGTGACATGGAGGAGTTGTTGATGGGGGAGGTAGGCATGGAGCTGGCTGTAAGAGGACCCGTCTCAACACTCTCTATTGTCTCTGGCAAGAGTCTGTCAATCAAAAATAAAATAACTGCAGGACATCACTGATGTAATTTGAATGACTTCTGATATAACTTTTATTGAAAGATTTTTTTAAGTGTTTAGGACTCTTTATTTTTCTAAACATATTTTCAAACAATAAGCTGTGAAGATATTATTAGCATCAAAGTAGAAGGAACACATGTTATAACTAAAATTTCTTGGGTTGATATCATTAGCTTTCTATTTATATCAACATTCCCCATGATTCAAGGGGTGCTACTGTGCTAACTTCACCAGTATCTTTCTCTATAAACAACTCCTATCATTTAAGGATTAAACCCTGGCTCAACCCTGGGCAGCATTTTGTGTTACCACAGACAACATATCTTGACACATCTTCTCCCAACCTGTGTGCAGGGCCACCCAAGTGCCAGTGTTATCTCACTAGACAATATAATGGCAGCACAACACACAGCTGGTGCTGTTTCCTCCAGGAGACATTTACTGCCACACACACACACACACATACACAAACACACACAATATTTGGTGAAAAAAATAGGATTTAAAATTTAAGTGGATGTAAAAATAAGACATTTACAGTATCAAAGTAATGCTAAGCTGAGCTTAAACTTAGGCAATCATTGTTTAAATGTTGGAATTTTATGAGATTAAGTGTGATCTACAAAGATGTGTACCTGTTAAATGTGATCAACAAAGATGTGTACCTGTTATGTGTAATCAACAAAGATGTGTACCTGTTATGTGTAATCAACAAAGATGTGTACCTGTTATGTGTAATCAACAAAGATGTGTACCTGTTAAATGTGAGCACAAAGATGTGTACCTGTTAAATGTGATCAACAAAGATGTGTACCTGTGAAGTGTGATCAACAAAGATGTGTACCTGTTAAGTGTGATCAACAAAGATGTGTACCTGTTAAGTGTGATCAACAAAGATGTGTACCTGTTAAATGTGATCAACAAAGATGTGTACCTGTTAAATGTGATCAACAAAGATGTGTACCTGTTAAGTGTGAGCACAAAGATGTGTACCTGTTAAGTGTGATCACAAAGATGTGTACCTGTGAAGTGTGATCAACAAAGATGTGTACTTGTTAAGTGTGATCAACAAAGATGTGTACCTGTTAAGTGTGATCAACAAAGATGTGTACCTGTTAAGTGTGATCAACAAAGATGTGTACCTGTTAAATGTGATCAACAAAGATGTGTACCTGTTAAGTGTGAGCACAAAGATGTGTACCTGTTAAGTGTGATCACAAAGATGTGTACCTGTTAAGTGTGATCAACAAAGATGTGTACCTGTTAATGTGATCAACAAAGATGTGTACCTGTGAAGTGTGATCAACAAAGATGAGTACCTGTTAAGTGTGATCAACAAAGATGTGTACCTGTTAAGTGTGATCAACAAAGATGTGTACCTGTTAAATGTGATCAACAAAGATGTGTACCTGTTAAGTGTGAGCACAAAGATGTGTACCTGTTAAGTGTGATCACAAAGATGTGTACCTGTTAAATGTGATCAACAAAGATGTGTACCTGTTAAATGTGATCAACAAAGATGTGTACCTGTTAAATGTGATCTACAAAGATGTGTACCTGTTAAATGTGATCAACAAAGATGTGTACCTGTTAAGTGTGAGCACAAAGATGTGTACCTGTTAAGTGTGATCAACAAAGATGTGTACCTGTTAAATGTGATCAACAAAGATGTGTACCTGTTAAATGTGATCAACAAAGATGTGTACCTGTTAAATGTGATCAACAAAGATGTGTACCTGTTAAGTGTGATCAACAAAGATGTGTACCTGTGAAGTGTGATCAACAAAGATGTGTACCTGTGAAGTGTGATCAACAAAGATGTGTACTTGTGAAGTGTGATCAACAAAGATGTGTACCTGTTAAGTGTGATCAACAAAGATGTGTACCTGTTAAGTGTGATCAACAAAGATGTGTACCTGTTAAATGTGATCAACAAAGATGTGTACCTGTTAAATGTGATCAACAAAGATGTGTACCTGTTAAATGTGATCTACAAAGATGTGTACCTGTTAAATGTGATCAACAAAGATGTGTACCTGTTAAGTGTGATCACAAAGATGTGTACCTGTTAAATGTGATCAACAAAGATGTGTACCTGTTAAATGTGATCAACAAAGATGTGTACCTGTTAAATGTGATCAACAAAGATGTGTACCTGTTAAGTGTGAGCACTAAAGACTTCTGAGTGGATGCTGGATTTTCTCCATCTAGTTCATATAAAAATCTGGTCATGCGAGGTTTATGAACAGTTGGCTGCAGAAATTAATGTCAAATAGAATTTTAATCTTCAGCTAATCTTTCTGTTTGAGGATTGAGTATATCAGAGATGTATATATTTGTCTAGACCTACAAAACCTACTATTAAAATTAATATGTCTATGTATTGATGTCAAAACTAGATTTATCAATGGCTGTCAACAAAGAAAATTGTTGGCTTAATATGACATTAGCTTCTACATCTTGTGCAAAGTATTTCATTTACTAACTTTCAAATTACTTCATTACAATGTAAAATATTAATCATTTTTTAGTGAAAGACAGACCACTTAAAATTAAATTAAAGCATAGCTTAAACTGTGCACACCTCATATGTTATGACACATTCAATAGTCATTTCTTTCACAATACCTTGACACCAGGTGTTCATGATAAATGGTGGCTGCAGAAAAATTAAATTACATGAGATAAACGAATATCACATTTTTCTCATACATGTAATAAAATGCTGACATTTTTCACTCATTTATCACTTAAAAAGCTATAACTCAATAACTTTCACAAGTTAAAAATTTTAACCTAGGATTTTTATTTACTACATAGACTACTTGAGATAACTGACTTTGTATAGAACTTTTACCTGTTTTAATTTATAGGTCCCATAATCAGGCATCTTACAGGTGAATGCGACTTCTTTGACAAGGGTAAGGGCAGTCTTGTCACTGTCATCTTCTATGTCAAAATCCAAGTACATTTTCCATTTGGTTTCCTGCAGGGTAGACAAACAATCATAACATAAATACTACAACCTCAATCATTAAATGAATACTACAATGTTGGTTAAACCTCAATCATTAAATGACTACTACAATATTAGTTAAACCTCAATCATTAAATGACTACTACAATATTAGTTAAACCTCAATCATTAAATGACTACTACAATATTAGTTAAACCTCAATCATTAAATGACTACTACAATATTAGTTAAACCTCAATCATTAAATGACTACTACAATATTAGTTAAACCTCAATCATTAAATGACTACTACAATATTAGTTAAACCTCAATCATTAAATGACTACTACAATATTAGTTAAACCTCAATCATTAAATGACTACTACAATATTAGTTAAACCTCAATCATTAAATGACTACTACAATATTAGTTAAACCTCAATCATTAAATGACTACTACAATATTAGTTAAACCTCAATCATTAAATGACTACTACAATATTAGTTAAACCTCAATCATTAAATGACTACTACAATATTAGTTAAACCTCAATCATTAAATGACTACTACAATATTAGTTAAACCTCAATCATTAAATGACTACTACAATATTAGTTAAACCTCAATCATTAAATGACTACTACAATATTAGTTAAACCTCAATCATTAAATGACTACTACAATATTAGTTAAACCTCAATCATTAAATGACTACTACAATATTAGTTAAACCTCAATCATTAAATGACTACTACAATATTAGTTAAACCTCAATCATTAAATGACTACTACAATATTAGTTAAACCTCAATCATTAAATGACTACTACAATATTAGTTAAACCTCAATCATTAAATGACTACTACAATATTAGTTAAACCTCAATCATTAAATGACTACTACAATATTAGTTAAACCTCAATCATTAAATGACTACTACAATATTAGTTAAACCTCAATCATTAAATGACTACTACAATATTAGTTAAACCTCAATCATTAAATGACTACTACAATATTAGTTAAACCTCAATCATTAAATGACTACTACAATATTAGTTAAACCTCAATCATTAAATGACTACTACAATATTAGTTAAACCTCAATCATTAAATGACTACTACAATATTAGTTAAACCTCAATCATTAAATGACTACTACAATATTAGTTAAACCTCAATCATTAAATGACTACTACAATATTAGTTAAACCTCAATCATTAAATGACTACTACAATATTAGTTAAACCTCAATCATTAAATGACTACTACAATATTAGTTAAACCTCAATCATTAAATGACTACTACAATATTAGTTAAACCTCAATCATTAAATGACTACTACAATATTAGTTAAACCTCAATCATTAAATGACTACTACAATATTAGTTAAACCTCAATCATTAAATGACTACTACAATATTAGTTAAACCTCAATCATTAAATGACTACTACAATATTAGTTAAACCTCAATCATTAAATGACTACTACAATATTAGTTAAACCTCAATCATTAAATGACTACTACAATATTAGTTAAACCTCAATCATTAAATGACTACTACAATATTAGTTAAACCTCAATCATTAAATGACTACTACAATATTAGTTAAACCTCAATCAAAATTATCTACAGCAGGAACAAAATATTTTTATTAAGCAAAGTGAAAATGATTTGAAAAGGAAATCAGAATTTTCTTAAGATGAGAACATTAGATGTACCTCATAGATTTTTTCATTCATAACTAAACTACTTGGTGTTTTAAAGAGTGTACAACTTTACCAATGTTGCACAGGATTTATTATTGTGTTATTATTTGTGAACAGGTTTTTAAGGCAAAGGATGCAACTCAAATTGGTTGTAAAGGTTAAAACATTGGTAAACACTGTGGAAATCTCCATTATCAATTAAAAAAGACAATAAGCAGTTAAATTTAGGTGACAGAAAGATCAAACAAGATAACAGGTGTCTTCTTCATCTTTGCTCTTAATTGTATTGTTGGAAGGGAATTCCTCAAACACAATTAAGTATTCAATGTCAACTGTGACCTACTTAGGTCTGTTTGGCTTTATGTATATTCAATCTCCTGAGTTATGTATTTGTCCTTGGGAGAATTGTCAGTTCACTGGTACAACCCGGTCAGCTGAACGCTGTCACATCATGTGATTGTAAGTTTAATCCCTGGCAGAACCTCAACCAATGGACTTGCGACCGTGAGGATCCTTGACTGACCCTCAACCAATAGTCTTAAGACTTTTGAGTTATTTCCCCTTACTCTGAGTTGTATTTAATCACGGGTTTCTCAAGTTCAGAGGCCGCCAGATTGACCTAGGGACCAGGAGAGGTGTGCCTGTGGTTAGGTACGCCATTTTGCAGTCTTGTTATTTTGTGACATGATTTCACCTTTTGTATAAGGAATTATGTGACTAGTTGTAGTTTACTGAATTTGTGGTCTGGTGTATTATGACACCTTTTTGACTATCGGTGATAGTATTAACCTGTATAAGGATTTCTATTGTTGTAGAGGCAAATTGTCTCTCCTTGGTCTTTTGTTGTAATTATTATGAGGCCATTCAGTTGTGTGTAGTAATGATTTATCACAGCTGTGATGTATTGTGATTTTTCTCAAACTGTAAGTTGGAGTTGAGTTTATTTATATTACACTGAGAATCTGTACATTTTGATCTTACCTAGTGTCATTATCTTGTACATAAATTAAAAAGGTATTCATAGTTTAAGGCGTGTGAGTCTCTTTGATTTGTCGTGATTTACCCCTAGACTGAATTAACGAGCTCACGGCAAGTTGTTGAGATTCCGTTACAACGTCTTCTATCGGTACCATACCAAACGAACCTGGGGCGTCCGCTTCCTCCGCGGCTGTCGGAGGTCGGACATAACAAGTGAGGGCTCGACCGGTATTTTGATTTATGTGCAAGTTTGGCACTAGTTTGAGTTTGTGATCAAGAGTTTGGTCAGTAGTTCGAAGAAGTTGAACTAGTTATTGAGTAGTTGTTTTTGTTATCAGTTGAAAGTAAACATTGTTACTTGTAGCTATGGAGGCTTTGTTGTTAAGTCCTACTGTGGAAGCAGTTGAGAACTTAAGTAGGAAAGATTTGATAACAGTTGTCAAAAAGTTAAACCTGGACTATATTGTTACTCAGACCTCTAGGGTGTTGAAGGACAAAGTTATTGTTTACTTCATTAATGAAGGCATGTTAGATGAGAGTCTTCTTTCTGAAGTTTTGGCACGGGAAGTGAAAATTGTTGATAGGGAGTTTGAGGCCAGACTAAAGTTAGAAAGAGAAGTTCAGATGAAGCGTTTAGAATATGAGTTTGGTATTATTGGCAGTAGTTCAAGGTCAGGAGGTCTTTCTCAGTTGTCTGTGGCCCAAACATTGGCCCAGTTTTGCAAATTAGTCCCTAAGTTTGATGAGTCAGATCTTGTTGTATTTTTTAATACATTTGAGAACATGGCTGAAAGTTGTCAATGGCCTAGTAACGTAGTCACAACGTTACTAAGCACTGTTTTAATTGGTAAGGCTGCCACCACATACCAGGCACTCTCTCGCGAAGTCCAGTCAGATTACAAAAAGGTCAAGGCTGCCATTCTGAAGGCTTACGAAATAACTCCAGAAGCCTACAGAATTAAGTTCAGAAAAAGTAGGAAACAACAGAACCAAACCTATGTTGAGTTCCTTTTTGAAAAAGAAAAAGTCTTTTCAAGATGGCTCCATTCTGAGAATGTCGACGACTTCGACAAACTCAGAAGTCTGATACTAAGAGAAGATTTCCTCAACGCAGTACCTGAAGAGATCAGACTACACATCTTGGATAACCGAATAACTGACATCAAAAGGGCAGCAGAATCAGCTGATACCTACGAGCTGGTTCATAAGAAGTCACAGGGTTCTGGTACCAAATACAATCCGGTACTACCTCTCATCAGCAACAATCCCCCTACTGGCCAGTTGCTGAGATCTCGTCAATCAACACAGATACCCAGAGTCACAGCCAGGCGACTGATCTGCCACTATTGTTCCAAGCCTGGGCACATCATCAAGAACTGTTTCCTGCGACAGCGAGACAACAGAGAGTATGTACGAACATCTCGTAACGCTCTCCCCCACCAAGCAAGTCTACAGGTGAACCTCGCCCGTCGTGATGACCCTACACCAGCGTGTCCACAGGGAGGTAATGAAGTGACCACCACTTTCGTCCAGTCATCTTATGACTATCCTCTTCACCAACCGGTTACATCAGCAGCAACCAATGGTGAAGAATCGAGAACTGTTGGCTTCACGTCATTCATGACAGATGCTGTCATCAGCAACCCTGGAGATCCAGCATCATCGCGGAACATCGTCGTCCTAAGAGACACTGGGGCTTCTCAGTCACTTTTGCTGAGAAACTCATTGAGCATCGCTCCAGAAACCAACACCGGAGATGTCACCATCATTCAAGGAGTGGGAGCTGAACCAACAGTAGTTCCACTACATAAGTTCAACCTGAGACATCAGCTCATCCAAGGAGATGTCATCCTTGGGGTGATAGATTCCATACCTGTCCCAGGAGTACACCTGCTTCTAGGGAATGACCTAGCGGGAAGCAAAGTCCACCCCCAGGAAGTTCAGAACCCGTTCTCTACAGACCCCGACGGTGAAAATGAACTGTTCTTTTGGCCGAGAATGCACCACGATGACACTCGTTATTGCAGACATTGTAAGAACTGTCAGTTGGTTGGGAATCCCAGTCAAAATATTCCCCAGGCCGATGAAACAGATTCTTGTGCTAGACGAAGCATTTAACAAGATTACCAAGGACTGCGTCACCTACTTCCCAGACCGGAGAAAGAAACAACTGGTTTATCATGTAAACTCACTATCTCTTTCTCCACAGCTAAGTTTATGTTACTTATAAGTATTTCTAGTCTAGTAAATTTGATGATGCTACTCTTAACAAGTTAAAGGCCCCAAAATTGTTAAATACTAAATTTTTGGCCCATTTAGAAGACCAACGTGTACATGTATCTTCTAATGAGAATCAGACATTCTCACAGGTAGTTAAAACTTTACCCTCCATTCCTTGGGATGGCAGGTTACTATAGGCGGTTTTGTAAAAACTTTTCAGCTGTAGCTGAGCCACTTACTGCCTTATTGAAAAAGGGTGTTGAGTTTGAATGGTCAACTAAATGTCATGAAGCTTTTTTGACCATTAAGTCATTTTTATCTAATGCTCCTGTTATGGCTGCACCAGATTTCAGCAAGCTTTTTAAACTTGCCATTGATGCTAGCAATTTAGCCATTGGCTCAGTCTTATTCCAGGAAGACAACCGAGGGATTGATCATCCAATAGCCTTTTTCTCTAGAAAGTTAAATGAGAATCAAAAGAATTATTCCACTATTGAAAAAGAAGCATTAGCTTTAGTCCTGTCCTTACAGCATTTTGAAGTATATGTCACTTCTTCCATCAATCCAGTCATGGTATTTTCTGACCATGATTCTCTTAAGTTCACTACTAAGTTGGGACAGAATAACAACAGAATATTAAGATGGTGTCTATTTTTCCAAAATTTTAATCTGGTTATTTCCCATATTAAAGGAACTGACAACATTGTAGCTGACTGTTTGTCAAGAATGTAAAACAACTTTGATGTTCACCTTGATCTTGTGAAACTTTTTTGGTTAGTTATAACCATTTTGCAAATGTTATGGTTGATTAAACTGTAGCCTGGTGGCTGGAGTTCCAAGCTTTCAATCAGATGTGAATTGTACGGTTTTTTCAAAACTGATTACTTGTTGAAAATGCCTGTTATTTTCAAATGAACCTTATTTAAAGGTGGTTTTGTATAATGTGCATTGAGTTGTTATAAAAATGTATCACATTATTCAGTGATGTTGTAGTGGGACATTTAAATAAAGGAATTAAGTTGTAAGTTTCCCACATATTATATCCAGATGGATATGTTTTGTTTCCTTTGCATAAGGAACTTTGATGTATTATTATTTTGGGAATGATTGTTTCCCTTTGGTAAATTGTAAAAAGGTGAATTGTTTCCCTTTAATTCTTAAAGATGTTTTTATTGACATAGAAATTTTGTAAGTTACTATAATTGGACATTTTTTGTGTCAGATTTGTTCCATATAGTGATTGCCATTTTTGTGTAACAAAAATGCCTCTCTAAAAGGGAGGGGATGTGACCTACTTAGGTCTGTTTGGCTTTATGTATATTCAATCTCCTGAGTTATGTATTTGTCCTTGGGAGAATTGTCAGTTCACTGGTACAACCCGGTCAGCTGAACGCTGTCACATCATGTGATTGTAAGTTTAATCCCTGGCAGAACCTCAACCAATGGACTTGCGACCGTGAGGATCCTTGACTGACCCTCAACCAATAGTCTTAAGACTTTTGAGTTATTTCCCCTTACTCTGAGTTGTATTTAATCACGGGTTTCTCAAGTTCAGAGGCCGCCAGATTGACCTAGGGACCAGGAGAGGTGTGCCTGTGGTTAGGTACGCCATTTTGCAGTCTTGTTATTTTGTGACATGATTTCACCTTTTGTATAAGGAATTATGTGACTAGTTGTAGTTTACTGAATTTGTGGTCTGGTGTATTATGACACCTTTTTGACTATCGGTGATAGTATTAACCTGTATAAGGATTTCTATTGTTGTAGAGGCAAATTGTCTCTCCTTGGTCTTTTGTTGTAATTATTATGAGGCCATTCAGTTGTGTGTAGTAATGATTTATCACAGCTGTGATGTATTGTGATTTTTCTCAAACTGTAAGTTGGAGTTGAGTTTATTTATATTACACTGAGAATCTGTACATTTTGATCTTACCTAGTGTCATTATCTTGTACATAAATTAAAAAGGTATTCATAGTTTAAGGCGTGTGAGTCTCTTTGATTTGTCGTGATTTACCCCTAGACTGAATTAACGAGCTCACGGCAAGTTGTTGAGATTCCGTTACAACGTCTTCTATCGGTACCATACCAAACGAACCTGGGGCGTCCGCTTCCTCCGCGGCTGTCGGAGGTCGGACATAACACAACATGTTAGGCGCAATATGGTATATTGAATCCAGCTTTTTAAATTTACTTCCATAGCCTTTGTTGGACCAAGAACAAGTTAGTTACCATGCAGCAGTTTGATTTCATAGATGACTTTGAACTCTGGACTTTTTGGTGTAGCAACTTTGAGCATTACCGGCCCGAACAAGCCAACCCCAGATAACAGGCAATTGTTATATTTTTTCAAACCTATCATTCGCAATTAAATCAAGCTTAAGGCAGAAGGCAACATTTATCATACAGGTAAATGGAAACAGTAACATTTGTGTTGTTTCCAATATTTAAGTTTTAAAAACAATCAATATATTTTTTATTAAGATGACTCTCCTGAGTAAAACCAATCAATAGCTTATCTCTAAAACAGCATTAACTGATTTGTAAGTAATAATCGAGCACACCAGAAATGGGTTTAAACTGAGACACAAGATTACACCATAAACCCACCACTCTGTATTATATTTAAAGTTCTATGTTTCAGTATACATGAATATGGAGTTCATTATTAACAACAAAGCTTTCAGATGTTCAATTTTAGTTAGCTGGCTTTAGCTTATTTATTATATAGTTTATATATTTTTAAAGCAAAGAATCTTTTTAATATAACTAGATTTTCATGTCTGCCATATAACTGTTGATAAAAAAAATAAGATCAATTAAACTGACAGAGAGAAGTGTAATTAATCAACATTTTAGTCAGTGATTTCAGCATTTTGGATTTTACCCAATGTTCCCCTTAGTAAACAAAAGATTTACTTCAGCTGAGGATCCTTTCCTCAAGTGATGTCCAAATATCAACATGACTGCAACAAACTCTCTTGTCTGGGGATGGGAGTTCTGTTCCCCCTGAGAACAGAAAAAACATTACATTGTTTATATAAAGGTACAAACAATTATTTCTTACTGTAATATTATGCATAGTTTAATGAGCACAATCAAAAAAATTTCGGTAATAAGAAGCTGTTAAAACCTAAATAAGTCTAAAATTTGGTTCCTGAGCTTGTCTAAGTCTTTGAATTCACCAAACTGTAATGGGTACCTGGTTCAAGTTTGAGTAAAGTCATCTGTGTGTAATGCTGACCACACAATTCTTTCATATACCATGATCAAGCAGTTTTCATCAGAACTAAAATGTTACTTTCCCACTTTTACTGCATTTTTAGTCATTTTTATCTGTCTCTCCTAGATAATTGAATGGTTTTTTTTTCAGCTCATCACTAGTGGTTTTATAATCAGCTTTTAACTATGTGTACAGACAAATAACAAACAAAACACTTACTGGTTTTATAAGAGGTGGAAAATTGAGCAGCCTAAAGTTGTGGGTCTTCAATGTTTCAATCTCCAACTGAAAAGAGGCCAACAATTAGTTTACCTGAATCTCAAATTAATATTGCTTATAAAAAGGTCATTATATTTTTACAGTCTAAGTTTGTGAACATGACTTATTTTAGTAGTTGTGATTTAGCTAGGTCAGTTCACTTTCAAAAAGTCAAAACATGGTTACTGAAGATTTCTTCTTTATAATTGTTTATAAAATTACAAATTATTTCTTACAACCTAAGACTTCATACAAAATTAACAATTACCAAACTTCAGAAAAAACCTGGCAAAAAAAAATATAGCCTGTTAGCTTTTTATTTTATAACTATATACCTCTATGTGTATTTTTAAAATGTGGGTTTTTCAAATCTAATGTTTTGGAAATCCTTAATATTAAGAATGAAATCTGATTTGTTATGTCTTAAAGTAAAAAAATCATTTATGTTAATGAACTACAATTAACATATCCAGTTTATAAATGCTATTCTACAAAGCTTATTTAAAAATAATTAAATCCATAAAGTTTGGGGGTAACACTAGAGGCTACATCTTAAACAATTATTGTTAATTAAACACAAGCTTTACTGTTACTGTCTTTAGGGCCCATTTATTAGACAAAATGTTTCAGGTTATAACTTTAAATTCACATTACAAAAAATTAGAGGTAAATTGCGTAACACATAATATGTCTACTATGCAGGCTTTTAATCTATTGCAAATACACGATTATTAAAAAAAAAAACTTTTTCCGAAACAGTTAGTTGAAAGTTAAACATAATGTCAATAAAACACCTGCATGGAAATCAATTAACAATTGTATTTTACCTGCCTCTTGAAGCACAGACCTAGCTTCTTTTTTAAATTAACAAATGAAATTAATTTGTAAACACAAGCTCATGTAACAGTTACATCCCTGTTGATATTGTATTAACACTTGAGATATGTAGTATGAAACAAAATGTTCCATTGGCACTGTTTGAAAATAAGTTTGTGCCTGATAAACAGCTGTAAAATACCTGAAAATCCATGACATGACCAACACTGACAATGCCCAACTCCTTTAAATCTTTCTCTAACTGTTTGAAAATAAGTTTGTGCCTGATACAGCTGTAAAATACCTGAAAATCCATGACATGACCAACACTGACAATGCCCAACTCCTTTAAATCTTTCTCTAACAAGCGCAGCAATCTACGTCCAGTAATATGATTGCTTAGAAACAAATCTGCATACTGTGCAAGATCTGCTGTGTGACCTAAACAAAATTAGTTGTAACAGTTGTCACTAGCATGTAAAATCATCAATATTGTGTATTATTTTTTTTTAAACTTTCCAATAATTTTTTAATTACAAATAAAGTGATTTTAAGAACAAAATTGCTTTATAAACTAAATATTATGAGTAGGCTTATACAAACTAAATGGTTAATTTAGTACAGTTAACTTTGTCAGAAACAAAAAAGACCTAGATTCTATATTTAGCATTGAACATTATTAGAAAAGTAACAGAAAATACCTGAACTTCTTAACTGCATCACCCATTGATACTGAAATAATATCAAACAAATGTTACTCTTTTTCCACAGCAAACCAAAATTAAATTAGCCTATATGAACTCAAATTTCTGTGGTATGTTTACTTATATAATTTGATTGGTTTTTAATATCTATTATAGGTGACATTTTTATATGAACAATAATTATGTTATGCAATAGGTAGTAACATTTTTTAATTAGTCTACAGCAAGAAAAATGAGGATCATTTATGTATTTAAGCTGACTAAATTAATGTCCCTAGACTTTAATTAATGTTTAATATTTGCGAACTCTTAACTAAAACAGGATTTAAAAATTGAATCTACTTACGACATCGACATCTCTCCATGTATTTACATCATAATCCTCCAGCCTCTAAAAGAATAATGAAAGGAATTAGTTTGTGTTTTCTGTAGAGAAAATTATGAAACTTATAGGAGATCTATCAAAGTGACTTACCACTATATTGAACTGTTGATTTAAGGATCTTTCTCTCTCTTTAAGTTTTAATTCTCTCTCTCTTAGCTCTTGTTCCCTGTCACAAATATCTTTCTCTGCACGTTTTAATCGCTCCAATGTTGCTTGAATTTCTTTCCTAAAAATAATTAGTTATATTTATGAGATGCTCAAATGTTTGAAAATAATTTAACACTTTAGTTTTAAAGGAACTATAAATACAGCTGTTCATATAAAGCAGGGGTCTCCAAACTTTTCAGCCCGAGGGCCGCATTAACTATCAAATATCAGTTCGAGGGCCAGAGTTTCTTCCAGGCATCGCTTCGGGGTGGCATATATATATATATATATATATATATATATATATATATATATATGTATATATATATATATATATATATACATTTCAATACTCTGCTTAGAACTTTCACACAACTTAGCCATCTTACTGCGGTGTAATATGTTAATTCTTGCGATTCTGTGTTTGTATCTTTCAACATGTCTCTGAACTATCTACGGATGAGCCCATGTGACCTTATTAATTTCACCATCTTCAACACAGGATTCAGTACACTGCTAATGTCCACATATTAAGTACACAAAGCTTGCTGGTGAATAATACAGTGCAGGGACATTGGTTGTAGAATGTTTTTCTCATTCGCTTGTCCAACCAAGCCTATCTTTATGACGCTCATTTACGTTCCTCCATCAACTTTTAGGCAACTGAAGTTAGAGCAGTCCAAGTTATAATCAGCAAATGTTTTTTTTACTAATTGAATATATCCTCTCCGGTAACAGTGCCATACATGTTATGTAGGGAAGCCAGCCATTGTGTTATGCTCTTGTCTTCATCTACATCTCTAATGAACACAAGCAATTGAGAGGTGGGTCAGCTGTCCAGCGACTCATCAGTTGCAATTGAAAAATTGTGAAACTTGCTTGCATATTTCGCTGTTAGATTCACAATGTTTTATAGATCTACAATGTCTGCAACACGGTTGGCAATGGTACTTTTGCACCAAATCCTACATTATCAATTTTTTTTTAATTTTTCCTGGACAAAAAGGTCTCCGCGGGCCGGATGAGAGGACCTCGCGGGCCGTAGTTTGGAGACCCCTGATATAAAGTATTATACTTCCTTAATTGCTAGTTACAAAGAGAAATAGTGTTAGATTGTGAAGGAGACCTGAATGTTTCTAAAAAATAAAATGTGGATGTTGTATGTCCATAATTTGGGTGCAAATTTGTGTCATGATTGGGAGTGGGTGGTAACAGCTAAGTTTTATTCATTTTCCTGTTACAAAATATATTAATAAATGGCAGTCTTGGTTTAACTTGTTTTCTAAGTTTAACTGCTCATGTGAGTTGATTTTAAAGACAAACAAAGGAGAACTTACTTCCATACACCTTTATGATCCAGGAAGGAGTTGGTCAAGTCAAGAAGGGATTCTGTAACATTAAATATTAAAAGTACATATCCAAGCTCATTCATTGGCATAGGTGGTCACTGTCTAGCATTTCTTTGGTTTGTTTCCCTCATAGACTGAAGAACCCAAATATAATAGATGACAAGCCCTGTTTGCTAATCTACCTTATCAAACATTTACATCTTGCTTTGCTACTATATTTTCTAATGCTTTTTGTATTAGGCTAATCTACAATAAAAATCATACCAGTACCAGAATAAAGGCAGTTTTCTTAGGGATGACTATAGAAATAATGCTTAAGTGGCAAAGATTTAAACATAAGTTTGTATATACACATTAAATAAAGCAAGAGTTAAGTTAACTAATATACTCAAAGCTTAACAAATGTGCTTACCATCTTCAGACATTGTTTTCAGCAGCATCAATATTTGTGTGAAATTTGGTCTCAGCTTAGGGTCAAGCTGCCAACACTGTTCCATCATCTTTCTAAAGCTTGGTGGACAAGTACTAGGTATCATGAGTCTCTGAAAATGTCAACAGAACAAACTGAACAGTTTCTTTTAAAATAAAATTTTACAAATGTTTAAATGTTAACTTTTTCCAACAACAGATATAGACACAAGAAATATTATTACCTCCCCTTTTTCAACAACCAACCAAGCAACTTGGAATCCCTCAATACCATTAAATGGAACTTCTTTAGTTAGCAACTCCCAAAGAACCTGATAAAATGTGAACATACATTACTTTTAAATCAAGAAATCATTAAATATATGCATGTGCAATTATAAATTAGTGTAAAAAAAAAACAGTGTTGTTAAACTGTTGTATACTGATGATGAACGCCTTATGGTCAAATCTTCCACTGTTATTGTTGTGAAGATGCTAACACTGTTTTTTATTATGATTATATTTTCAAGAGGACATACCACTCCATATGACCATGTGTCACAAGATTCAGAAACAGGAAAACTTTGAATGACCTGAATTAAATACTTTGAATTAGCATTACAAAGAAATATAACTCAATCTTAATTTTACATAATAAATGTGTATCTTTTAGGTATAAATCATGTTTGCTTATACCAAAATCTTTGTGCATACACAGTGAAAACAATGCAAGGTATATGAGGGTTGCTCACCTCTGGTGCCATCCAAGGAAAGGTTCCAGCCAAAGACATTCTTGTTGTGCTGCCAATAAATCTTGATGCCCCAAAATCACAAAGCTATTGAAAATGGTTTAGAGTCATAAGAAGTATGTCCAAAGAAAAGAGTATAAGAAAAAGTAATAACATTTTAAATTGTCAGTTTTATCATACAGTGATTCACTTTCAATACATACTATTTCAAGTGCCAAAAAAATATAGTAATAAAATTACAAAATACCTTGCATGTCCAATCTTCAGCAATTACAACTGTCAAAAAAGTAAATATTTTAATTTTAGTAATAGTTCACATTTTTGCTAAATAAATTATTTCCCCCTCGTCATAATAATTCGCACCCCTTCACAGTTTTTTAATCAACAAATGTTCAAAAACAGATAATATTTCTGGTTAAGTTAAGAGTTAAGATAAATAAAGTGTGAACATGACTGTTCTGACTATATCTCAGTACACAGTAGTAAGCCTACCACCAGGGGATGATGCGGATGATATGGGGTTTTTTTATGAGTTACTAAAATCTCCTAGAAAGTAGAGTTTATTGCATCCTAATTGTAAAATACTATTGCTTTTTAATTTGAAAAATAAAATTCATGAAATGCTCAGACAATAGTTTTTAAAAGTATCTAGCTGAAAAGGGTCTATTATTATTTTACTTTCACTTTGAGGGAAAGAGGGGAATGGTATTTGGCAATGGAAATTTAAAATAAACAAAATTGCATTTCTGAAAAAGTTTACATAAAAATACACATCTTTTGCAGTAACATTTGTCATAAATAAAAACAGTTCTAACAAAATTGTGTTTTTTTTTCCAGATAACTAAATAGAATCAATGATTAAATGGGAAATCGAATTCCTCAACATACCATTTTTGGATTTTAAGTCTCTGTGAATAACTTTCACTGGTGCTTCTCTATGTAGATAATTCATGCCTAAACAAACAAATTATTTAAGAAAAATTGGCTTATTAAAATTCAAATATTATTTAACTACTAATTGCCATATAGATATTAAAATAACTTCAAACTACTCATAAAGAGTGGACTAACTTGGAATGAGAAAAAATTCTCAAACTTACCTCTTGCTATTTCAATAGCCCATTTTACAATCTGACGAAAATCCAAAGCATTTTCTGGATTTTGCATGTAGGAATAGAGAGAACCATTTGGTGCATATTCTGTTAGAAAAAATACAGATCATTCAATATTTCCAAACACTATAATTTTTTAATAATAAAATATGAATAAAAAGGTAATTTTTACCATTTCAATATTCCACTGTAACAACTGGGCCATTTGTCAAAAATGACACATTCAGATGAAAAAATTTGCATTTAGATTAATCTTAAAATAAGCATCTTTGCTTTTCACATAAGTTTATTTATTCATAAATCATATTACCTAGGACGTAATACAAGATTTACACTTTCTGAAAACACGAGTGTTACACAAGTGAAAATCCAATGTCAGTCTTACCATCAAATATGCCAGTATAACTTCTGAGAATGTGAAATGTAGCTCAAAAAAATTAGAAGTGAAATCAGTCTTATATGATCAGCCTGATTCATAATTTATGGTGGAAAACAATAGTAAAATGAATTCCTTTTTCTGACATGTGAATGATCTACCATCATGTGACACATGTTACTGCAGAATACTACAGCACTTAAAAGAACCTCCACCAATGGTCTCCTTGAGACACAGTGCCTGTCCTGTCTCAAGTCAGGATAAAGGATGAGGGCCAGGCTAACATGGGAACTAAACTGATACAGAAACTCCAAGAAAGACATCAGAAAGAGAGGAAGTGACTAAGCCGATTATCCTCTCAACTAGAAAAAATACATGATATGTAAGGACCATGTGATGTATGAATCTGAAAAGGTAAGGAAGGTAGCACTTAAGATCGGGAACAAGAGACTTCAAGAGGCGAGTTTAAGCTGACCCTGAACAAACACATTTGAGGTGCTGTGAGTGACTAAAAAAACAATAGGCAGAGTGAAAGAGATATTGGCATAATGCAAGGAAGTATTAGGACATACAGTTCTATGCCCAGCCACTTTCCTACATAGAAGTCATACACCTTTGAGAACTGGGTAAACTCAAAGACATCCTACTGTCTTGAATCTGAGGACCGAAGCAAACATTTGCAGGTTAGCAATCGTGCACCCTTCAGCTCAACCCCACCATCCTAAATGATTATAGAGTCCTTTCATATGACGTCACGTTCGTTCCTGATACCTACGTCCGCCGCCACGGTGGTGTACACCAGACGTAAACACAATCAGCTGTTCACCAGCGCTGGACGCGTTCACTGTATGTAAAGAACCGCACCCGCGGAAAAGGAAAAATACGTTAAAAAACTTGAACTCTTAGGAATTGAAGATCCTTATACTGTTATTGACAGTTTCGTAGATAATATAAATATGTGGCCAAAATTTCTAAATAAAAATAGTATATTTGTCAAATACTAATAGTAAAAGACAAAGTCAAAAGTAATAATAAGAATAATAAGATCTAATAGTAGGCCTAATAATAGTGTTTTAATATCTAGATCTAGAATCTAGCTCTAAACATGGCGTAAACAAAATTCGGACCACAGATCTAGATTCTGGATTTAGGGTGACTGGCTCCGCTGGGTAGACATAGAATCTAGAATCTACTTCTTTACTTAAATTTAATTACAAAATTTAGATCTACATTCGATTCAAAATACAACCATAATAAATCAAAAGCAGTCATAGTAGGCATAATAAAGCATTTAATTGTCTCTAAGATCTAAAATCTCGCTCTACAATCTAATCATTTTTTTAGCAAACAAAATTTTCTGAAATTGAAATAGATTGTATGACTAGACTTAGATCTAGAATCTGCTACTTAAATTAAATTTTAAAATTTTTATACAAGCATGTAATTGATATTATTGTAGTAGAAGGCTTTAATAAATTACTAAGGCCTACCTACTTTGTGTCTTTTTACAGCAATATGTATCTGATACTGGACTTAGTTTAATTAAATTAAAATGCATATCTAGTAATTAGTCTACTAAGTTTATGTAGCCTAGTAGTAGAATCTAGATCATACCAGCCAACAACAAATAACCACATTATTATTATTTGGTTAATGATGCAGATTAGGCTAATTTTTTTTTTTAATCCACTGTTTATAAAAGAAACAAATCAAGCTAGAAACATTATAAGACTGAGATGGTTTAGAATAATAACAATGGACCCAGTCTACAATTGACACAATTGCAGGTCTACATAGGGCCTACAGTCTAGTAGTTTACAGGTAGCTGTCCAGAGTTAAGATTCTTAATGCCTTAATGCTTTCCCCTGATAAGCCCTGTGTGCTATAAATGACATAACATGACATTGAGGTGAGAAATGTTGATGGGAGAGCAGTGGGACTTTCCCCTTTGTTCTCCCTGCTGGGCCCTGAGGGTATCACAGAGGTGAGAAATTTTCAGGGGAGGGCAGTGGTACTGACTCCTCTTTGGTTTTATTGTGGGCTAGAAAGTGTGGGGGCTGGCGATCATGAGGGTTGAACATCAGTATTAATGTGTCTGATCACTTCCCTGCTGGATTATAAGGGTCTTAAATTGTATAACATGCTACCCAAATTGGCTGAGATCTAAGAACAGCAGTGGTTATTACACATGAATTATATTAGCCGTTGTAGTGTGGGTTTTGTAGGAGTTAAGTGGTCTCACGTTTGCTACAGTAGTGTGGTTGTACTAGATCTATTGCTACTAAATCTTGTACTTAACAGAGAATCTAGAATCTACATTAACCAGATCTAGATAACCTATAATATATTACTGCATTTGATCAGATTCGTCTACTTAACTCTAAACGCAAACAGTATTACTAACAGTATTTTTATTTAGAAATTTCGGCCACATATTTATATTATCCACGAAACTGTCAATAACAGTATAAGGATCTTCAATTCCTAAGAGTTCAAGTTTTTTTAACGTATTTTTCTTTTTCCGCGAGTGCGGTTCTTTACATACAGTGAACGTGTCCAGCGCTGGTGAACAGCTGATTGTGTTTACGTCTGGTGTACACCACCGTGGCGGCGGACGTAGGTATCACGTGATTTAGGTCACGTGTTTGCAAGGACTCTATTGGCACACTAGTATTTATTCTTACCTGTTACTAAGCAGTAATTAGGATCTTGAATTACAGCTCCATAAAATTTTATTATGTTGCGATGACTCAAACTACTGAGTACCTGCGCCTATTAAAATAAGAAATGTGAACTGAATCATCAGTAGACTTAATCATTTAGAACCTGTAGATAAAGTAGTATAGTAAGTATACACCCACAATCTTATAAAGAGAGACCAGCATATCACATAGAAATACAAAGCTGTGATTACTAGATAATAATTTAATAGAATCTTTTTAACAGAAACTGAGTAAACAAATGAATTACAACTCACTACTTAAATTGAGCCCCTTACCTCTTTTTCCAGTACTAGCAAACGTTTAACAGCTACTATCATGTTCTGTGACTGCCATAGTGCTCTATAAACACTACCAAAAGTTCCACCACCACAGCGTTCATAGAAGCATAAGTCATCAAACCGAATCTCCACAAGAGTTCCCATTGATCCAATTTTTTTACTGTCCAATGCTGCATACATATCTTTTCTCAAAACTTTCCAACATCACTCATTTCTAGATGGAAAATAGAATCTTTAAATTTTTTAAATAGGCCTAGTACAATTTAAATTTTTGAGTTGGTGTTTTAAAGTCATATAAAGCTCACAAACCTAAGCCAGTCACATTATTTATAGAGAAGGAAATTTATTAAAATTGCCAAAGAATAACCAACAACAAAGCAAAACCAAATAAAACAAGGATATATCAATTATTTATTATAGGCCTAGGCCTACTTCAATATAAATATAATATTTAGATCAGGTTGCTAAAGTGCAGCTAAACTTAGCAGTAGGCCTACATCTGTGACACTGACATCTGATTGCCCTAGTCTAATAACTAATATTTGTATAGTACTTATAATAGTACAGCTAAGGGTCACATTAACTCAAATTAACTGTAAGTTATGTAATTTTTTAGAACAATTTGGTCAAACTCCTCCTGGGGGGGGGGTACTTTCACAACGTGGGCATGTGGTGGAGTAGTGAACAATACATGACATGGTAAATTATATTTAGATCTAGATATAACTAAATAAAGGCCATGGCTATTCTTTATAATAAAATGCCATTAAATTAAAAATTTTAATTTATTTAATATTTATTTAATATTTAGACCTACCCAAATACTAAAATAGATCTAGATCTAGATCTAGTGCCAAATACTAAATAAATGCCAGGCTAAATATTAAATAATAACCTTCCCTATTCACAGTGACAAGGAGAGAGAACTAAAGTCTAAATGCATTAGAACTAATCTAGATCTGGAATCTAACTTTAACTTAGTACTAAACTGTTGGGTTGCTGTTGTCGTGTTGCGTGAGTTAGGGGAATATCAAACATCTATTTTTAGTGTTTCGAAAAATAAAACCAGCTGCCTCGCATGCCTGTAGTTTTAATTTTCCACACCAGTAACTAAAGCTTTAATTAGATCTAGATCTACACTTAGTGCGAATCAAAATTAATATAGATTATAGATTGTAACGCGATTCGAAAAAAGAACACATGCATATGTTTCCAGCTAATTATAACTACGAATTCAAATTATTTTATTAATTGTTATAGATCTCTAGTTATTGATTGTTTCTCTTCTTATTTATTAGGCCAAATTAATAATTATTTTATTCACTATCACGGCAGTGAGGCATATTCACATATTCTAATGCTAAGATGAGAGTCAATTACTGAATTAGGCCTAATATCAAAAGCAAAGATCTCTCTTTAAATTAATCTATTTTTAAATGTATAGCTATTAGCTAGATCTAGACTCTAAAGTCTAAACCAAATAGTTATAAATCATTACATTTTTATGCCAGGGAGATACTTATACTACGCACGCTTTCTAATGCTTTTTTTTTATCTGGCTATGTGAGAATCCATCTTTTTGCTAGGGACTCAGATTATGTGACCAGGTTTTTAGAAAATGTAATTTCAATATTTCATTATTGAAACATTTCTGTTTAGGCCTTCATAAAAAAAAATCATTGCTTTCATCATTTTTACTAATTTTACATTATTTACAAGTTTTATTTAACTTGCTTCCTCTGTCTGTCGTCATAGTTCGAAACTGCCGAACGAAATTTCGAGCATTTCTAACTGACCGTTTCGTTTCATGTAAATTATGTAGAAAATATATACTTAGGGAAAAGTTAGTCGCCCTTCAAAAAACAAGTGATCCCCCCGGCCCGGAGAAAAAAGTCAGAAAGTAACACTGGATCAGTGGCGTAGCGAGGTCGGGTGTCACCCGTTGCGGCACTTAATGGTGTCACCCCCCCCCAGAGGCGTAGCGACCCTTCCCGGGGACAAACTTTCAAATTTTCGATTTGCACCCCCCCCCCCTCATACTTTCGCTTTGCACCCCCCCCCTCAAGTTTTTCTCTATATATTTTGCTATTTTTTGCCTTGGTGTCACCCTCCTAAATGGTGTCACCCGGTGCGGTCCGCACCCCCCGCCTCCCCCTCGCTACGCCTCTGCACTGGATCACTACATGTTAAATTTCATCAATGAATTTTCTTATAATTCGATCTTCTCTTACAAGTCGCATACCATATTTCTCTTGGGTACTTATTTTTGCCTCTAGGGGTGGAGTAGTATACTGTGGCTTTCTTAAACCACATTAGCGCGTGACATCTTTTCGTTTAAAAATAACCACATGAAAATGAATAAACTAAGAAATACTTTTTTTTAAATGAGAATTGGGTCAAAATATATACCTTTCGTCTGTCGTAATTTTCTATCTTTAGATCAACTCAAGGGGAAGCAACACTTCTGTATGTCTAACTACACTTACGATGAGGACTTTTTCTTCTTTGGCAAATGTTCAGTTCAGCCCCGCGCTGCTAGTACCAACGGTTCTAGATAAAAGGTTGTTCTTGATTCCATCCCCATCCCCCTGGTTAAAAAAAAGTCAACGGGTCTAAATTCGTTGTGGATGACCGACTTTCCTTTACTTCTATACATTTTCGATTTCTCTTAATTATAAAAGTAACGGTTTAGTTGTATTAATTAATGGTTATCAACTGTTTTAATATGATGGGATGGTGTTGTCTGCACTTTGTCAATGCGCCTTTACTTTCCTTAACGTAAATCTAGTACCCAACAGATCTGGATGGGCCCATGGGACGTTGTACAACCTTGAGCCTGGGATACGAACTTGAGACTTAGGGTCCACACTTGCATACAACATCACTAACACAACGAGTAATGGTAATGCTACATGTAAATGTACATGTACAAGTAAAGGTAGACTACTACAAACACGTCAGAAACATGCTTATACATTTTTATTCCATTTGTGTGTGTGTCTATAGGGCCTACTATAGATAACCAACAACCGTTATCGGGATAATATCCTGCTGCAGTTTTATGGCAAAACTTAAACTACAGGGGGAGTAATTCTGGAGGGAGGGTAATACCAGGAGGGGAGAAATAACCTACATCCGCGAAATAAAATGATGTTCAGTCGGGTGAAATTATTATCCTGAGTTATCAAGTATTGTTCTGTTTATAGGAATTCTTTACACGAATGTGAATTATGTATCTTTAACATGTGACTCGAAACGAATGTTCAGTTTGTATCATAAACGTGTGACTTGAAACGAATGTGAATTTTGTACCATTAACTTGAGGTTTTGAGAACCACTGAAGTGAAGTCAGAGAACGCATTTAGACGCACATTTTTGTCTCTACACCAGGTAGAAGTAGAACGTGAGGCTGCACGGGAGAGGCACAGTGCTAGAGACGGCTGCCTACTGTTTACATCTGATGTGTTGTCCTCAATGGAACGCGTGATGTAACTTTTTTCTTTGTTCTAAGTTTTCTTATAAAATGTGCAAACACTTAATGGATCTAGATTCTTGGTGAGTTTTAGATTTGTAAGTGTGATACGGATAGTGAGCGGAGATACTATTATCAATGTGAGTTGAACAGGTTTATTTATTTATTTATTGCACATCTGGTAAACTTGTGTAACTGTAAATCTTTAAAGTATACAATTCAGTTTAATAAAGTCTCGGATCCTTATTTTGAATCTAATATAGAAAACTCTATAGAAAAAGTTGTATACTTGTTTACGAAAGCTTGTTTTTTTTTTTTAAAATAAAGTATAACAAAGGTTTATTTAAATACCATGTTTTTTTTTCTGCGATCAATTGTAAACTTTTTCTTACTGTTTTTTTTACTGCCAATTTTAAGTGAGAAAAATATATAAACAAACCAGAATTCATTTTCAAGCTCGAAAATACAACTCTATGTTAGCACTTTGTTTTCGTAGATAACGTCGTACTTTGATAAATCCTGAATTTAGGCATTATGGCAAATATCCGGATAAAAAGAAGAGGGAGGAATGTATTAATCAACCCCCTCTTCAATATCGCACGACGCAATAGTATTAGAATAATACTATACCATCCGGTGTTTACATAGTCATATTACAACGAGATATTAATATGTAACTGTATTCAGTGGTTTGCTGTCATAAGAATGTAGTTACGTTCTTGTGCTGAACACAGCCGTTTACACACACACAGCTACCATCAGCCTGATCTAGGTGAAAGTATTTCTCAAATTAGCCACATCTTTACACATTGCGCAGTGCATGTGGTTTACCTGGTGAGGTGTATTATGAAAGAATGTCTGCAACTAGGAGCAGATTAAACGTGAGTGGGGCTCTTGGCCTAAAATGTGGAACATGTATATATATATATATATATATATATATATATATATATATATATATATATATATATATATATATATATATGCCTATACATTATATCGTTTTGTTGGACTCGGTAGATATAGTTACTGTTGTTCACACTTTTTTTTTGAGTTTTAGATTTATGGAAAGTTTTTTATTTTTAACATCTTTGTGCTAGTTGAAAATATCGATTTCGATATTGTGACGTCTTTTGCGGATGACCCCCCCCCCCCCCCCCCACATACTTGAGTATTTCTAGTTCAGTGCTATTCTGGTGACGTAGGTTCATTGTTTACAATGGGTTCGTCCTGTTGGGCCCTATCTTCACATCTGTTGTGTTCGCACGATGTTGGCAGATCACTTGCAGACCGCTGATCTGGAAAAGTTCTAAGCCAGGGGTCGGCAACCTGCGGCTCGCGAGCCGCATGCGGCTCTTTTGATATCAAGATGCGGCTCTCCAGCTCCTTGAACAAATACTAATAATCTTAATAAAAAAATAAAATATTTGAAATAAAAAAATGTTAGTGGCTCTTTAAAACCAGGGAAATTTTGAAAATTGTAACTTTTGGCTCTTCCGCTTCAAAAGGTTGCCGACCCCTGTTCTAAGCCAAATTCTCGATGCTGTTAGCGTGGTCTACTTCTCCCTAGGCGTCTGCTCCAAAAGACACAAATTTTGGTAATGAATAGTTCCTCTGGATAAAAGGAGCTGAGTAAAAACGGCTCTCAAGACAATAGCAGAATAATTGATGAGTAAAAAAAATAAAATAAAGATAATTATCTTTATTACATCGTTACTATCATTACATGAAAAGACGTAATGACAGCTATACTAAAACTATTTCTTTTAAATTATTATTATTGGCATCAAATGCTCGTGTAGGTACCTTGGTGAAAACTGGCCTCCATAACTTAGTGAGATTTTTGTGTTGAATTTTAACTTTTACCTAAAAATAACTTCTGAAATGTGATCTCTAAGTAGAGTTTGTGTTGTGACTTAACAATTATAATAATGTAAAATCTCCAGTAATATACACAATTTAATAAAAACTGCAGTGAAAGAAGAGCCATTTGGAATGTGTGTGATTATCTATAACACAAGCGTAAAACATTTTTGGTTTATTAATGCTACTTGGGTGTGACTCAGAAAATGTATCAATACATTAATTTATATTCTAATTAGTATACACTTTTTTTTTTATTTTTCAGATATTTCAAAATAACCCAGATTTCGATTCTGTTGTGTTTTTAAATTAGATTGTTACCTTACACTCAATTAGTGTGAATTTTATTTGCGACAGTTACGCTGCAGAAAGATTAATGTAACTGCATGCTTTTAAGAAAAATCTCGTGATAAGAAGACGCCATTAAAATGTGAATTGGTCAAAACCAAAATGTTTAGATAATTTACTGACTTTGGAAACGAAACAAATCCTATCAGAAATGTCCACCTCCGACATGTCTCTGGCATCTGAGCACGTCCAGAGACTTCTGCAGTGCGCCGTTTGTCTTGAGAGATTTAAGCAGCCCAAAATTCTGCCTTGTCAGCACACGTTTTGCTTGACGCCTTGCCTCGAGGGGCTAGTGGACAGAAGAACCCGATCAATACGTTGTCCGGAATGTCGTGCTGACCATTTTGTGCCCCGTAACGGCCCAGCCAGTTTCCCCAACAATCTGACAGTCATTGGTTTCCTGGAGCTGTCCGGGCCGTCTGGGCGAGCCCTTGAGAACATGTCGAGAAGCGAAGGAACCGATGCCATTCACTCTTCGAGTTCCTGGGAAGTGCAACAGTCTCAAAGAGAGTCCAGCCCACCGCTCGTGCCGCTGGGCACCACTGGTGCCGAAGGTGTGAGTTGTGCTGTCTGTCGAAGTGACGGCAGATTCGCCAGGTGCTGTCACTGTGACCAGCTAGTTTGTGAGCAGTGCCGACAATCTCACATGCAACAGGTAAAAACAAGAATGCTTGAATGTAAAAGTATACAAGTAAATAGCTGTATATTTACATATACATAACTATTTTGGAGGCATAAACGCCTATCATTACCTATTCTTTTTGAAAATACTAACCGTTAGACAATTCACATTTTCACTTCCTTAATTATATAACTATGTTTACAATCCTATTTATTTCCTAATGTTAAATTAATTACATCACAAATACATTAATGATATGTCTCTAATTTGAGTTTTAAGTTCGTGCTATTGTCTTGCGTAAATAGTATATATTTGTGTATATTGCGTGCGTATATATATATATATATATATATATATATATATATATATATATATATATATATATGTTTTTGATGTTTTTCTAGTTAATTTTGTGGTAAATGTCAAATAAAAAGAGGTCCTAGATGTAATATATTGAGATAATTGTGAGGTCAAGGGAACTCACTCTTCTTGTGTTGGTTATATTTATAATGTTGTTATTATGAGTGATGTCCCTTGTATATTGTTCTTCCTCTTCCTGTTAACAAATAAAGATGTCTACATGCTAATGGCTTCTATCTCCGTTGTGTATTCCTAATCTATCTCATTGGCGGCGAGGATAAATAATCCACTAGAAAGAGCACCTAATTATTCAAAAAGAGGTTTGCTAGAGCATATTAGCTAAGTATTTCTAGGATAATGGCGCTGTATGGCCAAATAAAAGAATTTGATTCGAATGATGAAATCATTCATGATTACCTAGATAGGTTAAGCTTTTACCTTGAAGCAAACGACGTGACGATAGAAGCCAAAAAGAGAGCTGTTTTGTTAACAGTCATAGGGCCTCAACAATTTAGGCTACTAAAGGACTTATGCGCACCAGCTAGTCTAACTACCAAGAGCTTTAACGAGCTGAGCAAATTGCTAACAGACCACCATGCGCCTACCCCATCAAAGTTTCTATGTCGAGCTAGATTTGACGGTAGGACTCGTCAACCAAACGAGTCAATATCAGAATATGTTGCTGCTTTACGTCATCTAAGTGAATTTTGTGAATTCGGAGACACGCTGTCTGACAGACTATGTGAAAAGTTTGTGACAGGTGTAAACAGCCCTGATATTCAAAGAAAGTTGCTGCTCGAGTCAGATCTAACATTGGAAAAAGCAATACAACTAGCAACTTTATTCCAGCAGTCATCAGATGCGGCAAAATCTCTAACGCCTTCAGAGATCCATGCAGTAAACAGCAGGTTAGTCAACAAACACCAACCCCATCAGAGCATTTCAACTTATGCTAAACAGCCTGCACGTTTAAAGCCTAGATCTAAATCTAGTAATAATTATCAAAAATGGCATCGATGCAAAGGTCCCCATGCATCTCATCGATGCAAGTTCAAGTTAGCTACTTGTTATAAGTGCAGTAAGCAAGGTCACATTGCTAAGGCCTGCTTTGCAAAGTCTTCGTCTGTTGCTAAATCTAGCCAGTCAAGACAGTACCGCAACCAAAGGCAGCACTATGTTAACTCTCACCAAGACTACCTAACCCAACCAATGAACCACTCTACCTGTGAAAATGCTCAAACTGATTCGCAGCCGGATTTCAGCCTGTTCTCTGTGAAATCAATAAGTCATGCTCCCATCAATGTACCAGTTAATATCAACGGTAAGAGCATCAGCTTCCAACTTGACACTGGAGCATCTCTAACAGTCATAACAAAGAAAGACTTTGATGCTGTCACAGGAGGATCAGTGCCTCTACAGCCATGTCACAAGTGTCTAACAACATACACTGGTGACAATGTTCCGGTAATAGGAGAGTGTATGGTTCATGTAAGTTATAATGGTCAAAGTGTTAAACTTCCTCTTCTTGTGGTTGAAGGAAATGGACCACCATTACTAGGTAGGAACTGGTTAAGTGATCTTAAGTTAAATTGGGAGAGTATTTGTTCATTGATCAATACAAGAGAATCTAGTCTTACTTCAATAAATAAAGTAATATCTGAAAATAAAAGTGTTTTTGGCAATTCAGGTTTACTAAATGATAGAACAGTGAAGATAAGCATTAAAGACACAAATCCAAGATACTGCAAAGCTAGAGTTCCACCTTATGCAATGAGGAATAAAATTGAAAATGAGCTAAGTAGATTGGAATCTAATGGCATCATAAAGAAGGTAGACTATTCCGATTGGGCAACGCCCATTGTGCCAGTGTTAAAGAAGGATGGTTCTATAAGAATTTGTGGAGACTATAAAACTACACTGAATAAGCAAATAGAGCTAAATAGGTACCCTATTCCTAACATTGAGGAAATTTCTTTGAATTTGGCAGGAGGAGACAAATTCACTGAATTAGACTTTAGTCATGCTTACACTCAACTAGAACTGCATCCAGATTCAAAAGTCTATACGACAATAAACACACATAAAGGACTCTACCAATATGAAAGACTATGTTTTGGCATATCATCTAGCCCTGGAATTTTCCAAGCTGTCATGGACAGTATTTTTAAGGATATTCCAAATGTTTGTGTTTACTTTGACAATGTGTACATAACTGGTAAGAATGACACTGAACATCTTAAAACACTTGATAAAGTATTGAAAATAGTTGGTGAAAAAGGTTTAAAGATAAACAAAGATAAATGTCAATTCATGTTGACAGAAATTAGTTTTCTTGGTTATATATTGAGCAAACAAGGCATCAGACCTCAACCTGAGAAAACAAAAGCCATTAAAGAAGCACCCAAACCTGAAAATACCCAACAACTAAGAGCTTTTTTGGGCTTGATAAATTACTATGCGAAGTTCATAGGGAATCTGTCTGGTAAACTATCACCACTGTACAAGCTGCTACAGAAAAATGCAACTTGGCACTGGGGTAAACAACAAGATACTGCTTTTAATGCAGCAAAAGAAGCTTTGTCTTCTGACACCTTACTAACTCACTATGACCCAGGGAAAAGACTTATATTAACAAGTGATGCTTCACCAGATGGTGTAGGAGCAGTCTTGTCCCACATGGATGAGAAGGGTGACAGACCCATTGCTTTTGCCAGTAGATCTTTGAACCAGGCTGAGAAAAATTATTCTCAGTTAGATAGGGAAGGCTTAGGCATCATTTTTGGTGTTAAGAAATTTCATAAGTTTCTGTTTGGTAGGAAGTTCACCATCTTTACAGATCATAAACCATTGCTAGGTTTATTTGGAGAAAACAAACCCCTACCTGAGCATGCCTCACCAAGAATTCAAAGATGGGCTATCACACTAACTGCATACAATTATGAATTGAAATACAAACCTGGATCTGAGAATAGTGCAGATAGCCTTAGTAGATTACCTTTAAAAAACCAAAGCCTGAGCTATGTACCAGAAGATGTATTTGTTCTCTTCACTATCATGGATAACTCCAATATAAATGTGAATGATATTAAAAGAGAAACACAAAAAGATGAGTGCTTAATAAAAATATATGAGTACTGTAAAAATGGTTGGCCTGAAGAGTCAGTGAATGAGGACTTAAAGCCATATAAAATAAGAAAAACAGAGTTAAGTCTAGAAGATGGATGTATACTATGGGGGTCAAGAGTAATTATCCCCAAAATGTTACAAAAAGAAGTTTTAAGAACTTTACATGATACTCATCTTGGTTCTTCCAAAATGAAGAGTCTAGCAAGATCATGGTTCTGGTGGCCACATATGGATGCTGATATTGAAAAATATGTAAAGCTTTGTTCAAGCTGTGCACAACATTCAAAGCAACCAGCTACAGCACCCTTGCAAAACTGGGACTGGCCAATCGAACCATGGAAACGTATACATATAGATTTCGCAGGACCTTTCATGAACAAAATGTTCTTAATTGTTATTGATTCACATTCTAAATGGTTAGAAGTTAAAATCATGAACACAATCACTGCAAATGATACCATTATAGAACTTAAGGAAATATTTTCAACTCATGGATTACCAGATCAAATTGTTTCAGATAATGGGCCTAGTTTCACAGCTCATGAGTTTAAACTGTTTTGTGTGGCAAATGGTATTGAGCATATAACCACATCCCCCTATCATCCTGCTGGGAATGGTTTAGCTGAAAGAGCGGTAGGCATATTCAAAACCGCTATGGTAAAAATGAATACCGGTAACAAGTTTTCTCTTAGAGAAAGAGTAAACAGGTTCTTAACCAAATACCGCACAACTCCTCATATAACAACAGGTGTTGCACCATGTGAATTGCTATGTGGTAGGAAAATTAAAACTCATCTTGACCTACTACATCCAACTGTTCAAAGGTCTGTTTCCCAACATCAACATACACAAAAAGTAAATCATGACAAATCATCCATTGAAAGAGAATTTGCAGTTAATGATAATGTGTATCTAAGAAATTATGGGAGAAGGGAAAAATGGATACCAGGTCAAATTGTTCAATGTACAGGACCTGTGTCTTATAAAGTAAAAACAAATGATGGACTTATTGTCCGTAGACATGCAGACCAGTTAAAAATAACTTGTGCAGATAATAAGTGTGAATCTGTCAATCCCACCAAATCTGAACAGTTCACACCAACTCAGTTTGTTCCACAACCAAGTTCTGTTGATATGAGTGAACCAAGTAGTCTGGAGTCAGAAAATGTAAATTCTGGAGTTAATGATTTAAATCCTAGACCTCCTGAGATAGAGAATCCAAATGGTCAGAATATTGAGTCACCAAATCAAAAGCCACTGAGAAGGTCAAACAGGACCTATGATTTTAAAGGTCAAAAGGACTTTGACATCATTGTTTGTATTTTAATTATGTTGTAACATATTGTGCATTGTTTGTAAGGATGTAATCTACCATAGTGTTCATGTTACAATATAATTGGTGATTTTAGGATACTATAAATTGTTCTATTGAGAGATGTGTTGTTGTGTTCTAAGGGTAAAGGGATGTAATATATTGAGATAATTGTGAGGTCAAGGGAACTCACTCTTCTTGTGTTGGTTATATTTATAGTGTTGTTATTATGAGTGATGTCCCTTGTATATTGTTCTTCCTCTTCCTGTTAACAAATAAAGATGTCTACATGCTAATGGCTTCTATCTCCGTTGTGTATTCCTAATCTATCTCACTATATAAAGGTGCTTACTTCGTACCAACAAAACAATTTACAGTCACGCGCCTTTATACATATCACATCACCACACCCTACCTTGCTGAACGCTAACCTAACAAAATTTTTTCTGTTACAAGGTTAAAGCGGATGTGACTAGGATGGTAAGTCTCGTGAGACGTGGCTTGCCTCACATCACAGAACAAATCATCGCCATGGGCAGGAAACGAAACCAGCTGCAGAGCAACTGCGAATGTGTCAAGTCCGAAATCTCAGAAGCGTTTGAAAAACACAGCCGCGAGTTGAAATCAAGGGAGAGAACCCTACGAGAAGACGTAGAGACGTTCTTCGCGAGTGAGCTTAGGAGCTTGAGGAGTCATCAAGAAAATGCTGAGATTGAAATCGCCAGCTTGTCCAGCTTTTGTGACTCTGTGGAATCAGTTCTTAGCATGAGCCGCCCTATACCGGATGGCGACCTAGTAGAGATGAAAGGCCAGTGCTATCAGCATTTAGAAAGCGTTCAGTGTTACGAAGATGGGACAACCAGACCGCCGAACGTTAAGCAGATTCAAGCTTCTCTCGAGAGTCCTTTTCTGTCCTCAACGATTGGTAATTTCGGAGATTTGATTATAACCACACGAATAGCTCCGGCTCTAAGAGATCTCGACGATAACCCTACTCGACCCGAGCCAATGTCAAGGTTGTACGCATTAGCCCCATCTCAGCGTAACCCTAGAGGTTTGAACGACGTTCATCTGGAAGTAGCGTCAGTATCTCCCGGCACCCCGAGGAGGCAGTTGTCGCCCTTGACAGATCAGCCAGCGAATAGACTGGGGGAAGACAGTGACGCAAGAGAATCCCCCAGCTCCCCAGCGGTGTCGAGAAGGCCATTATCACCTTCTGCACGACTGATGCAGGTAAAGTAAAATGTGTGCTGTCTTATTTGAGCAACATATGAATCAATTAGTTCAGGATATTAAATGCATACTTTTTGGTTGGCATCGTGTCCGTCTTATGAAAAAGGAGTGGTTTTAGAGGTGACAGCAGTAGTATATTAGGTCGCTTTTGGACCGCATTTTTGGCGGAGGAGCGCAGGGTGAGGAGCAATGACATATAGTAAAATACTCGGGAGCAGGATGCGCGGGATGCGCAATGACATATAGCAAAATACTACGCCAACTGGCGCATCGCAGGGTGAGGTGGATGCGCAGGATGCGCAAAGACATATAGTAAAATACTACGCTAACCGGGGTTGGCGGAGGTGGTGGGGAAGTAGGTCACCTTTTGGTGACCTTGTGACGTAATCATTGACCGTGTGACGTAATTACTGACCTTGTGACGTAATCAGTCACATTGTGACGTAATCATTGACCTAGTTACGTAATTTTAATGTGTTTTTAATTAGTTTGAATATATTTTTTAATTAATTTTTATAATTAGTTTGAATTTAATTACTTTGTTTACTTTTTAATTATTTTTATTAACGAGTTACGTAATTGGCTTTTAATTTTTTAAATTTTTTAAATTTTTTAAATTTTTAAATTTTTAAATTTTATTTTTAAATTTTTTTTTTTTTTTAATTTTAAATTTTTTAAATTTGTTTATTTGTTTACTTTTTTGTTTAATTTGTTGGTTTGTTTATTTGAATGTATGTATGTTTTAAATAAAAGACTAACACTAGCATGTACTAGAACAGTCTTTGTATACCAGCCTTTAACCAGGCGGGCAACATGTGTTACTTATCGATCTACTAGTGTTGTTTTCTCGCCGCTGCCCGTTTTAATGGGAATGTATTGATCGCACCCACGGGGCCATCACACCTAATTAATTTGGTCATGCATCGTGGGTTTTTCCCCGCTCGATTTGACGGGTCATGATGATTTATGTGGGTTCGCGAAGCGATCCCACCGGGGGGTATGGTAATTAACGACGTACATTAACTGGCTTTCGGCGAAGCCAGCGTTAAGTGTGGGAACATCTGTTACCACGTTAATTGATTTTTTTTTCCCCCCGGTTGGATCCCGTGCTTTTCACTAACAGTTATACGGACAGTATCATAGGTTTTTGGTTTTCACCGAGGCAATGTTTTGTTGTTGGTTGGTGTAGAGTTTATACGAGGGTCGGTGAAGTTTTCACCGAGGTTGGGTTTTGAACTCGGACCATGCATGTTTAGGAGTTGGATGTGGTAGAGTTTACACTAGGGACGGATGTGTTTTGGTTACACCGAGGGTGGTTTCAAAGTTCGTACGTGCATCATTGGAATTGTTGGGGGGCCGTGTTCATACTAGGGTCGGTGAAGTTTTCACCGAGGTTGGTTTTGAACGCGAACCATACATGTTTAAGAATTACTAGGTGTAGAGTTTATACGAGGGTCGGTGAAGTTTTCACCGAGGTTGGTTTTGAACTCGAACCATACATGTTTAAGAATTGCTAGGTGTAGAGTTTATACTAGGGTGGTATGGTTTTGGTTTCACCATGGCTTGGTTCAAAGTTGTTACATGCATGCTTTGGAGTTGGTAGGTTTCAAACTAGGGTCGGTGAAGTTTTCACCGAGGCAGGTTACAAAGTTGATACAGGCATGTTTTAGGAATTGGGGTGGGCCGTGTTCATACTAGGCTCGATGAAGTTTTCACCGAGTGATGTTGGTACACGATGTTTTGGAAGGGGTTGGTGTAGAGTCTATACTAGGGTCGGTGAAGTTTTCCCCGAGGCAGGGTTCGAAGCTAGACCATACATGTTTAGGAATTGTTAGGGGTAGAGTTTACACTAGAGTCGAGGGAGTTTTGTTAACACCGAGGCATGTTGGTACATACATGTTCTTGGAATTGTTGTGGGTAGAATGTATACTAGGGTCGGTGAAGTTTTCACCTAGGTAGGTTTCAAAGTTGTTACATGTATGTTTAGGAATTGTTGACAGTCGAGTTCATACTAAGGTCGGTGAAGTTTTCACCGACGCATGTTTCAAACTCTGTCCATTCATGTCTTGGAGTTGTTGCGGATAGAATTTATACTAGGGTCGGTGAAGTTTTCCCGATGTAATATTGTTTTTGTCTTTACAAGTTCGTTTTCTGATGGTGTGTGTGTGTGTGTGTGTGTGTGTGTGTATGTGAGAGCTTTTTGGTTTGAGTGAAAAAGTTTGATTTGCGGTGTATAACTTACACCGATGTTTTGACTGCATAGGATTTCAAAGTTGGATGGGAAAGTTGTCACACCTTTTAATCAGCTATTACAATTAATCACAAAAGAGCATTTAAATGTACATAAAAATTTTATTTACTTAAAACAACTCCTGTGTGTGTGTGTGTGTGTGTGTGTGTGTGTGTGTGTGTGTGTGAATGTGCAGCCCGTACAAAAGGACAGTCTGGATAATGGCGTCGATGTTCTTCTTCTACCACATCACCCATTTTCCATCCCCTCAACGTATTCAAACAGAAAATACACTTGACAAGGTCGCCAGGTCCAATGAAGATAAAACCATTTTTAGCCAAACTGATAGGGTCGACCGGGTAGACGTCGGACCAACACCCCGAAAATGTTTGCAACCTTTCCTCCTCATCATGGAACCTAATGTCACTGTCCCTGTCAGAAGCTGGGTTGGGTGGTGGTGTCTCATCAAGGGGCTCAATAAAGGTTCCACCTATAGGTCGCTGTACAAACACTCTCTCATAACCTAGATTCATCTCCCCTTGATTTGTCTCATGAAAGGTACTGATCATCTGTACAGGATACAATCTCACTTCCTCGGGTCCAATATCAAGACCCGTTTCCGTTTGATCCGACATTCCCGTGCTCTCACGGGAATCCCATCCACAGCACTGAAGACAAAAACATTCACCGGACATGGTATAGGGTGCTTATACGGCGGTGTTTATAGTATTCCCTGAATACCACACCTGGGTGGGCTATCGAACAATACCGTAAAGAGCGGTTTCCAACTCGGATCCAGTATTTTAAATGGTTGATTTTGATTTCAGTCATACATGTTATACAGGATACCGAGTTACATAACTTTCAGGGACAAGTAACAAAACAATAACTCACATCAAAAATTTAAAAAAGATCGTTTATATCATAAGTTTTTATTGAATAAAAACAACCCCATCAGCATACCGTCATGGTTCTGTCTTATTTACATATTTACATTAAAGTCTCGTTAAAGTCATGGTTGGTAAACTAAAGGGTCTTATATGTCTAGGGGAGATGTTGTGACATTGTCTGCGTCTACTTGTCTTTTAATGTAAAAGTAAGAAAGTGAGTTTCTGTGTTGGGTGTAAGTGTATATCCCCGTGTTGTATGCTCTGAACCCTGTGTTTGTCCCACCACTTGGTTCCTTTGTTGTGAGGACCTGCATGAAAGATTCTTTGCCTAGTGTGTTGTGATTTTTAGATAATCCTTTGGTTGATGTTTTATTATACTCGCCAAAACAGTGGTACGTCTTACTACATAAAGATACCATCCCATCCCCTTCATATTCTAGCTTAAACAACCCCGGTGTTCTTTTTTCATAAATTTTCCTAGCCCTACACCCCAGACAATGACTATCTACCGTGCCTTTGCCGCTTATAAATTGTGTTCTATGTGAGTCGCATACTTCTGAGGGGAACCATTTGTCGTAAATGTCAAAAAACTCGTGTTCTAGTCCCGGTCTAACGGCTTTTAACAAGTCATCGGTACTTAAGGCTAAGTATAAACTGTCCGTGTCCATCTCACATAGCTGAAAGTCGGTTCTATCTATATATTTGTCTATAAAGTCATAATAAAATTCTAACATTCTAAGTTTCGCGTACTGATAAACGAAAAAGCCTATCTGAAGAGGGAGATCCCAAACTATCTTCTTTTTTAACGTTTCTACTTCGTAAACAGCGTCGGTAAGTTTTGTCATTTTTTTAAATCGTGGATTATTAATACAATCCCCTATATCCCTATCACTACAGTAGGTCATGTCCGCATGTCTTGTTTTATCCGTCAAAGTTTTACCGTATGCCGCGTTTCCTAACAATTTCATTGTTTCACTAGTTATTGCGTATTTGTCGTCTATGTCCCCCTTTCTTCGCGCGTCTGAAACTGTATCCCCAAATGTCTTAAAACATGCAACTGGATTATATTCAACGACTTGATAAATTTTAGTTACCACCAACCCATGATTTAAATACCACTTTAAAAGGGGGGTCGCTAATAAAATTTTCTCCCCTGTAAAGCTACCGATTAAAGTCCGTCTACCGCTAGTTAATAAGTTGTTATCGATCGCGTATTGTCTCATAAACGGTCCGATGTCGTCGCGCGTAACGTACGTATTTTTAAAAATAGGTGTCATCTCACTAAAATGTTCTCTTAAACTATCCGGTACTTTAATGTCGCATTCTATCAGTCCAAAACACGAGTCGTCTAAAACAGAATCGATGATCTGTTTTTCAGTCAGGGGCCATTTCTTACCATAGGTCGGTGTCGGTGTTTTTTGTGATTTGTCAATAGATTTTAAATAGTCTTTAATAGTTGGGTTCATTTTTTTCTGGTTCCCCCACTCACATTCCCACATTTCTACGACTTTAACGTCAACAGTCTCGGTAAGGTACTTCGTAATTTCGTTTGTCTTTTTAAATAACTCTGTCAAGGGTCTGTTACTAATAGGATTTACTGTTCGGTCTTTGGTTAAGGGGCAGTCGGGGTGTCCATGAAAGAGGCAGCCATGGAACTGATAAACGGTTCGACTGTTCGCGTCCCACCCGTCTACTCTTATATGGCGAGATCCTAAGCTAACTTCGCCCCCATTAAACGCGGTTTTTAAAGTTACCCCCTTTGTTTTTGAAACCCACGATAACCACTGAAAGGCCTGTTCCCCATAATGATTCGTTTTACGCGGTCTAAACCCCTCCTCACTATTTCTAATAATCGGAAATCCCGTCGGCATTTTTTGCATTAAAGACCATAAATAAAGCGCGTTTGCGTCGTACCCCTTAATTGCCTGTACCACCTTATTACTATTCCCCCTAATGAACGTTTCACCCTTTTCGTGATGTCTATGAAAAATAATGGAGGGGCCCCCTACGATATTATTTCGGATTGTTTTATGTAACTCTGATTCGCGCTCGGAACACAAAGAAAAAGAAACGTTTTCGGGTAGTGTTTTGAATAAGTATTTTAAGGTTACCCCCGGGACAGAAATCGCGTCTTTAAAAATATCAACCCCTAAATTTTTGTAAAAATTAGTTTGCTGCTCGAGCGCTTCGATAAACGGTTTTACATCGATATTGTTATACCAAATAAGATAATCTTTAAACGTTTGCATCCCCTTCTCTACCCAAATTTGGCTACACGTCGCGTACTCCTCGTCTGAAATGTTACAATTTTTTAATGATGAAAAAAAGGCCGAATGCGGAGGTAAAGACGTTTCATCTAAGACGGCTAAATTTTTGACATATTCGTACGGAAAAAATCCCTTGGTCTCTTTAACATTATATGCGGCGAGGTATTTACTATAGCTAAACCCCGGTGCTAGATAATTAACTATATCTAAGAACTTTAATTTATTTGTTGATATACACATAAAATTATTATTTCTTTTAACTACATATTTAAACGGTGTTTGTTTATCTTCTACGTCGTCTTCATCATCGTTACAACTAGATCTAGGTCCCTCCTCTAACCCCTCTTCTGTGTTTGAATAAGCTAAAAAGTACTGAATAAAATACGGCTTAACGAGATTTATATCATATTTTCCTGAATTAAACCCTATAACTGGCATTTGTCGCAAATACTCGTCTAATCTACCGCTAAGAAACCTATCAAACCCTTTGTCGTTCGACTTATTATCACTACCCCTAGCTTTAGGTGGAAATAACTTCCTGATTTGCTTAAAAACAGGCTCGAACTGTTTTTTCAAAATTCCATAAGCTGCCTCAGCGATTATGTGGAGTCTGTCAATAACTCTAGTCACTAATTCTTTAGGGTCACCAGTCGAAATAAAACAGATGGGTTCGACGAACCCATCTACGTTTGAGGCTACAGAGCAAGACAAAGGCACGTGTTTGGCAACGCTTTTTGTAACTCTACCTAACGTGGGTAACTCGGTATGGTCGAAATAGCATTCGAAATCGTAAGTTGCTCTGAAGGGATAAACAAAGTTACTATCTACAACTAACCCATAGGACGCTAAAAACTCCCAGATTGTTTGTTGTGTCTGATAAACCCCTCCCTTATACCTATCTACGGGTTTCCCCCCATTACACCCTTTCGCGTGTCTGTTCATTTGTTGAACGGTGGGCCATAATTTGTTACACACAGAACACGCGAAAGCGTGACCCGCCCCACCTATATTATTAATGTACATAAACTGATTTTGAAAAAATAAAAGATATACAGTCTCCCTAAACCTATCACTACTTCTAAGTTTCGGAGAAAGGATCTGGTTTTCGTCAAATTCAAAAATCTCAATATTTACACTAAAACAGGACTCTAAGAGGGGAATTTCGACCAACCTAACCCCGCTAAAATTATCCAAGGTCCCGAGACCTTGGTGCGCTTGCCACTGTTTCGCGAGATTTAATGTTGGCTTTCTAAGATCTTGTAAGGGTGCTCCTAAATGTCTGGCTAAACATCTAAAAAACGAGAAATTGTCTGTGTAGGGTTTGGAATGTGAATCCTGTTGTAACATGTTGATGGCGTGATTATGTTTAATAAAGTCAGGAATGTCTGTAAGAAGGCATGTAGGTGAAGCTTTGTCTGTGGTCATGTGTAAGTCTACTGCATCTCCCCTAAGGTCGTCTACAGGAAAAATAGCGGTGTCTGAATAAATGGTACTGTCGTTGTTAGTCTTTACGCGTTTGTTGTTTGCTATATCGTCATACGTCGTATGTCGTTTTAAAGGGCTAGTGTTGGTCGCGGTACAAGCTGTTTGGCTCGCTGAAGGGAGTTGGACAGTATGTGTGTCGGTCACAGATGTGGGTTGGTGTGTTTGTCTGTTGGTTGCTGATGGGGTGTCGGTCGGTAATGTTTGTTTGCTGTGTGCTTTCTTATAGTGGGTCGTTAAATTGTCAAGTCGTGTAAATACTTTCCCGCAAGTTGAACAGGAATGTCTTCCTCGACCGTGTGCAGAGTCGTGATGTCTTGTCAAATGCTGTTTAAGGGTGAACACTCGGTTGCAGATCTCGCATGTGAAACGGGTCATGGCTTGGTGGGTGGTAGGTTGGGCGGCTTCCATTATTGACGATGTGTCTAGTAGTCGGATGCTTGGGTAGGTCGCTGGCTGTAGAATAAAAAGAATTACATAAAATAAAATACATGAAATAAAAAACATACTTAAAACAAAATTGAAAATGAAACGTACCTATGGGTTTGCACGTCTAAGCTGAACGTGAAGTTAGCTGTATGTGGAGATCCGAAGTGGTGTAGTTGGATGTAGTTGGAACGTTTGGTTCAGTGGATGCCTCGGGGCTGGGTAGGTAGCTCAATTGGGTCAGTGGTTGTGTCGATGAGTCGTTTGTACACTAAAAAAGAAAATTCAATTGACTACTTATTTAGATACATATTTATTTAAAGGATATGTAAAGGATAATTCATACTATTAACCTTACCTCGGTGTGCGTTACAAAATTAAATACATGTGACTACTTATTTAATAAGATTTGATTTTAATGGGGTTAGCTCCCTTAACACAATACGTAATATTAACCTTACCTCGGTGTACGATACAAAATTAAAGTAAATACCTGTGACTACTTATTTAATAAGTTTTGATTTTAATGGGGTTAGCTCCCTTAAAACAAAGTAATATTAACCTTACCTTTAATAGAATAAACACGCACAAAAGATGTGGTCCGTGGTTGTTTAGGTAGATGTGGTGATTGGTAAAGCTGGCGTGGGTTTAGTCTCAGGAGTCAACAGAGGTCGCAGGCTGGATAAGTCGCGGTGAAGTTTGGTGTGAAGTCCGAAGTTGAAGTGATTAGAACACAATTTTCGCGGTCATTTATACGATTGCTCAGCGTAATTACACCACCAGCTGTCGCACAACAGCTGTTGCATAATGACCTAAGTGCTTCGCGGAAAGCCACTTAATGTACGTCGTTAATTACCATACCCCCCGGTGGGATCGCTTCGCGAACCCACATAAATCATCATGACCCGTCAAATCGAGCGGGGAAAAACCCACGATGCATGACCAAATTAATTAGGTGTGATGGCCCCGTGGGTGCGATCAATACATTCCCATTAAAACGGGCAGCGGCGAGAAAACCTCACTAGTAGATCGATAAGTAACACATGTTGCCCGCCTGGTTAAAGGCTGGTATACAAAGACTGTTCTAGTACATGCTAGTGTTAGTCTTTTATTTAAAACATACATACATTCAAATAAACAAACCAACAAATTAAACAAAAAAGTAAACAAATAAACAAATTTAAAAAATTTAAAATTAAAAAAAAAAAAAATTTAAAAATAAAATTTAAAAATTTAAAAATTTAAAAATTTAAAAAATTTAAAAAATTTAAAAAATTAAAAGCCAATTACGTAACTCGTTAATAAAAATAATTAAAAAGTAAACAAAGTAATTAAATTCAAACTAATTATAAAAATTAATTAAAAAATATATTCAAACTAATTAAAAACACATTAAAATTACGTAACTAGGTCAATGATTACGTCACAATGTGACTGATTACGTCACAAGGTCAGTAATTACGTCACACGGTCAATGATTACGTCACAAGGTCACCAAAAGGTGACCTACTTCCCCACCACCTCCGCCAACCCCGGTTGGCGTAGTATCCACCTCACCCTGCGATGCGCCAGTTGGCGTAGTATTTTGCTATATGTCATTGCGCATCCCGCGCATCCTGCTCCCGAGTATTTTACTATATGTCATTGCTCCTCACCCTGCGCTCCTCCGCCAAAAATGCGGTCCAAAAGCGACCTAATATACTACTGACAGCACGAAATATCTCCTGAGGAAAATCTATTGACATCGCTGAGATATTTTTGTCCAGGTTACATTTTGTCATGTACGCAGTGTTTCTTTCAGACTTTTTTCTCCTGGGGGGGGGGCACTATATTTTTTTTGGGGGGGGGGGGGGGGGAGGGGGCGGTAGACTCTGCATGCACACTTCGTGTAACGTGTTTTCACCTAAATGTTAAGCTAACTACATTTGAACAGTCGAAGCCATCAAAATTCGAGATATCAATAGAAGGCTTACAATTATAGCCTTAGATCTGTAATGTAATATTTTAGAATCAATTAATTTTATTTTTTTAAACATTACGCAGGTTCGTTTCGGCGAAGAAGAAACGTTAGAGAGTAACCCGGTCTTTTCTCCAGTACATTCGACACACCCGCATAGACGGAGCAGATATGACAGGAGATCTGATACACGTCTCCCGACTTCAAGTAATGGTCAAACAATATCACAGCATATGAATGACAGGACACGTCATCTAAGCCTTGGTGCTCTTCCGGTCACAAACGAATACGACGACGAAACTCCGGTGAGTCGGTTCATGGGAAGTAACCGACAAGAAAACAGAACGGAAGATGTTGGAACTAGTCTTTCGGTTACATTTCCTAGCACCCGATCCTACAGCTTTCTTCTCCCATCTCTTCGAAACCAAACTCCCTCGACAAATGAAGAAGAAAGCGAGACAGAGCACGAAGACATCCCGGCTTTCAACAGCAACAGTCCGAGTATTTATGTCAACTGCCCACGAAACAAGTACAACCAGAAAGGCGCGGCTGTGCTGAGATTCGGAAAGAGGGGGAGCGAGGCGTCAGAATTCACGTGGCCGCGGGGTGTTGCCGTATCCCCCCTTGATGACACCATCTTTGTGTCCGACAGCAGCAACCACCGTGTTCAAGTTTTTGACAGCGCTGGAAGGTTACTGAACACCTTTGGGAGATACGGCCAGGCGGAAGGGGAATTCGATTGCTTAGCAGGGTTAGCTATAAACGGGTTAGGGCAAGTTATAATCGCTGACAGGTATAATCATCGCGTTCAAGTGTTCGATAGAAATGGCCGCTTCCAGAGTGCATTTGGTTGTGAGGGTTCTGGCGAAGGGCAGCTCAACTACCCCTGGGGAGTTGCCTGTGATAATATGGGCTTTATCTACGTTTGTGATAAGGAGAATCATCGCGTCCAGGTGTTTCAGTCCAACGGTACTTTTGTGCGAATGTTTGGCGAGTATGGGTGCAGGACGGGTCAGTTTGAGAACCCGCATTACATTGCTGTCAGCCCTGACAATAAAGTTTACGTCAGCGACAGCAGCAACCATAGAGTGCAGGTCTTTAGCATGTACGGAGATTTCCTTTTCAGTTTCGGGACTTGCGGCTCCTTGAGAGGTCAGCTGAAATTCCCCAGGGGAATCGCCATTGACAACCAGGGGTTCGTGGTGGTGGCTGATAGTGGCAATAACCGAATACAAATATTTCGCGCAGACGGTAGATTTTACTCCATGTTTGGCAGTTGGGGCAATGAAAATGGTCAGTTCAAAGGGTTGGAGGGCCTTTCTATTCTGGCCAATGGAAACATTGTGGTTAGCGACCGAGAAAATCACCGCATGCAAATATTTTAATGTTGTTACGTGTAAAAGCCGACTTAAATCATTCAGTACTAAACTAACATATCTTGGAGAAACAGTAGCATTAAAACATAACTTTGCAATAGTGTGCATGATGAAGCTGAGATCAACCGGATAATTAAAACTAGTAAGACATTTTTAGCCACTTGTATAGCATTTTATCTGTATACTTGGTAGCTTGTCATTCTTCTTTCCCGAGGTCTCCTTAGTTGTAATTTGTTGTTAATATTAATAAACAAAAAAAAAAGTTGTTGTATTATGACTAAACTCTTTTGTTTAACCTTGGAAAAAATACCTTCACTTACATTTCATGCCACAAGAAACTCAAATTCAGCAGATTTCATACAAGGCACATATCAACTGTGATGGCAGTTTGAGAGTATTCCTAGATCCTGATAAACCTATGTGTCAGACATAGCTCTTCATTTCAAGCATCAAATGGTTCTGGTATCAGATTTATAAACCAGCGTAAGCATTCCAATATTATTATAATATCTATGTAGCCATTCATCCATCCACCACCTACATGTTGCAACACAAACTACAACAAGAATGCATTTTTTAAACTATATAAAATTTATTCTAATGCTGTATGGAAACAAAAGACCACACAACTGATTGTCTATCTCATACATTAGTATACATACATGCTAACTACGAGTGAATTCTACAATTGTATAGATCTACGTGAAGTAAATGTCACCAGTATGTGGTAGTGGGGGGGGGGGGGGAACTTGTGCTGTGTGTGCTACCAGTGTGTGGTAGTTCTTCAAAGTGGGGGGACTTGTGCTAGGTTTAACTACATTTTGTGTTAAAACACATTGAAACTGTATTGAATTTTAAAAGATAATTTGAATTTGAAGTAATCATCTACACAGATGGGTATAATAATGTCTAAAGCAATAATTTACACTGATATTTAAAGTTGTCTTTTATGTACACACCTAAAGTAATCGCCTACACTCTACACTGAGGTCAAAGTAATCTTTCACACAGACACCCAAATGAATCATCCACATATTAAGTAATCATACACACAGATGTATAAGGTAATCTTCCACATATTTCAAACGTAATCCTCCACTTATTTAGTAATTGTCCAAACTAATGTCTAAATAAGTTCAAATATAGTACAATTATATTCTCTTCAACTATACTCTTCATTATCACTAAAGCCTATCAAATAATTATAAATATGTATTTTAAATGGTTTAAATTTTTTATATTCCAAAATTTTAAATTAGAAAAACCTTACATTTTAGATGGGTAAATAAATATTTGACAAAGGATGAATAGGTGTTAAAATGTATAATAATTACTACTAATATGTCTATGTGTACAATAACATTAATAAATACAAATCAATAGCAGAGTAACAGTTTAAACTTAGTGGTAATTTTACAAAAAAATTTAACACATCAACTTGGAAAAATTGTCAAAGCAATTTTCTTCTCTTTAAAGTAATGACAATCAGTTTTTAAAAGGCTTTATTAATCTATGTTCATTTCAAAACTTTATTCATTTGACACATTGTATATAATAAAAAATTACTATACTAAATTGAAAATAAATCAAGGGACATAATAATACTGGGAATGTTCTTTAACAATTTGATATATTGTAAATCATTATAGTAAAAAGTTGTTCTTCAAACTTAATAACTGACAAAAAAAAATTATGTTTCTTTTCTTGAAAATGACAAATGATTTGAAAATTAACATTTAATTTAATAAAATTATGAACTCCAATCACATAACAAGGCTGATAGGGAACAATAAAGCAAATTCAAAGTGTCTGTTACAAAAATATGCTGCCCAGATTTATTTTTACAATCATTAGTTTCCACGAGGAAAACAAAAATAGCATTCTGAGAGACTTAACAGTTCTAAACCATTTTAATAGTTATAATGTCAGTGGTCAATCTAAACATATCTACTTGTGTTCAGTGATGAACAGCAAGCAGAAAAACAATAGTTTCGTAAAAAAAACTTTAAATAAGGAATAAATCTCGAAATAATGTGGACCAACAGGCATGCACTTTTTATATTTCAAATACCCTATATATACACACATATTTCATAAGAATTTAATCTGTTGGCAAACAATAAGGTGAATATAACTTGTAAATAAATACCCAGTTTGATCAGCTTGTAAAAAACAAATCAAAGCAAGAAACAAAAGACATTTGTTTCTTATCAATAAAGCCAATTAGTATTCAATTATAATAAATAACCCTGAGTTGATAAATGAAATACTTAATATAAAAACTTCAACTTTTGATTGAAAACTAAATTTTTAAATGGAAAAGCTGCAAGTATATTTAAGAATGTTTAAAATGATATTGATAAAAAATGTTTTAAAAAACTGGATTTTTTTCAAGTGTACAAGCTTTGTGACAAAATACATTTGCTAAAAGAGCCTAATGCTTTTCTGTCCATTGCCAATCAGTAAAAAGAACTATTTTATTTCAAGGTACAAAAATTCAAAGCCCATTTTTATTAAAGTCAGATACATTTTGCTTTTAGAAATTCAATCATATTATATTTTTCAATGCATAAATAAAATGACTTGTTTATATGATGATATTTTATTTATTGCACAGAAAAAAAACTTTTTTGAAAACAAAAAAAAAACAATTGCAATGTGAGAATATTTCATAAACATTTGGATTTGTTTTGGGTTGTTTTTTTATAATGCCCTCTTACATTTTCAGCTTAATTTAAAATTTAGTACATAAAATCATTTATAAAAAGGAATTTCAAGAAAAGAATGACTGTTTAAATTGTATAGGCTTTATTTAAATTCGCTGACATTTTTTACTAGTAAATTCATGGAATGTGATTATCATCTTGATTGGTCAATGTTAATTATGATAATGTGTTAAGACAACAAAATGCTCATAAAATATAAATTTCTGTAAAACTCCAATAAAAATGCTGAGTGGGAAGTAATACAGTACAAATCAATATAAAATAAAAACAACTTTTACAACAAATAATGCAGATCCTTTTTGGAAAAACTGTGGATGTTTTGTTTTTAGTATTGCAGCAAGTAATAAATAAAATACAAACTTGCATGTAATGGGATTAAAAGTCATTCAATTGTAAAAACATGTCTAACAAATTATACAAGCATATTATCAATAATGTAGTAATTCAAGACTAGACTGGTTTCATTAGCACAAGAAGTTCAACATCTATTTATTATATTACTAATGCTATTGGCGAAATTTGTGTAAATACCTAGCTTAAAAAATAAACTACAGGAAAAAAATCTGCTCCAATAAATATCTCGTTGAAAATGTTAAAATCTTGTATAAGTTTTAAAATATTGATAAATTTACTCAAACATCAGGTAGAAATTTCTCCTTCAGCATTAAAATTGATTTACAATAAAACTGAACAGTAAAAATGACAAATAAATTTCATTTAATTATAACTATGGTATTCCAAAATAACACAGATCTCAATTATTGTAGTCAGGCAAGTAACTGGAAATTGAATCTATTAAAGTGTCACATAAAAACAATCTACTAAATCTAGACTAAAAGCTAAATGTTGAATTTCATATCTGGAGAATTGGTTATTGTTGCACACAATAATCATTCTCTTTATGTTGCTTTCTAACATGCATAATATATTAGATAAAGTATTGTTAAAACTGAATCAACTCTTGAGTGGACATGCCACAAAAACTTCATTTACAATTAACTATAAAAAGCCAAATCTGCCCCTCCTAGTGATAAGATTACCAACTACAGACCAATCTTTGGTGTTCTTGTTGTATTTTGTAATTGTCCCTTGCAGAACTTTGCCATCATGCCCTCCTGCTGTGTACAGCATGTCTCCATGGACTGTAAGACCCATTCCCCGACGTGGACCAAGCATTGGTTGAATGCTGGTCCACAAGTTTGTGCATGGGTCAAAACATTCTACAGTGCTGAGACTAAAAAAAAAGTCAAATGTTGAATTACAATGATAAAATATAGCAGTTTTTATTTTTTCTTATTTAAAAAAAAAATATCATTACACATATATTTACACGATATTAACTGAATTCATATTGTTATCTACTTTAAGACATTAAGTAGTAAAAAAAACAAGATGAAACAATTAGATTACCACTGGTCTTGATTACATCCTCCAGCAACATAAACTTTACTATCCAGTGCTGCAGCGCCATGCATTGATCTTGCTTCCATCATGCTAGTACAAGTTGACCATTGATATGTCTGGTAATAGATGGTATTCAGAGGTATAACTTCTGCAGTTGTCTGACTTATACAGTTATATGGAGCCTTTTGGAACTAATCAATTGATTTAGAGTTCACAGAACAATGAAAATGGAATAGGCATTTTGATGATTCCTCTCATCAATAGATTTATGAGTTTGGAGTGCAGGAAAATGTGGGGTTGGTTATTTGAAGATACAAAGAATTTTATCAGGTAATTTTTAAAAATTTACAAGTAAATCAGAATGCAAACAATCGTAAGATCAAATCTTTAAAAGCAGCCTCTATTTAACACTTGAAAAATAGAAAGTTGCTTATAATACTTTTGTAATATAATGACAATTGCTTTTCCTTAAATGAGGATCTCTTATGACTCTTCAGCTGATACATAAGTAACAAGCTGAGCAACAACTAATGAGTTCCCACACAAGACAGTCTAATGTAATGATAAGAAATTTGCTCCAAGATCTTTCTTCACACAGGTAACTTTCACTTAAAAATGATAATGTAAAAAAAACGAATGGTTTTTATAACTAGTTGTATCAAATTAAAAAAACTGTATCATTAAGTAGCTGGTTATTTAATCTTGATTGTTTAGCATCCATAAGCCATTCATTATAATACTCACCTTGGTATCAAAAACATGACAAGACTTGAGGTCTTCAATACCATTGTAGCCCCCACATAGATATAGACGGAAATCAACAACTGCTGCAGCAGCCATACTTCGAGGCTCCAACATTTCTAAACATCAAAGTAATTATTTTTTAATTGAGTTGGAATTTATATAAGTGGAACAACAGGTCCATGTATATCTGTGTTAAAAGGGTTTACCAAAATAGGTTATGATTAATAGATCAGATCTATTCAACAAACCTCTAAATTATTTTTAAAAAGCCAAAATAATATTTGCATGTGAAAGCTTATATTTTTATGCTTTGTATATGTGTAAGCATTGTAAAGTGTACGCACAGGGAGACAACTCACAACTAACAAGATTTAAGAAATATAAATTCTTACCATTGAGGGACCAGGAATTCAAATCGACATCATATTTTTCAAATGAAGACAGTACGTTTTGTGTTCCATGTCCTCCAAGTGCAAACATGGCCCCACCCACAACACTAACGACAACACTGCTCCGTGCCACACATAGCTGACCACGTGCTTGCCATGTTTGTTTATCAATATCGAATGCATGAACAGATCTTGAAGTTTCTGTGGCAGTGGCTCCACCTACTGCATAAATAATTTTTCCTACCACTGCAACTCCTAAGCTACGTTTTGCTTCAGGTAATGGAGGCAATTGTGTAGCTTGATACGTAAATGGATTAAAACTTTCAAAGGAAGATAGAATCTCTCTACTTGAGGATTCACCACCTGAAAATTATGAAAATATTTGAAGATCAGACAGTTTCTACAGAAAAAGAGCATGATGAAGTCAATAAAAGTAGCATTTAAATTTAGAGATTAATTTTTTTTCTTCATTATGCTGCCTCTGTTTCAAAAGCATATTTACTAAACATACACATTTTAAACATTAATGCTGTAAAAATAATCTGCATAAAAAGAAATAAAATAATATCCTAACAGTAACATTAAAAATTATTTTTTAAATAACACTTTTTCAACAATGTTTAAAAGTTGTATTCATTATTTTTTAAATAAAAATTTTCACCAATGTTAAAAAGGATTACACATTGTTATAAGATTTAATGCTTAACATACCAACAGAGTAAAGAATGTCTGCTGCAGAAAAAAATGCACGAGGTTGTGATCTAACCACAGCTTCATTATAGGCAAAGTTTATCAGATCAGGGTGAAATGAGCTTGCCTGAAAAGCTCGGGCTTGCTGAAACATTTTTGCAATAAAATCATCACAGAAATTTTTTTATAACAATGTATGGTTAAAATAATAAAAATGTATAAAACATCGATCAAGCTAATGGATAAAGAATGGTTAATTGAAACTAACCTGTAAATAATTTCGACAGTCTTCATTGGTGACAAAAAGTTTGTCCTTGCTGACTTCTTTAATCAAAAAATCCCATTGAACCAAAGGAAGCCTGACATGTTCCATGAGTAGAGATACATCCTCTTTACTGCGCTCAGGATCAAATGCTACCCATCTCATTACAGCAGCATATACCTAAAAATAAAATTAAAAATTGAAGGTATTGGACACTGTTTAGTCCCTGTTATCTCACAGCAAGATCATTTATAAATTTAAATAGTTTAAAAAATCAAAAAGTTTGAATAGAAATATTTAAAATACATTTTTATGACTATATTTTTAATTTTAATACTTAATTACATTTATTTTTATTTATTAACCCTTAAAGCGCGCACCACGTGGCCTTACGCGTTATAAGTTATGTAACAGCAAAGGCACGATCGTGGCTTGGTGCCCTTTAAGGGTTAAAGCAAATTTTACATTAAAAAATTAATATTCTATGTACTAATACAACATACCTCCTCTTCTTTAGCGACCTTCAAGCTGTCTCTTGAAATTAAACCTATAACCTAGGGAAAAAAATTTAAATAGTTATAAGATTTAAATTGAGTTTTTCACTAATCATATTAAAAAACTATAAACTGAGTTCAAACAAATTACACTTTCCTCTAACACTCACCTCTTCTACCTCAATTTTCAAAAACTCCTCATGCTGAGAAACTTCAAAAAAATTCTCTTCACAGTATTTATCTGCCACATCTTTCAGCTCGAAACACCCTGTCACATGAGCGAAATCCCTAATCCCTAAACAATTTGAAGGATGGAGATGCTCTATGATAAATGCACAGCAGAGTTTTTCTACAGCTGAAATCTGCATCATAGCTGCTGTCTGCATGACCGATTGCACAGTGTCCTCACTTAGGTCCAGGTGAGCAGTGTAAGCAAAGTTGATTATGGTTTGCACTGCTGGTAGGCTGAGATCTTGTATCCTTATTTGAAACCTATGGCTTTCATCCAGTTGGGAGCAAAACATAGCTTTGAAGTAAGGACTAAGTGCAGCCAGGACAACCCTGTGGGCAGGAATCACTACACCTTCCACAGACAAATTAACATCACACAACTCTCTGTCTAACCACAGTTGGTATATTTCAGACAACAGATTTTTAGAAAAATCTTTTTCCATGATGCAGTTGATACAATTATAATTAGTATATCTTTAGCCTGAAAACAATATTTTAATATTAATATTTTGAAATACCCTGAAAAGAAGAATAATTTTTAAAATGTTGCAGTTAAATGTCTACAGTCAGTCCTTTAAGAACCCCCCCCCCCTCCCGTTACATAGTCTTATTTACCTCAATAGTCCTTCTACTTAACCAAAATGATGCCCTACCTCCACTCATCACTTTTAACTCTAGGTAATGACAACAAGGTATAAGCATTTTTATTCTTAACTGATTTTTGTGAATTATCCATAATAATTGTTCAAAATGGAACCTTATTTATTCAGGCCTTAACTTAGCTATATTCTGTTATGGAGTCAGTACAGTCAAACAGTCTGGATTTGACAAAAATACAAATGGCAAGCCTGAGAAATGATATAATTATAATAAAAAATTAATTATATATAATTATAATAGAAAATTGTGTGTGGTAACGTGTTAGAAACTAGTACATTTAATTTAAGGGGAAAAAAGCTGACCTATAAAAATGCTCTGCTTTTCAATAGTTTAGTGGTTAATAAACGAATATGAAAAAAAAACTTTTTAATTATCAGCTTTGAAATGCAGAGAAAATCTATCCATAGGCCTATATATATAAATGAAAGTATGTGGGTGGGTAAGTATGTGTGACCAGTGCCAACGCCATATATATATATATATATATATATATATATATATATACTGCTTCACTAAATTTTAAATTAAACCATTTAACCTATTTCATTGCAAAGTATATCCACCATAAGACAACAAACCTCATTTATGCCCGACAAAAATTATGAATAGTGTAATGGAAGTGGTTTAAAGGTTTGCCTCAGTAATTAATTTCGATTTTGAAAAACTGCACTCTCCACTAGTCACGGACACTGGAAAGTTCAATAGTATTCTGAAGGAATATTTGGTACTCTATCTTCTAATTTTGGTTGTGCAATATAGAGAAGTAAATATGATGATGACATCTTCTTAGGAAGCCTTCGAGATACTACTTGAAGCTCGTTGCAAAGACAATCAGCATCAATATCTTTATTAGCGTTATGATGCATTAACAATGTTTCTTAATGTTTGCAGTCAGTATGCATATTAGCAGGTGTCTTTTTGTTGATATTGGATATATCATAAAGATAGCCAAATGTAATATTATGTTGTTCTAATTGTTGGAACCTCTCTTCAATAGACTGACTACCCATAACCAAAATAATGCTATCAAGATTTCTAATTCTAAGTGAGAGAAAACGAGACTTACAAGCCCAATTAAAAATCAAAGTTGTGCGTGTTTTACGTCATGTCATGCGCTAGAGCGATCACTAAATAAACATTAAAATTAGGTAATCATCTGAAATGTTCGAAATTAAAAGATTTAGATTAAATACACTAATTATATTATTATATTAACAGAGGAGTGGCTAGGGAAGGGTGGCAGACGAAAAGGGGGGGGGCGCCAAACGTGGTAGATAATAATAATATGTATTTTTTAATAAAGGGGATTACACATTTTAGATCTAGCTAGATTAAATTTTTAAATCCTCTTAAAAAATGTAAAATAATTACTAAAATATGCCTAATATTTAAACTTCGTAAAACGATAGATTATTACTTTACCTACTCGAGAGTCCTAGATTGAAGATTACTTTAATCTATATATATATATAATTCTCTACATACATGGGGACCATACAAGACACCACCACGTAAGGGCTTAGCCGTTCCTACCCCGCTCTCTAGGCATATTGTTACCACCCCCACCCCACCAGTCTGGTGAGCTGTGGTTCACCATGAATGTTTACAATGTGACGACTATTAGGGACAGATCATTTAGCTTTTAAACAATTTGAAACCAAGTTCTCCTTGATCATTTCATTGTCGTCTGTAAACTGTCGTCACAGACTGGCGCTTTCACTCAGGGGGGAGAGGAGAAAAGAGGGTAGTGTCGAATTCACAAATTATGAATTACTGAAAAGTAGCAAATTAAACAACTAAATAGCGGCATATAGTTATGCGTGGGTCAGCTCGTACTAATTATTAGGCCTAAAGTACTTAGAATAGAATTGATTTTGGGATTGATTAGAACTTAGAAAAGAATAACAATTAGTATTTAGTAGACATTAGACTCATTAGTGAGTCATCAGAGATCATTAGACTATTTAACTATACTTAGATACTATTTAGTATTTAGAGTCTACATTTTTATAATTAGTAGATTACAAACTAAATACAATTTGTAATTAGGCCTACAAACAAGTATATTTTAGTAGATTTTTAAATTTTACTTTTAGATCTAGATTTCTAGAATACTCTAACTCTGATACTAGAATCTAGATCTAGATCAGTCGACTAGATCAGTAGATCTAGAATCTAGATCTAGAAAGATCAAGCAAGATTTCAGATTTCTATTTCTAGATTCTAGGTCATGAATCATTAAATCATTCATTAGTGCTAACTGTTGAACTGTCTGTTGCTGACATTTTAGTTCAATCTCTACTCTAGACTAGACTCTAGTCTAGTAATATTCTCTACTACTAGATCTAGATCTACCACTATTCTCTACTTCCTAATCATTTAGATCTAGTTTTAGTGACTATGGCAAATAATAGATCTAGATCTAGTACTTAGATCTAGATTCGAGTAGATTTAAAAATCTAGACAGTAGGCTTACTTTTTGTTTTATTCTGCTAGGCCTATGCACTATGTATGTAGAATCTAGTATGTGTGTGTGTGTAGCTTTAGAGAACCTAAGGCCTAGCCTAGATCCAAAATCGAGACGCCATTTTGTCCACAGTCACATGACAGGGATACGGAAAGCTTTAATCGTACTATCCCAAATGCGCGACATTGACGTGGCATGTGCAACGAAATTATTACCACGTCCGCCATTTTGTTGTGTACAGGTTTCCTTAGCTAAACTTTTTTCATAGTAGTACAGTTCTAATCATTCTTTGCTGTGCTTTCAATCAGCTAAGGCTCACTGGAACAAGGACTTCCATTGTAAAGTGGTTGTAACCTAGAGAAACGTAAGTCTGATATAAAAAAACCATCACAACTTGTACAGATCTGTGATCGCCATGGTATCTTGTTGAATGTTGAACACTTTTTAATTTAGAATAGAGTCTAAATCTAAATTCTAGAACAGATCTAGACCTGATGATTGCTACGATTTTTATAATTCTATTTTAGAATATAGATCTAGATTTAGATCTAGATTCTAGATCTAAATCTAGACGGTTAAATCTAAAATCGGAGTATTGGTGTTATCAGAATCTGACAATGGACTCTTCTAAAAATGGGTGTGTGCGATCAGTTGGGTGACAAGAATTTGAGTCAAGATTTAGATTTAGAAATCTAGATCTAGAAATCAAGATCTACCGATCTTGTTTGGGCCTTAGCGTCATCATCAGGTTAGGACAGTGGTATGGTAGGACCTGAGATTGTGTTGGCAAACCTATTTTATTTTAGCGTATTCTATTCAGTGCTTCCTGTTCACCCCCAGTTGAGTGTATTATTTATTTTATTATAAACACAACTGAAAACACTAAACTACAAAACCATTAGGAAGGCACTAGAGAATGACTACATTAGATCTAATTATTGGGAGAATGTTTACACCGGTGTCTGAAAATAGAATCTTCTTTAAAAAAGGGGTGTTAGGTTACCGATAGTTAACTAAATACACACATGGCTGGCTAATGTCAATGCTAACCCTGTCCCTAACCCCAACCCTGGTCCAAAAATACGCCTAACCCTAATTTCTAATCATAAAATTAGTCGCGATTACAATACTACTAACAACCCAACACCCCTTTGTTAAAGAAGATTCCATTATCGGACACTGGTATCTATAATCATCTTAATTATTTTTATAAATTTGTTTTTAATTTAAACGTCAACATCTCTAATGATCCGTTATCGGTTGGGGCATTAGTGGCATTACAGTTGACTTCATAATTCTTCGCTATCCATATCTGGCTGCTACTTTGATTAAGTCTGAGACTGGCAGCCCCCTCCAATCCTTGATGCCATTAGTTAGAGGGATCACTGACAGTGATTTCTCACTGTTTTAGATATAGCTAGCCTCAAATCTTGGACGATTTGTTATTTGGTCATGTAAGTTCATTCAACCTAATAAGTAGGCCTAGGCCTAATAATATGTTTATATTATCATGCATGTGAGATACTTGTTACAATACTAACTTAACTGTCTTTCTAGTTTTGCACTCAACCCAAAGCAGTGAAAATCTTAAGTAACATTACAACAAAAGCTGGCAGGCCTAGTCATATTTGTATTTTACTCAAGTTCTAACAAAATAATCAAAAACTAAAACAAAAATTCCTAAAATATAAAGTAGTTGGCCTATTACTCGCTAACTTTGAGGCTGGTGTCCTGACGCATGACTTCTGACAATTTTTCTGCCAAATTCCAGTAACCTTCTGCTACTTGCTTTTTAAAATGTTTACCGCGAGCAAAATGGGGTGGGGGGTCATGTTATAACAACAAACTATAGGTGGCAGGGCGCTATGTGCCAGAAAAGCATTTCAAAATTTGCGTTGGAGAATGAATGCTAAATTTAAAAGTTGGTTTCATTAAAAACACTAGGACTTTTTAAATATAAATTTCCATAGTACAAAATTGATTTCCATACTAAAGCATTATTAGGTTTATCAGTATGACAAAATAAATCAAATATTCAGCCGTTTTTTTATAAGACGGGCCAAGGAAATGAAGCAACCAAATTTTGCAAAGAAAATGACAACCAATTATTTTTGGTGATCACTAGTGAGGAACTCCCTGTGCATAGCCAGTTAAAAAGTCAATCCGGACTCGTGGCTTTTTGTAGCTTCAAACAAAAGGGTGGTTGTTATGGAGGGATGTGTCGTATCATAGCTGTAAGTGACAATAGATTTTAAATGAAGTAATTTGGCCTAAAATGAGCTAAAACCCTCAAAATTAGTGCCTAATAGATAAAATATGGATGCTTATTATTTAGTGGTCATGTTCAAATTGGCAATTGAGTACAGTTTAGATTTAGCGAGAATAACAAAATAAAGAAATAGTGTTTTCCTAACGTTTGTGTGTGTTTCAGTTGTGTTAATAAAATTCACTCTGAGGCGGTGTATAGAATGCACTAAATTGGACTTTTACCTAATACGTAATACCACATTAGATCCCACATGGCCAATGAAACAGATGCAGTTGTCCCTCTGCTATAGACTTTTTAGAAAATAAGTGTTTGGTTCTGGTTCTTAGTAGTATTGTAATCTCAGGTATAGTGATGTGCTGGTAAGACTAGGGTTTGGGATAGGATAAGCTGTTAAGCAGGCATGTTGTTACAACACCCCTTTTTATAAGAGTCCACCCAACTCTGATGGGTACCTAACTCAAGTTAGGGAAAGTAAAGGCGGCAGGGCATATTGCTGACCACACTATCTCTTCATATGCAGAGTTCACAGAAACATGTGAACTCTACTTCACTTGTCCTATAGACCCTCAGGTTCGAAAAGGGAACTTGAATTTTAAAGGGAGACTAGATCTGTGTTGACTTAGCCTGATGAAACTTTCAAATTTAGCAACATTATCTTAAGTAGTATGGTCAGAAGTTTTGTTAGGGCTATGATACTAAATTGTAGGGTTTGGATTAGAAATGTGGTTAGCATTTCGTTAGCAAGTCAAATTTTTATGTCGTTTTTTGTTTTTGACATTAGCTTTATCTCGTCAAAAATACTTTTTATGTCTATCTTTCTAAAATATCTAAATGCCAAGCATTTGTGACAGTCTGCAATTGGCAATAAAACAATTTAGCTACTGATGCACGGGCTAAGAAGATCTACTTTTGAGAAAACTGAGCTTAGCCTAGCTTATCAACATTTAGAAAAAAACAATGATTTCTAGACCACTGTGAATGTATGGTGGGTAGATCAATATATTGTTTATGCTCAATATATTGTTTTTGCGGCTGGAAATAAAAATGTAGCATACACTAAAAGGAGTCAAAGCAAACCTTTTAAAAATGAGATGGGTTCGCTGTTTCAAGTCACAATAAATGATAAATTCTGGTGTTTGGGTTTGTCGGTTAGTTTTGTTGCTATTAAAATGTATAAACATAAAAAGATAATGAAAACTTAGTGTTTCTTCTGGCCTATTATAATTTATATACCTGCCAAAGGCTTTACATAATTTAAAAGAAAACTTAAAAGTTTCAAGGTCTTATTGGGATTTTTTAAGAATAAGAATCCAAAACAAGTTTTCCATTTCTTAAAATCATCTTTTTAATGTAATTTTGTGGTCCTACTAATCATTTGACGGGAGGCCATGCCATAGTTTATGAAATAAACTTGCTTGTTGGCCAGAAGTAGATTTAACCTCTACTCGAATCCCTAAGTTTAACATTTTTTATAAATTTCACAAAGTACAAATACATTATGACACCTGTTTCTTAAATCACGGAAAAATATTTACCTCGGTCATCCCATTTTAACCACGGCATTTTTAGCTTTTCCGATTTTAATGTGGGAGTGTTTTCTGATGTTGCAAGAGGTTCTACTTTAAAGTTAAATAGGTATGTATGTTGATTACTATTTTTTTGTGTTAAAAACCGTGTAGTTTTATAAATTTTATAAAGTGATTGTCTAGTTTACAAATAGTGCATGACCTCCCGCTCTGATGCCATTTTTAACAATTTTTAATTATGATTGCTTATCTGTTTTTGACAACATTTTACTGTCAATTCTTTTCCCCACTTCCTGTCCTTAAACACAGCTTTCATTTTTATTACTCAAAATTATAAATTAGTCTTCTTACTATTGTCATTCTTTGTTGTTTCCATGAAATTTTATCTTTGGGTACTGACCTCGAGATCATAAAATCTAACAAAATGTACTTTCAAATCCAAATTATTTCGATCAATATATATATATATATATATATATATATATATATATATATAGGCTACATCAAGATCAGCACAAATAAGAATTGCATTTGAGAATTTTATGGAAACATAGAATGCCTAAATCAACTGTTTAATCCATTGGGAGTACTTATGATTTTGATCACAATGTACCATTAAAAACCCTATACTCTATTTTCATAGCACAAATTTATTGAGCTAAAAACTTATTTAGCTGTTTTATATCTAAATTATCTCCATATAATTTATGTTTAGGTTTGAAACATAATGGGTAATATAGCTGCCCTCTTGAAACGCTGGATAGGGAAGAAAGAAATGAGGATTTTAATGGTTGGTTTGGATGCAGCTGGAAAGACAACTATACTTTATAAGTTGAAGCTTGGAGAAATAGTTACCACTATTCCAACTATAGGTAAGAATTTTTACAACAGGAAGAATCGGTTGTTAAATAATTAATACTTTTAGCATTTTGCACTGAACTGATACAAATTATTCATTTTTGTTTCAGGCTTCAATGTTGAGACTGTGGAATACAAAAACATCAGCTTCACAGTATGGGACGTTGGAGGTCAAGATAAAATAAGACCTCTTTGGAGACATTACTTTCAAAACACTCAAGGTTGTGCGACTTCAAAACCATATCTTAATTATTAGTTTAAAGAATCATGCTTTTGAAGAAAGTATTGCCATTAATATGACTTAAAAATCAATTCTACTTTTGCTCTATTCCCTGAGTGCTGGAGTTTATTTTACTATCACTTCCCTCAGTCCCACAGACTGTTTGCCATTTAAGTTACCCATGCATGTTTTATGTGGTTTTAAGAAATATTTTAGTTTGAAATATTTGAATATTAAATGATATTTATCTAGATAAATATTTTTTGATCAGATCATATATCCAATAAGATCTAGAAAATTGGTCTATTGAGAGGTGCTGTGCATCTAGAGTTGGTGCAGGTGATCTTAATCTGTCCATCCGATCTGGTTCTTTTAGCAAATATTTAGTCTTTTGTTATTCAACAGATCATCAGCTTTGTCTGATTCTAATAAATTTAATGATTTCTAACAATGCTAATATAGTCATTTGTTTATATCAATTAAAAAAAAATTTTTTTTTTAGGTCTTATTTTTGTAATAGACAGCAATGACAGAGAACGAATAGGAGAGGCTAGAGAGGAATTAATGAGAATGTTAAATGAAGATGAACTGCGAGAAGCAAAGCTATTAGTTTTTGCTAATAAACAGGTATAAGATAAAAGATAGTATGGAATTTTTTTATTCTTATTAAGGTTGAATCGTGTACATAAGATAACTGTTTTATTTTATTTTTTGTCAGGATCTCCCCAATGCAATGAATGCTGCTGAAATAACAGACAAATTGGGTCTTCATAATTTAAGAAATCGATCATGGTACATTCAGGCCACATGTGCAACCAGCGGTGATGGGCTTTATGAAGGACTTGATTGGTTATCTGCCAATGTTAAAAAATGATTTTTTTTTTTTTTAACTTTTTTCATTTAAAGCTGTCATTCCTGTTTTAATTATACTTGTCAGCAGATCTTATTATACTATGCAAAAATGGTTAATACTTTCATTTTATTACCCATTGAATTTCAAAATAAATGTTTTGTTGCTGAAGGTTATTTTATTCCTTCTCAGATAATATAGGGACCAGTTTATTCATATAAAATATTATGTTAGGTAACAAACTTTTTGTATTTTTATACACTTCCAAATTTTTTTGTCTTTAACCCATTATTTCCATGGTCATGAGGTACTTGATTTTGTACCACTGCAAAATTATTCCAATTTTTTAATGGATGAGCATAAACAACTTACTCCATCTTTACGCATTGTCTACTAAGAAATGTGATTCCAGACATCTTTTGGTTGAAATCATGGTTTTGATACTTTCATTTGAACTATTATTATAATTTTCATAACTTATTGATAATGTGAAGTAATTTAGCTCGATCGTAGATACATAAATCTGTGGCTGCAGTTATTGCATTAGCATACACTAGTATGTGGGTGTGTGGTCAGAGTTTTGTCTCAAGACCTTGGTAATACAAATATATATTAAAATAATTTTACTGTGCTACAGATCTATTCCAGTTCATTCTGATTTGTTAACAAAAAGATCAATGCAATAGTTAAATAAAAATCAGCCAGAATCATACTATAGAATACTGCTTTAAACTTCCTGGTTGTATGGTTGGTAATGGCGTTAGGTTTGCTGTATTATCAAATGAGTTCATAATTACATAGTACTGATTATTAAATGTTTAAAGTAGGTCTACAGTTGCACATTTATTATTAAATGGCTCACTATTTTTGTTTTGCCCACATGGTAAAAAGTGTGGTTAATATCAGCTTACTCACTTCAGTTTTGTAATTTGTGTGTTCTAGAAATGCTATACTAATATTAAGCTAAATATACCATTCGATAGTATTTAGAAGAAGAAAAAAAAATTTAATCAAGTGGTTTTTTTTTTAATATTGCAATTACATGCTGTTGTGCACATCTTTCACTGTACTATAAACACATTTTATTAAAATTATAAAACATTTTTGTTTTCAGTTCAGGGTTGGTAAAATTTAGGGGATTCAATTCCAAAATTTGTTTATATTAGTTTGAATTTAAAATAGACTTTCCAGTTGGGGGAAAATGGTAATGTGCACTTGTTTCAGCATCAGAAAAGAAAAAAAGTAGGCTGTTTAAGGTTCTGCAACATTTGTTTTCAACATATTGTTCATTTTTAAAAAAATTATCTGTTGCATCTATTAAAATGTGAATAGTTTCTCTTTCATAAAAAAAAATTTCTAGTATAATATGGTTGTACCAAGTCCACTAGTCTATTGTTTAAATAAATCAAATACACAAAAATGAATAAGCCTATTACCAGGGTAAAAAGTATTATTCATTGATTAAAGATTGTCTTTCTAATTGTTACTTTTAAAGAATCATAATTGTCTTATGTTAAATGATTTTGTGTATGTCTTTAGATTTTCTGCCAGTTAATTATACATATAATCTGATATGGAAGAAAAGTGTGATACATATTTTTTTATATTTCATTTTTAAAATTTGATACAGTACCCAGGTTTTCTTGTCACCAAATCAAAAGCTTTTTAAAATTTCTTAGCGTATTCAGCTGGATGTTCATTTTTTTGTTTTTGTTATAAATAAAATTTTGAAAAGCATTACTTTCTTTTTTTGTTGTTTTTTAATTTATTGGATATAAAATGCTACTTCAGTAGAGAAGGTAGTTTAATTCCTAACTTGATTATTTTAGGTCGCTGTCTGACAGAATTTGGTAAAATGGGAAACGTCTTTGCACAGTTGTTCAGAGGTTTGTTTGGAAGGGCTGAAATGAGAATCCTTATGGTAGGTCTCGATGCTGCTGGAAAGACAACTATTTTGTACAAATTGAAACTGGGAGAAATAGTCACAACAATTCCAACTATTGGTATGTTAATCATTTTTAAAATTAAAGGTTAGCATAATGATACTCAGCACATTTGTTGGTCGTGGTGTTATAAGAAGTTTATTTCTTTCAGGTTTTAATGTAGAGACAGTCGAGTATAAAAATATCAGCTTCACTGTATGGGATGTTGGTGGACAAGATAAAATTCGACCTTTATGGAGACATTATTTTCAGAATACTCAAGGTAGTGTACTCTAGGAACTAAGTAGTTTTTAGTGTGGAAATTATGCATTTCCTTTTTTAGTATAGGTCTGTGTTATTTCGATTGATAAAATGCTTAATTTTCTTTCAGGGTTAATTTTCGTAATTGATAGCAATGATCGAGAGAGAGTAGGAGAAGCAAGGGAGGAATTAATGAGAATGTTGAATGAGGATGAACTAAGGGATGCTATTCTATTGGTCTTTGCCAACAAACAAGTAAGTTACCACGTTAATATTACTTAGCTAATAATTTGCTGTCTTAAGCATTTTTGAAACTGATCATGACATTTACAGAATGAGTAAACTTTAACAACTGAACTCCTATAGTTAATGCCCTCTAAAAAAAAATTCTGTAAATTAATAATTATTCAGAGCATATATAGTTTATCTCTTTTTAAGATTTAAATTTTTGTCACTTTCTTTTTACAAAGTAAAAACACTCATGTTAATTTTGATTTAAATAGATATGAATGTCCAGTATTATTTTTCTTTTCCCAATTAGAATATCTATATTCATTTTCAAATTAAGAAAGGACATTTACAGGTTAAAATTCTGAGAAATTCACATGCATATAAATAAACATCAAAGCAGATAAAACATTGAAGCAGAACAGGGAAGGGAATACAATTTTTATAATTACATTTTATTATACATGGTTGGTTTTGAGTAACAGAATATAGGTTTTGACTAAGTTGTGGAATCATAGTGTGTTGTATAGCAAATTATAACAGGGTGAAAGGGAGCCACATTGGCAAGTGTTCTAATATCATCTGGGTACATGAATAATTATAATGGTATTGCACATTTTTCTGTGAAATCATTGTGATTATTTCTTAAACTGTGATGTTAAGGGGGGGGGGGGGTGTCTGTGGGTAATAAAAAATTTAAAATTCCATATTTTAAGAATTCATGTCCGAAAATCAGCAAATATAGAAAACTGAAATCGATTTATAGATATATGTATTATGGGATCATTATATCAGGAACCACATGGTCATGCCCAGTTTTTTGCTACTTATATACTGTGTTTGCTAAGTGTATCCTATCCTCTACATGGTTGGTGTAGACCTAGTTAATATTGTCACTTCTATAATAAGGCTAAAATTATCCGAAAGCCCAGAAATTAAGTAGACATTCTTTTTAAGCAGGCTCTAGTAATAGTATAAAAATTAATTGGGGGGGGGGGTTAAAAACAAGCAAATGCAATGGGATATAATTAATAGTATGGTGTTTATGCTTTATGATAGTGCATAACTTGTAGTTTTGTAATAACTAACCAACAACTTTATCCTTTACAGGATTTGCCCAATGCAATGAATGCTGCAGAAATTACAGACAAACTTGGGCTACATTCACTTCGTAATAGACAGTGGTTCATTCAAGCAACATGTGCTACCAGTGGTGATGGTCTATATGAAGGTCTTGATTGGCTGTCAAACACTCTGAAAAAGAAACCTTAATATGTGCAAGTTGTAGACTAGCTAATGCCATCATATATTTTATATTCTTTTAAAATGTTTATTAATGATCTGTTACTAGACTGATTTCAAAAATTAAAATTCCAACCAATTAAATTTTTAAAATTGACTAACCAGAACAAAAAAACAGATCATAACTTAAAACAAAATAATGTTAATTTTTCCATTTCAAGTGTTTTGGACTTCTGATTGCCTGTGTTCCCTTATTTTAATTGTATATTTAAAACTTGTAAGGATATAAATAGTCAGCATTACTGTCATCTGCAGTAAAAAATACAAGTTTTCTCTGTCAAATAACTTTAAACAGTATGGGGAAGAATGGTAGAAAATTTTGCAGTTAATGGAAACTGTTAGACAGTGTCGTGATAAGTGTTGTCAAATCTTTGCAAGGACTGATGGAATTTGCATGTTTTAAGAGTGTATAAGCATGCTTGAAGAAAGTTAATTTTAATTGTATTAATGCAATGATGGGATCTTTGTCACTTGGTTATGTTTCATATTATCATTTAGGCATGCAAGTTGCGTGGTGTATTTCACATTAAATTATATAACAAGTGTGATATACAAATAAAGTAAGCCATTAAGTTTTAGACCTACTTTACTTTGCAAAAAGCATTTGTTATTTGTTTGGGACCCCAGCTTAAATTGAAAGCTACAGTCAGTTCGCTTTCCTTATGCTATTTATTAATTTTATTTAGAATTTCCATGAAAGAGAGATCCTGTTGTATGAATGCATTAATATCTGTGGGTAAGATTAAAACTAGTAATTTTTTTACCCTATAGTATTGAGATCTCCTTTTTCGTAATTGCAAAATTGATGCACATTCCAATTGTTTACAAGGGTTAAAGAAGCACAGTAAAAAAATTAATTCAAAGGTTATCACTTTGCAACCTGTTAAAAAATGTTACTCTTTTAAGCTAAGTACTTGGGCGCTTAATTTTTTTTTTTTTTGTGAATGTGGTCATGAATAACTGCTGTTATGAACTCTCTCTGTGTGTATTTATTAACATGCATTTTTTTTCTGTATGAAAGTAATAAAAGTCTTCTTAAAATATTAGTTTGTTTTTATTTATCACAATGATTTATGTGTTGTATGTATACACATACTTTTTTAATGCTCTATGGCATCAGCCTGTATGCTGAATTACACTTTAAAATATCCAAATTTAGTTTTTACATAAAAAAATGAATTAAGAATTTTATATTTTAAGAATTGTCGTTTTGTAAATGCAGATTGCTTAATTCTGATTTTAAGGTTTCATTTTAGTTTGCATACTATCATCAGACAGGTGTTATCCTGAAGTTCACAAAGTATCCGGTTTTAAAAAAGGATCTTTAATTTTAATGCCACTCAATATGTTTGCTTATGGCATTTTAATGTTTCACACATAATTAATGAAAGAGCGTTATGCATTGCTACACTTAAGTTGTTAATACTCCTGGAAAGGTTTTTGCAATAAATATAAACATTGGATGATGGCAGGAAGGTGCAGTTTGGTATCCAGAGTTTCCAGCCACTATTATAGCACCTGGGTTCCAATGACGGTGTCCTTGAAAGCGATTCAAAGGCGCTACTGAATTCAAACTACATCATCCTCCAGCTGTAGGACAGGTTCTCATTTGAGCACTATGGCGTTGACATTTATTTTGAAGAGCATCATCATTAGTCTCCAAACCTGTGGTGCCCTGGTGGTAGTGTAATAAAGTAAAGGATTGGGGCCTTTGAACAGGTGGTAACATAGGTGATAATGTACACTCCTGGTTTTCATACAGCACCCCCTGGGTGATAGGGCAGGCAAACCAGCACCTTAAAAGCTAAGGTCCAAGAACTCATGTCCTGACATGGTTTACATTTAAATGACTTAGTTCTGGAAAACAAGGTCAAGTCTAAAAATACTACATGGTAGTGTGCTATTGTTCTGCTAGCAACATAAATTAACTGAGCATTACCCTGTTGCCATCTGAATAATTTTGGCTTTATTTTTTACTTTCTCATATACAGAGTATATAGGAAAATCACATGAAATTTTGAGTTGTTACTGTTTTACACCTCAGTACTTCATCATATACGGAGTATAGGGGACTTATTTTAATCTGGCAAAAATTCTAAATCCAGATTTATCAAAATTTTGGCGTTTTCTGCATAATCGAGTAGGAAAAACTGGGCTTTGCAATTGTGGATGTGTCTGTGAACACGATAACTAGAGTACTATTACAGCTTGGTTGATAAAGTTTCATATGTAATAAGTATTACATCGAAATTGTAGTTCTGTATCAACTTTTCAGCTTTTAGCCAGTAACCAAAAGTGAAATTAATTCTACTTTTCAGATAGAAGAAATTTCACATATTAGTAAAAGATCTAATTCTGTCAAATTTTGAGTAATTTCTGTGTGCCGTAAGTAGTACTTAACGCTATTTCCGATTTCTAAAAAAAAAACTCATATGAATTCAAGTTCTAATTATACACACATTGTTTGCTGTTCACTTTGTTGCGCTATTCTTTTTTAGAATAGAGGCTCTGTTCTATTTTTAAAGCTTTAACTATTTAAAATTTAATTAAAAATCATGTCTATACCCCAAGTTGCAATCCCCCCGTAGTGTTATATAAGAAAATTGGAGAAAGTCTAGGGGAGATCACTCCCACTTTATTTAAACTGTTGTTATCCAAATAATAAGGACATGTAGTATAAGAGAATTTTTAAAAAATTAGTTATGAAGACGGTTGGTTCAAATTTAATTTCCAAAATAAATACATAAAAATACAAGTTTAACACAAAATGTCAATAATAAAGTAAGTACAGAAATTAAATATACAGTGATCCATCCCATGGTCCAACATATCCAACTGATATCAGAATTACATCAACCAATGTCCACACTCCTAAGCCACCAAAACTTAATAGCTTCCCAATTCCTTCTCTCCATAAACCCAGATAAAATCTATCCACTCCGAAACCGCCTAGGAAAATGCTGAAAATATAAATAAAAACGATTTATTTATACTAAATTACTATAATTAGTATAATGCAATTTAATAATTAAGAGACCTTAAATAAGACCTTAAAAGCAGTGCTGTTGACCACTTGTAACCTTGAGACCAATTGCAAGACAGTTGCTTAGGGAAGCATCTTCGCCCTTGTAAAATGAATAGAAATATTTATATTAACAAACAACCAATTTATTAAATGTTCATATTCTATTAGTAGTATGTGTAGTAGATATACAAAATTCCAGGTATAATTTAACTGCTTAAGTTTGTAGCTATTTGTGAGTTGCAACATCATTTCATCAACAAATGATGCTGTGCCTAATGGCATTTAACAGGAGCAAAGAGTGGATTGTCAAAGTATAAAATTATTAAAATAAACTGATTCATTGTATCAATTTAAAAGGCTGTTCTCATGTTTGGCTAATTCAAAGTTTCCTAGCCTTGTTTGGGTTTTTATAAAAGCTTAGTACCAATAGGCATTTTAAATAAGGCAGTTAAAAAAATAAAGTAGCTAAAAAGGAACGAAAACTAGAAAAGCAAGTTAGGTTAGGATATGTTTGCCTGTCGTCCCTACTGGGACATAGGCCGCTGACAAGAGCTTTCCAGACGTCTCTGTCCAGGGCTAGTTTCTCCAACTGTCCCCAGGTGTATCCAATCTTCTTGGTGTCTTCTTCCAGGTCACGTCTCCAGGTCTTTCTTGGTCTGCCTCTCCTCCTCCTACCTTGTGGATTCCAGGTGAGGGCCTGTCTTGTTATGCTGGATACAGGCTTCCTGAGTGTGTGGCCAATCCATTTCCATTTCCTCTGGAGGATCTCTACTTCAACTGGCAGTTGGTTTGTCCTTTGCCATTGAACATCATTTCTGATTGTTTTAGGCCAGCGAATTCGCAGGATCTTTCTGAGGCATGCGTTTATAAATGATTGCATTTTCTGAAACAGGAATGGTGAAAGTAGGCAACCCTGCCTTACTCCAGTCAGTACTGGGAAGGACTCTGTAGTCTGTTGGCCATGCACTACTCTACATTTCAGATCTTCATATGAAGACATAATAATGTTGACTATTTTCTGTGGCACCCCGTAGTGTCTCAACAATTTCCACATTGACTGTCTATCCAGGCTATCAAAGGCCTTCTCATAATCTATGAAATTAATATAGAGAGATGAGTTCCATGCTTGGGTCTGTTCAATGATGATGCGCAGGGTAGCAATTTGGTCTACACATGAAAAGCATGTATTGCCACATTATTTGGGAATGAGTGATTCCTAGCACACTGGAATTGTGTAAGCATTTGTTTCATTAAACAAGTTGCTGAGAAATCTTGCAAATTTACAAACTGATCCTGTAATTTAGCAGGAGTGCTGCTACACAAAAGCAGAGAATAGATTTTATGTTAATGTAGTTTCTTCCTCTAATTTCAGATCAGGGAAGTAAAGCTGAAGTTTGTTTTCAATGGATTTAAAATGCCTGGTAATACTAATAGTAGAAAAGAACCTATACTGTGATCTGAATCCATGTCTTTGCACAGTTCTTCAAACAGATAGATGTTAGAGCTCCAGATCTGATGTAATTTATTATTTTTATCAGAGAATTACCTCTTACAGAGGTGTTTTAAAAGTCTTCTGATGAATTTTGCAGTGGAGAGCTAGTTTCTTGTTCAGATAGCCCAATTTTCAATCAAAGCACAGAAGGTGCTTTAACTATAATAACCCCACAGATGTGTTTCCACTTTAAGCCTCCAGAGTTTCAAAAAACTTATTTATCTTTACATAGTATTATTAATATCTACAGTTTTTGTAGCAGTTTCAAGTCCAATACAAAAAAAGGAATTCTTTTTTTTATATATATTGTGAATAAATATATTTATGAAGCTGAATGAATAGGAACACAAGCTTTTGTTTGTTGATTCATCAGTTTGAAAAGAAAAAAATATTGAAACATTGATTTCTTTCAAATTCTGCTCTTTAACTTTAACAACTAGAGACGTGTATATCTCTGACAAAGATAATGACGTCTCTGACTTTTAAAACTAGTTGCATTCCAAGAAAGCTCCAAATACTTTTGAGTTTGTACACAATGCTTCATTTCTTAGTGGAGACTGAGTTTTCTAAGTTTCATAGACCAATGACTGAGAACATCTATACAAATTATATGTGATCACTTACCCATACACAGATATTCCTTCTTGGTCCAACATGTACTGACATAGAAAGGTCTGGCAGGATAGTAATTGCGAGGTCTGTTTAAGGCACAGTCTATAGTTTTATTACACCAAGTCAACTGCTGTGGTAACTGATAGCAATAACGACATTCATATTCTCTTTCAAAAGTCTGATTTCCCTGGTAAAATACAAAAAATGTGTTTAAAAATGAAATTTAAGGAAAACCTGGGTTTAAGTTAAATGGACCTGGTAACGGTTTCATTCTCAGGTGAAATGGAATGGTACCGCAAGCATTCATTAAAATAGAATCACACATCCAGATATTTGTTACTCAAGAGCCTTAGGTATTTGAGGTATTATACTAGAGTCAGAAGAAAAGTGTTGTTGCAGCCCTTTGCTCTACAGGGGCCTCACAAAATTAATTAAGCCAATTAGGGGGACCTGATATTTGTGAATGTGTAATATTAATTGTTGACTGATGTTTTTAAGGGATTATGTTTATATGTTTATATATAAGTATATTAACTTCCTTGTTAGAAATATGGTACAACAGCCACCTCACAAACCACACCAACTGTAATTTAATTTTGAGTACAAAACAACTTACAGTACAATTTACAAATTGCTTTGGGGTGCAAATAGCCTTTTGCTTGGTTCCATATATACAAGATTCATTGAAGGTACAGTTGATGCAATCCCCTCCCAATCGATTACATTCTAAGTTATCAGGACATTCTTCATCTACATTTACTGAACAGTCTGGTGCTTGAGGCCCTTTAGCTGGTTCACTGTCATTACTGGATGAATTTGCAGACGCTAACACTGGCAGTAATGCTGAACTACTACTTGTGCTGGCATCTGAAAAAGATACAATTCAACCTTATTTGTTAAAATACATTTATTCAAGTTCTAAATTAGACAACAAAAATTTTATATTTATGATTAATATAAGCCTCTAGGTACTGTGTCATTCCGTCAACATAGATAAAGTTAATATTTTTTAACTACTCATATAATTATTCTCACCACCTATTATTACTGTAGTTTGAATTAGTTATATAATGCCATCTACAGAGCATCTTTTTATACCAAATAGATTTCTATTTACTTTTTAAGTGGTTTGAATTTCTATCATTTATCATAATATTATTTTCAATTTTTCAGCACACAAAAAATTATGGAATTATGATAAGAAAGACATAATACAATTTTTATTTTTAAAATTAAAATTTATTTTACAAAATTACATAATTAATTGTGTTGAGTGTTGTGTTTTGTGCTTTATACACACTTTATAATGTGGTCCGCAGTTATGGTGCTGAGTGTTGTATTTTGTTATGCGTTGTGTTGAATGGGAGTGAAATGTGGTGGGGTGAGGTTTAGGGTATGCTGCAAGAAGTTATGTGGTGGAAGGTGTGATATGTTATTTACCCTTTGCTTATTTTACAAGAATTACACAAGCATTTATCTTGTGTTTGGTGTTGTTTATTTCTATTCTCCAAAGAGTATTTTAAACATTTACAATGTAGTGAAGCAAAAGTATGCAGCTAGTTTATATATAGATTTGTATATAACTATATTCAAAAAACTTTCTATACAACAAATAAAAACACACTAATGGATAATCTAAAATGCATTCTGAGTAAATTAATAACCAGGCAAAGAAATAATTCAGGCTAATAGGTTATTAAAATTAGGGATATAAATTACTAGGCCTATATACCAAACATTCTCTTCTCACATAAATACTTCTTTATAAATACTGCAGGATTGAAGAATCAACCTGTCTTTTGATGTTGCAACACATTCTTTTTGTGCACATTGAATTTTCGCTTTCATTTATTTTTAATTTGGCACAATTTGTAACTGCATTGTGCTTTTTAAAAATTCTATCCATCATAGCTGTCACACAATCTAAGCATTTTTGCACTAGTGAATTACAACTTACAGTTTGGATTTTCTGAATATGTTCTGCTTCTGACTAAATAAAAGTATGAACACAACTTAAATAATTTACTATGACTTAACATATTAGAAAATAAATGTGTTCAAGTATAAAAATCCATTACAATATGACTGTTCTGTAATTATTTTTCAATACCTACCAAGGGTTGTGATTTCTGTTGCTGTTACTCTTGACATCCCAACAGCAATTAATAATAGAATGACAGATACTAAATGCCAAGACAAAATAATGTTCCTACACTGGATGCCAAAAATACTTGAAGCTATAAGTTTGACTGTCATAGTGATAAATGCCTAAATCAGGAAATAACAATATATTATTACTTATACACATACATATATTTATGTCTAAATACTATGTAGTGGTTATATGCACCCAGAACAGATAACATGCAATAGCTATAATATACAAATCTGTACACAGATTTATTATTAGGCCGGGCTGGTATACATTTTGAGCCATCACTAACGGATTTCATAGTGTCAGCCACCAACCAATCAGACGTGGGCTTTCTCCCGTTTTAGTTGGCAGCTGACATCAAGCAATGAGTTTTTGTAGCTAAAAACTGCAGAAAAGGCTAAAATGTAGTTTAACCATCTAAATCTAATCTAGATCTATATCTAATATCTACTCCAGATATAGACTCTAGACTAGTTTGATTCGGTAAAACTCCATTATATCGTATTTTATTATCAACACAACCAAAACACACGAAAACGTTACGAAAACACTAGGCTTATTTCTTTATGAACTTTTGTTTTGTTTTTCGATAATTAATTTACTTTTGTCTTTTGTCAAAACTTGAGAAAAATTCAAATTTGGAATATTGAATGAGCACTAGATCTAGATTTAGCTTTTTTTTCTTGAAAAAATCTAGGTTCGTGTCATTTAAGGAGAAATTCATAAATGCAAGTCGGTAAAGTTTGTATTGTTAAAAATATCACGCACTCATGATACTATAAATAAACTTATATGAGCTCACAATGGCCCTAAGCTAATGACGTAGTATACTGATAATTAAAGTCAGTGTGAACTCACGGTGAACCCTTGACCATGTGTAGGGATTTTTTTCCCATCGACGATCACATGCTATATAATTATTTAAGTTTATAAATAATAGAATAGAAAATGTGATGCTTAAATAATATTTAGATCTATAATCTTTTTTTTTTACCTTTTCTAATAAAAAAATAAAAAAAACATTCGAAATAAGTAGATCCAATATAATTATATAAGATCTAGATCTACACTAGAAGGTAATCTATCGTTTTGGGTACGTAATGATCGCCCGCGACTTGTAATGTGAAAAACAGGTGACTCCTTAAATTTTAATAATTATTTCACATTTTGAGGAGGATTTATGTTTTTTAAAATACAAAAATGTTTCCTTGTTTCATTTATGTACCTGTTTTTAAACAATTGAATTAAAACTTTTCTGTAATAAATGAAGACTAGCGATGTTTCCAACAGATGCAACCATGCTCGTTTACTATAGCAGCCATCTTGTCTAAGTTTTATTTTTATAAGCTTATAGCGCGAGATTCAGGGGGAAGCCACTCTATTTTACAAATGGCTGCTCTTTATAATATATAGCAAATCTTGCTCTCAGACACTGCTGTTTAAAGTTAATTTCTGGCGTGGTCGAGTCGGTAAAGCTCATGGTTGCTAAACCGAAAAGTCTCGAGTTCGAACCCTCGGGCAGATGAGGCTCGTTAGCTGGGGACAGCCACTCTTCTAGGAGAGACAACTCCAAAATTAAAACAACTGCTGCCTTGTAGTTTGTTCTTGGTTGGACAAAGGCTATGGAAGCAAATCCAAAAAGAAAAACAGGCTGAAATCGGAGTCAATGGCCTCAATGGCGCATAACCAGTTGACACGTAACGCTTAATTGTGTTGAAGGCGTGGTCGAGTCGGCAAAAAGCTCATGGTTTCGAACAAAGTCTCGAGTTCAAACCCACTGGCGGATAAATCTCGATCCCCTTCATCACTAATACTAATAGTAATAATTAAGAACGAAGAAGATGAAGAATTTCTGGCCTATATCAGAGTATATCAATATCGATTATTTAGCCATTGATTTAGGTTTTATTATTCATTTCTCTATAATATTTGACACCTACATATGACAATATACTTCTATTACAGCCTTGACAATGAGGTAACGTTTTCGTACATTAATAGCCGCGGGCGATTTTACGTACCCAAAACGACAGATCTGAGATTACCCACTCACTAGATGACTAGATCTAGTCACTAGAATTCTAGATCAATATATTTTTAAAAATCATTACTTTCTATATTTACAGCTTTCTACGTTTCTAGGTACAATCAATCACCATCACAGACAAATAAATTTTTTAGAAGTCCTAAACATTAAACAACGCAGTTAAGTGAGTTTTAGTTGACAGACTATCTAGATCTATCTATTAATAATAAAAACATCCGCCATCTTTCTCAAGTAGATCTATATCTATTATTTGAGTAGTGTCCCTTTGTTTAGTTCTTTGCGTATGGACTGTCGCCGATATCATATTCTTTGGTCATCAGTATTCTAAAGTATTAATTTCAACTTCATTAGCAGAGTATCTTCCAGGCATACCTTGGGGAAAGGGGCTTTATAAAGAATACATATACTTTAACTTCAACCAGTGTTCAGCCCCACCCTCCAAAAAACTTAGTCCACCCTCCCCCTCCCGGAGAAAACAATCTGGATAAAACTACACTGTTCATTAGATTCCAACATATCCAGTCATTGTACCTCTTTTTACATTAATTAACCGCCTGGTTTGGTTAAATGGGAAAGATGCTCACTTCTTCATCTGACGTTATTGTACACTTAGCGTGAGATGAAGTCCACCGGAACCAACACCCCACCCCGAGAAATGTCTGTAAGATACACTGGCTTTGGCTGGTATCAACACGGATCAATAGTGTTTGTGCACTATTTTAATAATATGGGATGTAAAATTCATCATTCTGTCAGTTGTTTGTTTTCAATGTACTTTTAAGTGAGCTTTATCTTTTCTGTCCAGTAATCTAACAGTTTTTATGTATACTTTTTTACTTCTAAATTTAAATTTTTTATCTTATTCATATTGTAATACATATGCAACAAAAACTCTGAGTGAACATTTAAGAAATTTAATCATGAATTTTACTCAAAGTATAGCCGTACATGTCCAAAACAATGTAAAGAATAAAAAAACAAAACAACAATACATGTAGTAGTTAAACAGTAAAATAAAAACACTATGTTAGCACTTAGGATTCATTTGAGAACTGCAAAAGATATTTTTATTTGTTTAAATAATGTTGCCATGTTACAACAGCAAAATAAAGTAATGAACTACTACATATAAAACTATTTAAGTGAATCCTTCACAAAATAATTTATAAGGAAACAACAAACACCATCAAGTTAGGAATTAGCTTTAACAGCAACTAAGATTAAAAGCCACCAGTTAGCAGTTTACACATGTTTTACTTGTATTTTTCTGTTTAGTCAATGAAATTATGTTTGACTTTTGATGGTAATTAAAAATTTAGATACAAACAAATCCCAATATAACTGGCAATCATTTCCAATTCAATATTTGCATTGGAGAAAAAATACTAGTAAACAGTTCTCTGCTTTTACAACAACAGAAAATTAAATTAAAGTATCTGTATAAGGTAACCAATTACATAGTGAATTCATGACATACTACAAGCAATAGTAAAGCACAAGTATGTAACTTGAATTTGGATCAATAGTAGAACTAACAAAACTGAGAATTTTTTAACTGTTTAGAGTGTTTAGAGTTTAAAATATTTCTTCAGCATCAAGGGATTTATTTTTCTTGAATTCTTGAAAACGAGCAATGATGTGATCAATGCTATGCTCTCCATGGATCTTATTATCACGAGTGCGCACATTTGCTGTTTTGTTAGCCAATTCTTTTTCACCAACAACTGTAAATAAGATGTAAGAATTTAATGAAAAATAGCTTATGAATTTCCATACCTACGTATTCTCACACTCAATACTGGATCAATATATTTAGTTAAAACTTTAAAACAACACTTTGAAAAAATAATTAATCAAACATACCAAATATGAAGTTATATTGGCTGAGTTGTGCATTACGAATTTTTTTATTCATTGTGGTGCCTTGATCAAGATCATGTTCACATATGAAACCAGCATCATGTATCTTTTTCATTACCTGTAATGGTTATTAGCAAATTATTGATTTTAATTCAATGTAAAATTATATCAAATCCAATTTCCAGACATTCAAGAAATTATTTTAGTTTAAAATTAATTTTAAGTTAATAGAATCAAACAGTAGAATTCAAAATAACAAAAACATATTTTAATATATGGTAAAAAAACATGAAGCAAAATAATGATGACTAATAATTTAAAGATACATTTGCTAGTCATTATATTGACATTTTTCTTACCTCTTGAGCATAATCATCAAAAGCGGGTGCCACAGTAATCACAATAGACTGTCTTGGGGACAACCAAAATGGCCTTTAAATATGTTAATGTAACAAGTTAACTACAGAGTTTATATACATGCAAATCAAATCAATATTAGATTAGATCATGACAATTTTTGTTGTTAGCATTCATAAATGCACCACAGAAATTTAAAAACTTGATTTACCACTAGATTGAAAAATTATTTAAAACATAACCTGCACTTACCATTTGCCACCAAAGTTTTCACATAAAATGGCAATCATTCGTTCCACAGAACCTAAAATTGCTCGGTGAACAATAACTGGTCTTTCTTTCTCTTGTTTATCACTAGTATAATATAATAAAAGATTTTTAATTAAAAGATTTTGATTTTATTATCAAAAGAAGAGTATGCTGTACAAATGAAACCCAAAAACAATTTTTATAACTGACTTAGTGAAAGTTAGGTTGAATCTCTCAGGTAGTTGGAAATCTAGTTGTATAGTAGCACATTGGTGACTCCTCTTGAGTGCATCATTGATTGTTATATCAATCTGATAACAAAGAGAAATTAATTTTAAATTACACTAGTAATCTTTATATTTTACAAGAATGCTCAAACATGACAATTGAGTAATTAAATAAAGCAAAATAACTATAATTTTTAAAATCTATTCAAATTTGTTTTAAAAAGATGTTGTTTCTAATTATTCTTATATTAATGAGGTGCTACCTTTGGCCCATAAAATGCACCATCTCCAGGATTTAGCTCCCATTTATGTCCAAATTCATTCAAAGTTTCTTCTAGGTTCTGAAAAATGAATTTTGAAAAACGTAAAATAAACATTTTCTAGCACATTCATATTCAATAGTAAATATATTGCTAAATTACCTTTTCTGCTTCATCCCAGACTGATTTTTCTCCCAAATATTTCTCTGGTCTGGTTGACAATTTGAGATTAAAAGTGAAGTTAAAGGAACTATAAACACTGTTTAAGAACTCCAAGCAACTTGCAATTTCAGTTTTTATCTGTTAAAAAAACAATAAATTTAAGTAACTTATGTAAAACATGTAATTCCTAAAAGTAAAAAGGATGACAATACTAGAATAATTTACAGTTAGCCAGAAGTAAACATTACCTGGTCTTTCCTGCAGAAAATATGGGCATCATCTTGCTGAAATCTTCTGACACGGGTCAGACCTGAGAGGGCGCCAGATACTTCATTGCGATGTAACACACCAAAGTCTGCCAGTCTCAGTGGTAACTCACGCCATGAGCGCACTCTGTGATCAAACATTAAGCTGAAAAATAAAAGAACAACACAAATGTAACTCAGTGAAATAACAGAGTGGAGTTAATAGTATATAATAATAAAGGCTTAAGTTATACACAAGAAAACTACTCAAACTTTGAATTTTAAAATAAAAAATAACTTACCAATGACCAGGACAGTTCATGGGCTTTAGGGCATACTTTTCTTTTTCACATTCGAATGAGAACATGTTTTCCTAAACAAAACAGATATAATATATAGCATTTTATTCATTTCGATATGATTCATACAAACATCTTGATTTGATTACTTACAGCATAATGTTGCCAATGTCCAGAAATTTCCCAAAGCTTGCTGTTGTATATGTTTGGGGAAACCACTTCAGTAAAGCCTCGTTGCCAGTATTCATTCTAGCAGATTACATTTTTTAAAAATAATGAGTTCATTTTCACTACTTAACATTAGAAGTATAGCAGTTATTTCATGCATGAGTTAAGGGACAAGTGGGGTTCTTTAAATACGTTTTTAAAATAAAACTTTAAGCAACATAAACACTTCATTAAAAATTAAATTTACCTTAATAAAATCAACCAGTGTATTATAAATATGCGCACCCCTGGGCAAAAAGAAACAGCTACCAGGACTAAGTTCATGGAAGAAAAATAGTTCTTGTTCCTAAAAAGTATTGAAGTTTATAAAAAGTTAAAAACTCTGAATTGTTTCAATTATTACATATAAAAAAGATTAAAGTTATTATGTTAAGTCACCTTTCCAATTTTTCTATGATCTCGCTTAGCAGCCTCCTCTTGAAAATGTTTCCACTCTTTCAATTGCTTTGGTTCAGGGAAAGATATGCCATATATCCTTTGTAAGCTTTCAGCTTCTGCATTGCCTTCCCAATATGTCGATGAATTCTGGTTATTGAAAATTAAAGGTAACATTAAATGCAAATTGACAGTTTATTTTACTTTTATATGACTAAAACCTGTGTAACTATTTAAACATGATGCTTTTAAACATTTATCTTTTCTATTATCTTTTGAATTTTGTCATTTTTAACTCGATTACCTTGGTGACGGCTAAAGCTTTCACTTTACCAGTATTTCGGACATGAGGACCCCGACAAAGATCAATAAGTGGACCACATCTAGGTTAAAAATAATAGACTTCAGGTAGATTGTTATCTACAAACAAGCTACAGATATTTTAGATAACAATAGCATATATTCTTTAATTCAAGCAAGGTGTTACCTGTAAACAGTGGTTGTTGGAGTGTCTACTTTCTCCTTGATTATTCTTTGTTTGAATTCATTATACTGTCATGTATTAATCAAAAGTCATTTTAAGATATATTTTTAAAATACTTAAATTACTACACAGTTCTCGATTGACACAAAACATCTAAATTGCAACAAATTATTTTCAAAATAGATTGATATGTTATCAAAATTACCTCAAACATTTTTAGAAGATCTTCCTTTGTCATTTCAAGCCTTTCAAAAGGTTGTTTATCCTTTGTTATATTTTTTGCTAGTTGTTCCAGATTAGGCAAATCGTTGCTAGATACTGGCCTATATTGTCAGAAAAACTTACTCATATTAAAATAATTAAACTTCTTATTTTAAGTTTATACAAAATTGTCATTTACAACTGCTAAATGGACTTGCATCCTTAATTGTTCAAAACGTATTGTTACAGAAAAGGGGCATTAAAACTGAAAATGCTCCTCAATTTTGTTCAATAGTTTATCAAGGTTTGAATGTTTCCTACACACCCTAATATCAGTAATATCTACTTATAATATTAAAACAATTATAAATAATTATCAGCTTTAACTGATGAGTCATTATGAAACAGTCATGCAATTATTAAAGAGAAACAATACTTACTCTGGAGTCCACATGTCATAGTAAAACCCTTCTTCAATGGGAGGCCCATAACACAAGTGTCCACCATAGTGTCTTTCCATGGCTTCACCTAAAATGTGAGCACTTGAATGCCAGAATACGTACTGACCTATATCAATAAAGAACAAATAAGAATGGTAGTACATTTAAAAACAAAAGCAGAATATAATTTATTTATTAAAATCAAAGTGCACAAGCAGTGTTTATTAAAATAATAGCTTTTAATATTTATATATAAATTAAAACGGTTTACCATCAGGGTCATCAAACTTAAGCAATTGAAGATCTGAATCCTTCTCTAAGGGTCTATCAAGATCCCACAGTTCACCATTAACTTTTGCTACAACAGTGTTGTCAGCCAGACCTTGACTAATAATAAGTCATAAAATACACATGTTAAACTTAGAAGTATCTTATTAACAAAGTTTTAACAAATTTTTTTAGAAAAAAGTTTTTTTATTGTTATGGATTTTACCTAATGCTCACAGCGATTTCATAAGGGGTTGTTTTCCATGCATTGCCTTCTTTCACTGCTCCATCAGGTAATTTTATCTTGATTGGAACTTTATCTTGTGCTGCGACCCACTCATCCCGCTCTTTTTTAAGCTTGTCCCATAGCTTTTGCCTTTCTTCAATAAAGGCTGGTGGAGGCTGAAGCTGCAGAGTAAATTTTATAACTTTAAAACTATCAAATGAATTTGTTTAAACCAAATTTTTATAAGTTTTATAAACATTCTGCTTACACTTAAAAACCAAAAGATTACTATATAGTCTAGTAGGCCTTTATAAATATTTATAATTTATTTGTTTATAGTTTGCCATCAAATTAATTTTTGTTCAAAATCATACATACCTCCAATGGGCGCTTGTCACCACTATTCATATTTTTTATCTTATCTGCTTTCTATGAAAAAAACAATTTTTTTAAATTCAGCAAAATAATATATTTTTAAAAATTATTTTCAACTGACCTCAAAATTCACTAATCAGAATAATAGGCCTATACATTTTCTTAAAGACTCATTGATCTACTGCATCGCGTGATGGTAATACTCATAATTTTATACCATTGCAATATAATAAGCAGATTTATAGTAATTAGTAGGAACTAGCTAGAGGTCTAAGAAGTTTTAAATGCTTAAAATTGAAACTAAAAGTGACTTTAAATTTAAAGTACTTAAAACTTAAAATCACCAAGAATTCTTTATAAATTAACTAGATTTGAATTTAGGCCTAGGCCTATGCCATGCCCTATTATAATCAATAATTATATAATTAATAGGCCTATTAAAACTTACATTTTAGTTACATGAAGTAGAATCTAGATCTAATATTTTACATTTATAATAACAATTAAATATAGGCCTATATATAGGGGTCTATAGATCTAGTAATAGGTAAGTATTAATTAGGCCTATTTAAGTAATGATGCAATAAAAAGCAATGCCACTTTAAAATAGACCTAAACCCTGACCTAGATCTAGTTCATTTTTAATCTTACTAGATCTAGATTTATGAATAAAATTTATATTATAGACTAATTTTGTGACAAGAAAATTCAAAATTAAATAAATAGAATCTCCGCTAGATCTAGATATTAGAATCTAGGGACATATTTCCAGTAGACTAGACTCTTTGAATCCTGTTCAGAACGTCCACTTGGCATGACTTGAATTGCCTTGGCTTGATCTAGAATCTAGATCTAGATCTGCTGACTAAAGTCACTAAAACACATTCTGGGCTAGGATAATCTAGATCTAGAGAAATACTAGAATCTAGATTAGATATATATAAAGACATTCTCTAGATTTAATCTACATCACCATTCCATTCATACCTCTACCTCTAAATCTAGATCTAGATCTAGATCTAGTACCTAGCCGTAGCCCTACCTACCTACTCGCTACTCTTGTGACAAAGTGTCGAGTGTGACCTAATAAACTTCTACAAACCAGGCTTTTAGCTCTCAAGTAAGTTGAACCTATTCTCTTTGCAAACTGAAGTAAACTAATCCGCGAGGAAAACATTTTCCTTTTTCATAAAAAATTACAACTGCTCATGCCTTTGATTTCTCGGAAATATCCATGTTTTCAACAGCGCTTGCCACGTTATCGGCCATCTTGTTGAGTTGTCGGCGATACAGGGTTGAGTTGTATCCCTTAACAATAACAAATAAGAAAACTCCTACCTGGGCCTAGTCTTGGGCTGCTAGTAGCCTAGAGATAGATCAGTGATTCTTAGCTTGGGTTCGATTGAATCCCAAGGGTTTGGTGAGTCAAGAGTTCAGCTGAGATCAACACATATCCGACTCACGTGTTTTGCGATTCGATTTTGTCAGTGTGGAACGGTGGACGATAAAACTAGCGGCCGATAACAATTCAAACTTCAAACAAGACAGTATTTCTTTTAGAGTTTTTTTCCGGGGAGGGGAGGAGAGAGGCACTTGAAATTTCCCTGGGCGAGGGGGGGGGGGGGGGCGGACACTGGTAGAAGTATATATTTTCTCTACAAATTCTATTTCGTTCGGAGGGGGGGGGGGTGTTGACGTTCTTGGGGTGGGGGGGGGGGGGCGAGCCTCCCTGGAAGATATGCCTGAAAGAAAATGTGTACAGCACGACATAAGGGACTAGAAACCTAGTAATAAAATACACCAGTCAGTGGCGTAGGCAGGGGGGTTAGGGGGGGCTCATAACCCCCCCCCCCCCATAAACCCCTCGGTATATAGAAAAAGTATGAGGGGGGTGCAAATCGAAAGTTTGAGGGGGGGGGGGGTGCAAATCGAAAGTTTGAGGGGGGAGGGGGGGGTGCAAATCGAAAGTTTGGGGGGTGCAAATCGAAAGTTTGTCCCCGGGTAAAAATTGGAACACCCCCCCCCCTTGAGACGATCCTGGCTACGCCACTGACACCAGTGGTTCGACACAAATACGTCTCGAATCGTGTCAACGCTACCTATATAAGCGCGCGTTGATCGAGTATATACGTGCTGTGAATAACATACTTTTTATTTCCATATATATCCAGAGTTTCTTCCAGGCATCTCTTCGGGGGGGGGGGGGGGAGGGGGCGAAGCGCCCCACCCCCGAAAAAATTCTGCCACCCCCCCCCCCCCCCCCCGAACGAAATGAAATTTATATAATTTATATAGAAAATATATACTTTTAACAGTGTCCGCCCCCCCCCCCCCCGAAGAAAGTCTACCGCCCCCCCCCCCCGAAAATTTCAAGAGCCCCCCCCCCCCCTTCGGAGAAAAAAGTCTGGAAGAAACACTGTATATATCGTGGCCCAGTTGTTGACTAGTGACCGATGATACGTGGTGTGGTCTCTTTCTTAATATTTTAATCCTTTCATACTATGTCTGACAAATATGTACAACATTGTACATGTTGGCCAGTCCCGCAACTTGATTTGAGTTTTAATAGTTAAGACCTAACTGCATGGTTTCCAATGCCAAGTACAGGAATTATGTCTAGCACCGGCAAAACTAAGACAACTCATTAAGCTGCATGGAGATGGAAAATACAAGAACACAATGCTCGCTGCGCATTTCTGAACTGGTTTCTGAAAGGCAAAAGCATGAGTCTCACTGATTTGCAGTATACTTTCATTATTAAGTTTTGTATGAAAATTGCATTTTAATGGCTTTGTTCTTTGACCACAGTGATGTTAATGCACGGTTCATTTTGTGCACCAGTAAAATACATTATACATCTACATTTGTTTGAATTGGAAAGAAAATATTTTATTTATCCGGTTAAGAAAGAAGGGCTCGGCGACTGCTGGTGGGGTTCGGTACCTCCAAAAAGGTAAAGAACCCCTGATCTAAACGTATAACATTATTGATTTTGAAGGTCAATAAAAAAAAAAAAATCAAAGAAAGAAATTTAAACAACACATTGTAACACATAGACTTACTAGATCTATTTGAAGTATATTTAGGGTTTATAGACCTACTCGATAGTAGTACACTTACTTTTGCTGTTTACGTAGTAAAAAGTAGACCTATGATATATATAGGCATATATATATATATATATATATATATATATATATATATATATATATATATATATATATATATACTAGCCGTCCCGGCCAGGCCCTGCTCTGGCTTCTGTGAAAAACCTTTCTGTTAAAGACCATTACCTGTGTGTTTAGTAATCATCATAAACCCGGCATTGCACACCCAAACCAAAACCAAAACAACAAAACGCAAACATAACGCTAACACAATTACAATTACAATTACAAATACAAACGAAAACAAAAACCTAACAACTAACCCAACCACAACCACAAACACCAATACGAACACAAAGAAAAAAAAACGAAAAAGCAAACGAAAACAAACCAAATCCAAATGCAAAACCAACCACAAACCCAAAGAAAAAAACACAAACGAAAAAACAAACGAAAACAAACCAAATACAAACGCAAAACCAACCACAAACACAAATACAAACACAAACGCAAAGAAGATAAAACACAAACGAAAACGAAAAAAGAAAGAACAAAAACGAACCAAATCAAAACGCAACCACTAACGCAAACCCAACCTAAACACAAAGAAAACACTAACGCGAACGCCAAATAGCACCCTGTCGGGGTGCCGGAGGACGCCCGGATTTGATTCACTTAAAGACTATAGTAACCTTTCTTAGTCTATCGCACTGTTAAAAACAAAACTATGCAGCATAGCGGTCACATGATAGCCCAGGGTGCCAAATCGAACCGTGCAAGGGCGCCGGCGGACGCGCCTGTTTCAATTTAGTGAACAAAAATGATAATACTCCAAGCTTATCCGTAAATGGAAAGAAATAAACATATAGGATTTGTAGGACCTGGCTTATTAAATGTTATTGATTTAAAAAAAAAATATTGAACAGTATGTTCAGTGTATAGAATAAATAAAAGGCAGTGTTAAAAATACTTAACGACATTGCACTTAATCAATCCCCGCTAATTATGTAATTATTTTTTTTTTCTTAACACCAAAAACAAAGTAATAAAATGTAAATTCTTTCTTCTTAAGAATTTTTTTATTAAAGGGAAGTAACTGTGCAGTCAATACATTTCCGACACAATTTTAGAAATTTTATAAACGTCGATACACTTTTTAAAAATTTTATGTCGTGTTCATAATTGAAAATTATTCTTCTAAGTAAATAGAATGAAAATTGTTTTTAAAGACTTTCAATGGTAATTTTTTGACTCGTAAATTTAGACTGTGAGCACGATAAAAAATCTAACACTTAAATCCATAGAAATGTCAACGACAAACTTTTTTGCCACACGTTACAGAACTGAGCTTTATATATTAGATATATATATATATATATATATATATATATATATATATATATATATATATATATATATATATATATATATATATATATATATATATATATATATATATAATTATATGTGTTGTCAGCAATGTATTTTTTAATATGCTAATTTGCTTTTGGTTTTTAGTGAAAGTTAGGTTTTATCCAATTTTTACTTTTCTCTCGTATTCCCTTTATAACAGAAGGTTGGCAGCTCACTTTAATCTTGCAAACATGGGACAACTTTTCTTCATAGTAATTTAAATAGTGTGTATTATTTTATATTTAAATAAAATCATTTATTTTCTAATTTTTAGTGCATTATTACATAAAAGATTGTTATTAAAACGTTTTTAGGCGATTAAAAAAAATCTTTATTTATAATTTTCTTTTATTAAACCGGGGTCTAACTCTGTAAGCCGAGTTCTTTTTCCACTAAAGTAATAACACACTATTTCAACTTCAGCTATTTTGTCGGCAAACATATTTTCAAAAAGAGCATATATTTGGCACTGACATTATATTATATGGACTAATAAAAACCCAATAAAGAAAATAGCTTATTAGGGACTTATAAAGTCTCAACCGGGTCATAAAAACGGCTGAAACCAATCCCTCATATTCAGAGTTTAAATTCTTCCAGGCATATATATACTTTTAACAGTGTCCGCCGCCCCCCCCCCCCTTAAGAAAGTCCACCCGAAATTTTCAAGTGCCCCCCCCCCCCCCCCCCGGAGAAAAAAGTCTGGAAGAAACACTTCTCATATTGGAGCAACATCGACTAAAGAGTTATCCATAAATGACGTCACGCTTTTTGACGATTTTTACCTCCCCTTCCTCTCCGTCTCAAAAAGCCAGATTCCGCCCCCTAAAATGACTTCACGCCTATGCCTACAACCCCCTTCAAAATTGCAGTTGAATTTTCCTTAAAATACGATATTTTCCCAAAATCTTATCTGAATTCTGTCAACATATTTTAATCAATTTCTATTACTTTACAATTGATTAAAAAAGTTTTTTAAATCGCGAAATAACGGTTAAAATCCGTTTTCTAACATTGCTTTTTATAATGCAAAAGTGTGACGTCACACCATCTGAACCTTCCCCCCCCCCTCATCACATAATTTCACAAAATTACGGACCCCCTCCCCCTACGAGTGTGACGTCATTTATGGACGACCCCCTAAGTCCAATAGAGGAAGAAATAAGAAATGGAGGATGCCGCTGGATTGAGCACACTCAAACCCCATATGATAAAGCACCCCGTGTTACCCATCTGTACATTACCGCCGGGGTTCAATTCCCAATTTCTATCTCTTAGAATAATGCGCAAACGGAAATCTGAGCAAAAGAAAAAGCAATAACACTGCAATGTTTTCATATTTCATGGATAATTATTTTATTTTTATGATGCTACACAATGTACACGTGATCATCGTTAGAAATGTTTTCAATTATACTTTACCAGCTTCTGCTGTTATCATCTAACTTAATCTAAGATGTTTATGCAGTTACTTTAAAGTTTTAAATATTGCATGCAATATTCCAAAGCTTTCAATATAAATTAAAACTCATTTTCACGCTGATCTTTTTGTATATTGCGTAGTTTTAGCTTTGTATTTATTTTGGCTCCCCATTCTCACTTTCTTTTGTATGTTTTTTGCTATTGTGTTATTACGTTATTTTTATTGACTGCTTTCTATGATCTATCGGGGATTGCAGCAGTCTATTGCTTAAAGCTTGAACGAATCTCTCCCTTCTTCCTTAATTGTATATTGTTTTATCATGCAGTGCAGGGACGTCAGCATGGTCTTGAAAGCAGTGGTCATCGTAGTTTCTTTCATATATATATTTTATGTAGAAAATATATACTTTAACTTGTCTACCCTCCCCCCCCCCCCTTGGAGAAAAATGTCTGAAAGAAACACTGATCTTGTTGATAAATGAAGTCTTGAAGAATCTGCAATGGATGGGGGCAAATCTTATCTAGGTAGCTCTTCTTCTAATATACAAATCTTTAAGTTTAGTAGTTTTAGGGATACAACGTTTCCAAATTTTGTGGGATTGATGAAGTTTTCATAATTTTGGAATTCTCCACTCATATTTTTCAGAAAGGCCCGACACATTTTTTTAAAAATAAAGTAAATCTTGGTAAAAAAAAATTGTTTACTTTCTTTTAAGTTGAAGGAAATGCAGACATCTCATTAGCTGTTAATCTTACATGTGGTAGATATAATTAATCTTTTAATTCAACTTCCATTCTTTAATTTAATGTTTAAACTATCATTTTGCGCTGCTTTCCATTTAATGTTTGAATCTAAATTTAATTTTGAAGGACTAGACTCTAGACCAGTGGTTCCCAAAGTGGGCGATATCACCAAGGGAAACAATTTAAATTTAAGCCTGAAGTAAGACTAAATGATGGCTGTCAATTTAACAGACATTCATTGTGTTATTTCTAGCTTTGTAGCTAACCTCTGGCAAGAGTTAATCTACCTATCAAAATACGTGGTAATCATTATCATATTTAAATGATAAGCATTATCTTAGATATCTATTAATGATTTCCCTCCTATAGGGCTTGTAAGTAGGTCACAACTTCTCGTTCTCGTACTATGCAGCTAGTAGATTTCGAGACCATAGACTTACCAGCCCTATAGGAATTAACAATATTGTGACAACTTTATTATAATATTCAGACAAAAAAAAAAATTCAGTACAAAAATTAGTATGTTCAATTTCATTTTAATTTGATGACTCGACTTATTTTTTTGCTTTCATTTTTCTCAAATAAAGAAATGAAGTAATGTATCAGATAATTCTTACTATGAAATGAAATAATATTTAATTAGATGGAAGTTCCGACTGAAGTTTAGCAATCATATGACCCAATGCACTTGCGTCAAAAGTCATAACTGTTCGAAGCGATTCAAAATCACCTCCATCATCATCCCATTCTCCTTCTGACACTGAATCTCTCTGGTCAGCTACTGAAAATGTGTATTTGAATTCGCAGACCTATGGAAAAAAGAATGTTTAATCATTCTTGAGAAAAGTATTTCAAAAGACTAAATTTATAATTTTTTAAATTCAATTCTACTCTTTTCAGCACTCTGTTTTTTTCTCTTAAGTTAACTATTTTTTGTCATATTTATTATTATTAGACTGCTGAAAAGAGCAGAATTATAAAATTATAAATTTTAATACTTGTCATTTAAAAACATTTCTCAAGAATCATTTGTAATGATTAAGCCATATGATGTAACTAATATAAAAAAGCTTTAAGATGTGTTATTTTTTAAAATTGTTATTAATAAAATAAATAGTAATTATTCAAACATGTAATATTGAAGAAATTTAAATAATATTTATATGTAGGACAGACAATTTTGAATAGTCACTAAAAGTTGAAGAAATTTATTACATCATTAAACAACTGCTCTTCTGGGTTGGAGTAGAAGAGATCATCAGACATATTGCCTCCCTTAGCTTTGTATGTTTTACTGATTAATATAAGATGAGAGAATTTAAATTTCTTTTTCTTGCGAATAGCTTCTTCAATATCAGACCTGTTGATAAAAATTGTTTTATTATACAGATCAAAGACATTATTATGTACATATTAGGATTAATAATTAGTTGATATTTAGATACAAATCTTATAAACTTAATTTTTAAATTTAAATGTAATGATTTTATTTACAAGATAACAAAATGTAGAAAATAGTTCTGGAATGCTCAATGCAAATTAAAGAAAAATTTAACAAACATAAATACAAATATAAATAGAAGATCATCAAAGTGATGACTTACTGCAGTGATTTGTATGAAGGCAAGGCTACTTGAGAGGGTATGTTAATAAATCTTTCACTAATTAACAAACCAATCTGTTTTGAAGGGTCATTTAAAAGCTTTTTCATTCGACCAGGTTCTGTTTTAAAATTTTCTTCACACTTTAAGGATAAAAGCTCATTGATTTTTTCTATACAAGATAAACTCTGTTTTGAAAAGAAAATTTGAAAATGTTTTGAATAAAAAATTATAAAGGAAGAATACAATTACTATCTGAACTAGTCTCAACACAAAACTAGCAACATATGAGATTCTCTGTAAACACTAATAATAATAATTGTACTCTAGTCAATCTAAGCACACCTGATTCTCTGAAAGGTTGATGACTGTGTTGAGAGAATAAACATTTCCATCTTCTTCATCTGTGTCACTTTCTTCACTATCACTATCTTCATCTGGGTAGTCTTGCTAAAAGAGTTACATTAGTATCAAAGCAAAAGTTTTGGTTGAAAAATAAGTTAGGCAGTGATATTGTAAATTTTTTAAATAGGGCAAAAGTAAGTTTTTTTTTATTTTTTATATTGAATTATTTAGGTCCACAGTTTTTTATCTTGTACTTTGTAATTTTCCCAACTTTCAACGTTAAAGTAGTCCAATGTTAAACTAGTTATCTGAATGTTTTATTCATGCTGTTACTACAACTCCATTTTTTTTATAGTACAAGGCTTTGAGGCTATTTTAATAACATTCTTATTTAAAATAACATCACAGTAACTGAAGAATGAATTAATATACTTAACATACAAAAATATTAAAGACTAGATTTACCTTCAGCACGGATCCCACAGAATCTTGAGCCACTATGAGGTTGGCTAACTCAGACAAATCTTCATTTATATATTTGACAAAAAGCTAAATAGAAGACATTCAATTGCTTTATTTTTCCACAGAGATTTATAATAACTAAAATGCAAGATTAAAAAAAACCCAATAACATTAAAACATGTCTCAGCAGACCATACTAAAAAAAATTCACAATAGCTCTACATAAGAAAATGTTTTTCTAAAAATTCTATATCTATCAACTGTTTATGAAAACAACTTTCATAAGTGTAAACAACTAACCTGTTGTAAAAGTCGCTTGATTCCATGAAAGTCACCACTATTAGGGGGCCGAGCTTCAAAAGCCACATCTATAACCTAATTTTAATCAAAATTCTTGTAAATTAAAATTAATTAATGTGTAAGCACTTTAGAATGAAAAATATAAAATACCAGAAGAGCTTAATTAAAGAGGTTTTTAATACTTTTACAGACATTACTTTCATAATGGTTTATAATAACAAACCCTGAAACCTCTTTATTTAGGCATAAAAACATTTTAAACATTAGATTTTTTATATGAAACAAAAACAAGTAATTAAAAAAAGTCTAGTGACAATTTTAGCGCAATTTCCTTATGTTATCTAAAAATAGCTCTGTCGTAGCGTAAATCAAGAGCACGGTTAGTAAAACCATTGGTTAGTTATTAAAACGTTTTTTATTAATTTTTTTTTCAGTATTTTACATGTTTTATTTACAATAGAGTAACATGACTAAAAACCATTGCGCGCCTAGCTACCGAACGTGATGTCGCAGCTATTGAACGTGATGACGCGTGTGGTGTGGTTGGATAAACATGTCTACTAATTCGGTCCAAATTTTAATTAATTCAAAAAAATTGTTGTAACCGAACGAAAGGATATTTTTGAAAACTTTCTTCGGCAATATTGTTCTAAATTGTGGCAGGAATCGATTGGTAAATGTTTCAAGTCGCTAAGTGGTCTGGTTGCCGAGATATGGGCCAAAAACTGCATTTTTTTCGAGGTTTTTTGGCTTTTCCGGGAAATCCATGAAAGAAACCCGGAATTTTTTTGGCCTATGTTCATCCTGGTAACTTGCTTAACATAATTGCTTTTGGAACTAGTCATCGATATTGCTTCGTTGAGGAGGAGATACGACTTAAAGCCCGGACACACATTCCCAGAAAAGACGAGTTAATAAACGCAATTCTCCAGAATGGAAATTGCGCTAAAAAATGAAGTTCAGGAATACTACTATTTATTTTGCAGTATAGTGAAGCGTGTTTTTTTGTTGTTTACATTCAATAAGTAAAATTAATTTTTACTTATAACCCTCACATCAAGGCTTTAATGATAGTAAAATCTGACTATACTATCATCACTCACACCCCCACCTCCCCCCAAGTGCCAGCACATTATTCACCAGACAGGATATAAAGTGAAAAGTGGTCAAATTTTTTTGGACATTACACCAATCAGGTTAGTAAAAAAAAAAAAAGAAATGCATTGAGAAAAAATATATGTAGTTTTATACATGGATAGACTTGGAGACTATACTATAATATGTGGTACATATATTTTTAAATAATTAAAACTTCTTCTTTGGTTTGCTTACTGTTATTTATTTTATAGTCATTAATTCATAAGTACATTCCCAGTCCACTCAAAATAAAAGGTAAAATATTAGTCTTATAAGAATTCTTAATAGCCCCCCCCCCCCCTTCCACTGTTGTCATAACAAGCCAAGCCCACTTATGATGAAAAGAGAGCTCTAAAACATTTTTCATAACCTGCACTTTTCTCAATCATGTTGCCCAAAACCAATCCATCTTCTACCAAGTAATATAATTATGGCTCAAGAGTCTAATAAACCACTGAATGACTGGACTGGAAATCCAAGCACAAAGCCTGGGTGGTAAGATCAGATGAGCTAGATATTTCCCAAGAATCTGACTCCATCTCTCCACACAGCTGACGGCCTCAACTTACATGTACAACTTGAATCAGCAGTGTCACAGGAGCTGTCAACAGGAAACCAGAGTTGGTAATCCTATCGCCAAAGGGGCTCCACTCCTGTTTAAATTAGAATTTTTTTCTCCTGGATGGGTTGCTGTCCCCAGCTGACGAGCCACATCTGTCCAAGCATTTGAACTTAGGACTTTTGGTTTAGCAACCACCCACCAGAGACCACTTACCAATTAATCACTTTATTAAACCAGGGGTCTCCAAACTTTTCAGTCCGAGGGCCGCATTAACTATCAAATTTCAGTTTGGGGGCCAGTTTCTTCCAGGCATGTCTTTGATTTTTCTGGCCATCACCGACAAACGTTTTTTTCCGTGAACAAAATGATCTCCGTGGGCCGGATGAGAGGGCCTCGCGGGCCAGATGCGGCCCGTAGTTTGGAGACCCCTGTATTAAACCATAACAATACTCAACAAAGTACATTTGAGTTGAGATTTTAAAAATTGGATTTGACTACTACCTTTCCAACATTTTCGTCCTCAACTTCTTCGTCCTCATCTGTTTCTGTTTGATCTATCTCTGGATTTGTGCTACTCATGTTCAAAACTATTTTTGTAAAAAAAAAAAAAAGAAATTTTTTAAAGCTTATTTTCCTGAAATAAGTATTGTGTGAGTTTAAGCTAGATCTAGAATATAACTTTTTGTAGTAAAATGTAGTTAGACATAATAAATAAGTATTGCCATACAGTCAAGGGTAGGCCTATTATTGATATCCAATAATAGACTCCTTCAAAAATAGTCTACATGTGTTAGGTTGTTTGTAATAAAAGGATTTTAATCTCAGGTTTATATTTGATTTATGGTCAGAAATTAGGGCTATCAAAATATCATATAACTCGTGTGAGGGTTGGGATAGATTGACATTAGAAAGGCATATTTATATTTATATAATTATATATAGTTAATTTATAAATATTAGGCCTATTATAAATATAATAATAATATAACTCATTCAAACTCATCTAACAGCCCATTTCTAAGATGATTCTACCAATATCTATCTGATACCTAATTTCTGATCCTAACACTAATAAAGATGTGAATGCACCATACAACAAACAACCTAACAAAACTATTGTCCGAAGAGTCTTTTTTTAAAAATCAGTAGACAAATAATGTAGTAATACTACAAGTCAGCATCAAAATTCATTGTAAATCAGGTGCAGTATAATTTTTGCAGATATCTTCGCATTTACCCCCACCCAGTGTAAGTATCGGGTGGGGGTAAGATGTGAGACAAAAATGTCACGTGACCTGCGTACTTCTCAATTTAGAAGTAAGCTTCAAAAATTGTTTACATAAAATAGTACTATAGTCTACTACTCCAGCCTTAATTTAGATCTACCTACATTCATACAACAACAAAACATGAATGAAAACTAACTAAGTAGATCCAGTACTAGTAAGTCGTAGAACTAGTTAGTAGGCCTATTATTTTATAATTTTAGTATTTATATATTATTACACATTTAGCTGCTTTGGCGCAAAAATAATTAGCCATCTGGTAATCTATCGTTTTAGGTACATAAAATCTGTAGAGACTAGTAATGTGAAAAAAAGGTGACTCGTTAAATTTTAGTAATAATTTCACATTTTTGGGAGGATTTAAATTTATGTTTTGGAAGTTACAAAAATGTTTCAAAGTTTCATTCGAGTAGCCTACCTGTTTTAAAAAAATTGTATTAAAAATTTTCAGCAATAAATAAAGACTAGTGATGTTTTCATCAGATGCAACCAAGCTCATTTACTTTAGCAGCCATCTTGTATATATAAGTTTTTGGCTGATGCTAGCGGGAACAAGATACGTTTGCGCAAAGGAGAGAAACTACGACTTGCCATCGCAGGCGATGTTTTTGAAGGTACTGCGCATGCGTGTGTTTACAACCACAGAACCCTAACACCAACCCTAATCCTATCCCTAACCCTAATCCTATCCCTAACCCTCTAATCTAATCCTATCCCTAACTAACCCCTCATCATTCTAGCCCTAACCCTAGCCATAGGTCAATGCGCATGCGCAGAGCTATCTTTTGCAGACTAAGTGGAGACGTTGGGGAGAAAAATCTTCTTCCGAGTAGTCACTTTGTAAGTTTTTTTGGTAAAATTATTAGTGTGAGATTCAGGGGAAACCACTCTCTCTAAGTTATAGATGGCCACTGTTTATATACTATTATATAGGAAATCGGTAATCTATCGCTTTAGCGTAATCAATTCGGCCCTCACTAGTAATGTAGGGATAAGGTAACTAATAAATATGGCTTAAATATGGATATATTTTTGCATATTTTACTAAAATACTAAAGATAATTGAATATTAAACCACATTTAAGGTTTAAATCAATAAAAATGTCAGGAAATTAAAGTTCAACAACGATGTTACAGATACTAAATTTGCTATTAAAAACAGCGGCTATCTTAAGAAAATATTATTTTGAGTCATTTCCCTTTAATTTTTATTTGTATGGAAATGTATTGATGTTTGCTATTAAATAGGCTAGTCCTTGTGTTTAAATACAAAGCATGCGTTTTTTTTTTAAAATTCTGCCCTTTAAACAATTTGACTGACAATAAACATCAGTTCTAGAAATTATTATTATGAGATGCAATTTTTAATATACATTAAGATACTCCCTATTTTTTATAGAGCTACCACTACATATCTAATGTTTATTTAAATATTAGTTTGAGTTCATTCTTATTGTTTGTGTTATTGTTTGTTTCCTATTTTCATTTTATATTTTCATGCTTTTTTTCCTTTAATTAGTGATTTAATCATAAATGACGTCTCGTTTTTTTGACCTCTCTTCACCTTAACCCCCACCCCCCCCCCCCCATTTTTCACCGTCACGAAATAGTCGTAATGTCGAAAATTACCTTTTAGCCCTATCTATTAAAAAGGTCAAGCCATAATTCTAATGAAAAATATTTTTAGCATTTTTGTATTAGGCGAAATACATAACGTTTCACGTTTCTTACCCCTCCCACTTTCCGCGTAAAAACGTCGTCTCAAAATCAGTTACTCCACCCCTTAAGTGTGCTATGTCATTTAGGGTAGATGTCAAGTCCTATATACATTTTGAATAACCTTTGTTGTCAAAATGTTGATATCAAATACCCAAAAATGAGTTATATGGGGTTGCCCATAAACAATGTCACATATGCAATGCTAATGTGACGTCAACTTACGCAGGGTGGTCGGGGGGGGGGGGGGGGGGGGGGGGGGGAAAATGCGTGACGTCTATTTTGGAATCTTCTATAAAGCTGTGCTCAATGAAAATGAGGAACATAAAGCGTTCGTTTTCATGCATACATTTGTTCATAACGAATGATAATAACTATTGCATGCCTGTTGTACTAAGCGGTGTTAAACAACCTCAGCACATCATCCCCGCCAAAAAGGGCCTGCCACTAAATGCCTACCGACGAAAATAGGCCGCACTATATTGACTCCAAATGAAATAACTTCTGACAATAAGGCTCAAACCAAGTAGCTCCTGTCAACAATATTCGACAAGTATTGACTAGCAGGTAAAATGGGACAAATCGAAAATTGAAAGTTTGTCGCCTCTGGGGGAGGGGGGGGGGGGTGACACCATCAAGTGCCGCACCGGGTGACACTCGACCTCGCTACGCCACTGAGCTAATGTAAAGCCTCAGCTCAGTATAGGCTTGAATTTAACATAAAATAGTGTTAGCAGTGGACAGCCTCTAAGACTGTGCATTAGGAGTACGGCCGTCGGCAAAACGCCAGAGTCCGAACATCAATTTTGTCTTTTATGAAGTGCGGAGCACCTTTAAGACCTGAGCTTGGCTCCTGTTGACACCACCACTAGCGCCGCTTATGTCCACATATTAATCACACGTTTTGCGTGGAGCTTAATGGACAGACGTTTACAGGTGGGACCGGGAGCCTAAATGCATTTACCGAAGCCGCTGTGTCACGGGCATTTTAGAGTCGAACGTCTCAGGGCAGCAGGTTGCAGAAATTAAAAGCACGTGAATTTGTATAGTAGAGGGAGAACATCATGCCACTGTAATAAATTAAACACCAATATAATTCACCGAACTAAAGTAATTTAGATCTATTCGTCAGGCTAAACGTCGTTTAAGTTTCATCGACTTAGTGACTGTTTTGATTTTCTTTTAATTACGCGGTATCTTTCTTAAAACATTAGCCTAATGACAAATGACGTCACGCGCGCCGCGAACTTTTGTGACGTTGTGCTTAGTGGGGGATGAAACGGCGTGGTTGAGAAAAATGATGTATTTCTTTTTTTTTTTTTAACAGACGAATAAGTGATAGATTCTAATTTTCCTACGAACTATACGTTGATCTACTTTTTTTTCTAGAGGGGGATATCACTATATTGTGATGGGCGGTTTATATATAATCTCAATATATTCTGATCTACTACTATTCATACGGCAACTATTATACTCGTGAGGAGGACGGGAATCACTCTTATGTTCCGCAGACACTAATTAACAATGTCAACAACTTAGTTTATGAAATAACATGAACTTAATTAACACACACTTATAGATCATTTTCACAATATCAAATAATACGTCCGTCTTCTACTATATCTAACCCCCAACTAACTTCACTGCTGCGTCTTACGTCATCGGTACATTGTCGCACCATGCTCACGTCACACTCACGCCACAAATATTTTATTGAACACGCGCACATACTCTCGCACCAAATCGTCTACCTTCAAGTTCGTACCGTCCTTAGTAACCTCTACTCGTCTAGTCTAATTCTATATATCTACGCTATGACACATAAAGTGGGTGTTTTTTTTATTGGTAATAATGGATGGTGGAGAGGGGTAAACATTGACTACTGAAGAAATCAAAAACTGATGACAGCAGAAGGCAAAGAAAAAAAAAAACAAACCATGTGGTATTCAAATGTAACTAGTTAAAATTTGAACCAATTTTAAAAAACAATTATCTTAATTCAGAAAAAGTGTAGGCCTAAGACTAATGTCTACAGACAAAATAAACAACTAGGCTTAATTAAATGGATCGCCCATAAATGACGTCATACTTTTCCCGACAATTTCCCTCTCACCCAATAGTTACTAAAAGCAAGATGATGATTTAATATCATATCGCAGTTCTACTACTATACCCGAACCCTTAATCACAATTTCTAACGAAAACGAATATATTCTGTATCATTTAATTTTTTTTTTTTTACCTCGTCCCATATTTTGAGTCCAACGTCATTTATGAGGAATATGGACGACCTAATAATTGACAAGTTAAGGGGTCATCCATAAATGATGTCACGCTTTTTTTTAAAACGATTTTTACCTCCCCCCCCCTCCCCTCCGTCACACGTCGTCACAAAAAGTCAGACCCCCCCTAAAATGACGTCACACATCAGCCTACACCCCCCCCACCCTCAAAATTGCAGTTGATTTTTTTTTTAAACATCGATATTTTTCCAAAATCTTGTCTGAAATATGTCAAAATATAGTATTTTAATCAATTCCTATTATAATTTATTAAAACTGTTTTTTTAAAAAGCTAAATAA